GGGGGGGGGTTAAAAAAAAAAAAAAAAAAAAAAAAAAAAAAAAGTAGAATAGATTTGACTGCGAAAGGAATTCTTTGATAGGAACTCTCTAAAAGAAAGAAAGAAAGAAAAGCTGTTTTGTCTCTTTATGATGCAAAGTAGCAAGAACATGTATGGCTTCTTTTGCATCAGCTGCAGGAGTAAGAGAGGTTTCTATATTGGAAAATTAAAAAAAAAAAAAATTAAAGCTATAATAGTGTTTTAGCTGATTTTCAGGTAAAAATTGGCCAAATTTTGAGTGATAAATTAGAAAAATAAGTGAGTAAAGCTTTATTTATTGCTTCCTTCTATATAACCTATAAAAAAACCTCATATTTTCCAACTTTATAGAGTAATTGACCTCCTTCTCATTGACCCTGTACCAAATACCATCATTTTGTGAAATGAGTTCCCACAGACCATTGTTTTCATTCATCTTTCCAACTAAAATAGTATCTATCAAGAATTGGACTGGGAATTTTTTCTCACCAATTGTAATGTGTGAGAAAGATCCAGCACTTTCGGCGATCAATAACAAAGAGCCCGGTTTGCACTGTTTGCTCAAATTCAGGAAAAGCTTGATTGTGTCTTTTCTTTTTTCTGAAAATAATTCATTTGTTGTAAACATCAACGTAACCAAGTCCATTTTGCCAATTTCCAATGTATTCAAGTCTACGCTTAAAATATCCGCATGAGTAAACTGTGTCACCAACTTTTCCTCTTGGAACAACCAGTTTCTTTTGATATAAGAAGCCACATTCGACACTACTTCATTCCAATCAGCTATATCAACAATTGAGATCCTGATCTTCGACGGTGAAGTAGGCTTGTATTCCTTGAGTCTGCAAAAGACTGACCCCAAACCAACGAGTTCTGATGATGCACCACCTCCAATGCAAAGCACATTAACTGCAAGATCTTGGTTGTCGAGTAATGTGGATATCGGGTTCAAACTCGAAAACAAAGCGGCGTATGCCAATGACCTTGAGGGAGTCCACCTTGCGGCATATGTAAACCGTTTGTTTTCGTCATCAAACGCTGCAAGATAATCTCGATGATACAAAGCAGTTTTTACCAGCTGAATACCCACTTGTAAATCGGGGGAATGAAGAATATCTCGAAAACAAACATTGAATAGATCAATCACTTGATACGGTTCCATCGACTTATCTGTAGAAAACGGTACAAGTGGCCCTAAATTAACATCGTCTTCTTCTTCTTCTTTAATTCTGCTCTCTGAGGAAACGGCTATTGTCGCATGTTGAACCTTTCTGGTGTGCATCTTATATAACTCATTTCGTCAATTTAACTTTGATTCACTTGTATCGAAAACTAATTTTTGTGTATCTATGTTACCTCATCTCAAGATTGAAAAATCTCGCCTTTTCTTTTAAGCTGAGAGAAAAAAAAAAAATTTCAACTTCTTTCCTCTTCTTCTTCTTCTTCTTCTTCTTCTTCTTTTTCTTCAAATAATCAAAATCAATCTGTGTCAAGGTGGACACTCGTAGGATATGAAAAGTAAGATGATCATCTGATCATCTCACATGGATTATTCTGCGTAGTTGTTTTCCCCCTTGGCAGATCGGCGCTAGAGAGGCAAGCTTGATGTACTTTTTATCGAAAACCTTTTAAACTTTTTCCAGCTTGTTACCATTTTTTTTTTAAAAGTGGTAACAGCTCAAATTTCTTTAACTGTTGACGTTATTTCAATCATTATTTTCAGTCAAACTGGTCCTTTCTGTTTTGAAGGTTTGAGCGGTTGATTTGGATTTTTTTGTTTTTGAAATAACTAGGTTGATTTTTGAGTAATGGATTTTGGTTAACTCAGGTTAGTAGATATATTGTCGATACCCTTTAAAATGGGCCTTAAGCAGGGTGAGTTCCGTCGACAGATTGTAAAATAACGAGTTTTGGTCTTGAGCTCGTTTGAAAGCCAAAAAAAAAAAATTTCATCGAGGAAAAGGTTCTTTTTTCAAGAATCTTGGATTTGGGTGCGTTTTTTCTTTTTGAACTTTTGAACCGTTTGCTCGACCATTTATAAACTTGAGGCAACATATTCCTGGACTCTGCGCAGGTCATATTTGGCCAATAACGAATTGAGTAAAACCATGTTGCACACACATTTTACCTTTTTTTTGGGATTTTTTTAAAAAAAAATAATTTATAAAAAAAAAAATGAATAATTATCAACAAAGTTTTAAAACCTTCTTGTTTTGATAAGTCAAACTTTTTTATTTAGCCTTTTCTATGTCATAAAAAAACAATTTGTATTTTTTCTCTCTCTCTTTCTCTTTCTCTTTCTTTTCTTTTTTTGTTGTATAGATATCTTATCTTTAATCAAGCAAAATAACTTGAATGCGAATGAAAAATACTTTTTTTTAACAAACTTATGGCGGAACCAAGATTTTAATGTCCCGAGACTTTTCAATCGACCCCTCTACAGATGAGTTTAGAGGCTCTATGGTTCCAGCAAAGAGCCAGATTTCGTCGACGGTGGTTCATAATAAGAATCCTAGATCTAGAGCATTGGTAAGTCAGCTACCAGAATTACCAAGATTGTCACAACTGTCAGTTGACGACCATACCAATATTGATCAAGAACATTTTCTTGAGAATGAGGACTATAACCAGGATATAGGAAACACGTATGTTGAGTTTGACTTGAGCAATTATAATAGTAGTAGTGGAAAAAGAACTCAAGATTTGTTAACTATCAGGGATAGAGATTATGCATCTTGCAAGAGAGAAACAACCTTGTCGGATAAGCCGCCTAATCTGAAGGAAACAGCAGAACAAAAGGCCAATGTAGATAAATCTGATCCGAATGCCAATGCCAATGCCAATGCCAATGCAAATGCAAACGACGAGGATGATTTCTTCAATAGCTATTCTCAAGAGGGTACATGGAAGGAAATGACTACAATATCCGACTTGGACTACTACGATGACAAGGGCAAACTAAAACTCAATTCAAAGTCGGGTAAGGAGTTTGTTCAGGATGGAAATTTCCATTTTGGGTACACTAAAATAAACACTGAAGAGCAAGTCAAAAAATATTCTCTTCTAGATAAGAAAACCGACTTTTTATTTGAAACAAGATCGGAAACTATAAAGAGAAAGAGCGAGAAGGATCCTGGTGTTTTATTTGATGCCGAAGATGATGATTCAGACTACGACAACGACGACGAGGTGGACAGTAATGAAACTTTGACCGACACAAAGAAGATGTTGACGGACTCACAAAAGTTTGCATACTTGGGAATAGCTAAATTGATCACGGTGGAAATGGCCACGAAACTTGCTCGTATTCAATTTGGCTCAAATGGCCGAATAGCAAAGCAGTTGAGTGGAGGTCAAAAAAATTTTTCAAATTGGACCTTGTATGTTTTGTCGAAATTGTACGAACATTTGGATATTAATGCACAGGAGAGAGAGATGATTGAAAATTTGAGCAAACATGGCGTTGAGATATCCGATTTGTCAAGAAGTTTGAAAGAACTCGAAGTGAAAAAGTATTTGAAGAAAAGCGTTTATGTTGGAGACGGTTTCGATTTAAGGTGGGTGATCATTTGTGACTTGTTTTTGCTTTTAATAAGCGACGGTTACTACGATGCTAGGTCTCGGTCTTTGTTGATGCTCTTTGCAGACTCGCTTGATATTGCGAGATTGGAAGTATTACAATTTGAGAGGAGGTTGATTGAATGTTTGGACATGGAGACAAAGGAAAAATCCATAGAAAACAAGGATGAATCCCTAAATGATCGACTGTTTGTGCAACAACAGATACGCAAGAATAAAACCAAACGATTAGCCATGATTGGGTTGGCGACTTTAGGTGGTGGTCTTGCAATAGGTCTCTCGGCGGGACTTTTGGCGCCAGTAATTGGAGCTGGAATTGCAGCAGGGTTAACTACAGTAGGGATAACTGGTGCAAGTGGGTTCCTAGCAGGAGTTGGTGGAAGTGTTTTGATAACGACGGGGGGTGTAGCTATTGGAGCTAAAGTTGGAAATAAAGCAGGTGCAAGAAGATTGGGTGAAGTACACACTTTTGAGTTTAAGCCATTGCACAACAACAAGAGAACGAATTTGATTGTGACTGTTAGTGGCTGGATGAATGGTGCAATGGATGATGTGCGACTTCCGTTTTCTACTGTGGATCCGGTTATGGGTGATATGTTTTCCTTACTATGGGAGCCAGAGATGTTGCAATCTATGGGTCAAACCATTGGAATACTAGCAAGTGAGGCTTTGAGTACGTCCATCCAGCAAATATTAGGGGCAACCATTCTAGGCGCTTTAATGTCGGCCATCCAGTTGCCAATGGCACTTTCGAAACTTTCATATCTCTTGGATAACCCATGGAATGTTTCTTTGGATAGAGCATGGAAAGCTGGAAAAATTCTTGCAGAAACGATTCTTTCTGGGAATTTGGGAGTTCGACCAATCACACTAGTCGGATTCTCACTAGGTGCAAGGTTAATATATTCCTGTTTGATAGAAGTGGCAAAGAGAGGTGGTTACGGTTTAATTGAAAATGTCATTTTGTTAGGATCACCAATATCCATTGACACTGACCAGCTTGCTCAAGCCAGGTCTGTTGTTAGCGGCAAATTCATAAACGGGTACTCAAAGAAGGACTGGATATTGGGATATCTTTTTCGAGCGACTGGAGGTGGTCTTCTGACCGTTGCCGGGTTGTCAGCACTAAAGAACGTATATGGAATTGATAATATTGATTGCACTGAATTTGTTGAAGGGCATATGTCCTATAGAAAATCCATTCCTAAAATATTGAAAGCAATGAATTGGGAAATACTAAGTGAGGACTTTGTGGAGATTGAGGAGCCTGATCCAGAACAGGGTGAACGACAAAGACAACTTCTTTCTGAATTTGATGAAGCGCGAGCAAAGATGGAGGATGGTACAGAGGACGAAACTCCACGAAAGGGATGGAAACAATGGCTTAGGCCGAAAAAGAAAGATTGGTGGGATATTTATCGCAGCCTGAAAGAAGACAAAGATAACAAGAATGATACTGTGGAGGAATACAACATTGATACAGCAGCAACAGCACCATCGCCATCATCATCATCATCATCACTACCAATGCCAGTTTTTGATGTTGATGCGTTGACAAAAGAAGTAAACGAGATCACAGAGTTGACAAAAAGAAAACGGGAAAACTCTAGTGGACTAAATGCATAACTATTTAACTATGATCCTTTAACTGCTCTTTGTTTCTCTGTCTTTGCCTTTGTCTTTGCCTTTGTCTTTGTTCTCTGTGCTTTCAATTTTTTTTTTTTTTTTTTTTTATTTTTATTTTTTTTCTTTTCTTTTCAATTTCTCTGCTTCAAAAAATTTTCAAAGTCTCATTTATAATCAACAAGTCAAGTCAAGTCAAGTCAACTGGGTTACTACAATGCCAACTATAGCAGTTGATAAAGAGGATTTATTTGGTTTACTTGGTAGGTCATATACGACTGAAGAGTTTGACGAGTTGTGTTTCCAGTTTGGAATTGAGTTAGATGAGGACACAACTAATGATTGTCAAGCAGGTGAGAGGCCTCAATTGAAAATTGAAGTGCCTGCAAACAGGTACGATATGTTGTGCATTGAGGGTATAGCGCAAGCGTTAAATGAATTTTTGGAAACTGCCGAGGCTCCTAAATACACTTTGAATCCACCAAAGCCGGAAATTACTTTAACTATCAAAGAGTCTACTTTCCCCGTTCGTCAATATGCCGCATCTGCTATATTGAGAAACGTTAGTTTCAACCAAAGAACATACGATTCTTTTATCACTTTGCAAGATAAATTGCATACCAACTTGTGCCGAAATAGAACGTTGGTGGCTATTGGAACCCATGATTTGGACACTTTGACCCCACCATTTACATACGAAGCATTGCCTCCCAAGGATATCAAATTCAAACCATTGAACCAAAGCAAAGAGTTTGATGGGGAAGAGTTGATGGTCTTTTACGAAAAGGACAAGAACTTGAGTAAATACCTTCCAATTATTAGAGACTCCCCCGTATACCCAGTCATGCTTGACTCTAAGCGTACAGTTGCATCATTACCTCCAATCATCAACTCAGATCACTCCAAGATTACCTTGAATACAAAGAATGTTTGGATTGATGTTACTGGAACAGATAAAACAAAAACAGAGATTGTGATCAACCAGTTGGTGGCTATGTTTTCCAGATACAGTGCTACTCCTTTCGAAATAGAGCCTCTTCAAATCATTTCTGAGCATAATGGGCAAACACGCGTGACTCCAAATATTACTCCCAGAAAAATGAAAACTGACATATCCTATATCAACTCATGTTTAGGGTTGGATTACACTGGAGAACAAATTGCGCATTTGTTGAAGAAGATGTCTTTGGACGCATCACCCTCAGTAGGAGGGGAGGAAGAAAAAAAGGCTGAAGAGAATAAGAATTCAACTCTTGATGTAAAAATCCCTATAACTAGATCGGATATTTTACACCAGTGTGATATCATGGAGGATGCTGCTATAGCGTATGGTTATGACAATTTGAAAAAGACCAAACCTACTGGTGAAAGTTTGATTGCGGCCGCCTTGCCTGTTAATAAAGTAGCAGACATTTTGAGATTAGCTAGCTCCCAAGCAGGCTATCTGGAAGTGATGCCTTTAACTTTGTGCTCACATGACGAAAATTTTGGATGGCTAAGAGTCAAGGATGACGGTTCAAAAGCGGTTAAATTAGAGAACCCAAAAACAATTGAGTACCAGGTTGTAAGGACAACCTTGTTGCCGGGCCTTTTGAAAACTGTCAAGGAGAATAGAAAGCATTCTTTACCAATTAGAGTTTTTGAGTGTGGTGATATTGTTTTAAAGAATGCGGACTTGGAAAGAGGAGCTTTCAACCAGCGTAATTGGGGTGCGTTATACGTTGGTAAAGCCTCGGGATTTGAATACGTTCAAGGTTTATTGGGTAAAATTATGCAAACAATGAGAACTCCTTGGATTGAAGCGCCATCAACCGACAAAAGAAGAGGTTACTGGATTGAGGAAGATAAGGAGAATACAACTTATTTCGATGGCAGGGGAGCCAGAGTTTTGTTTAGAAGTAAACAAGATGGGGAGGTTTCTGAGGTTGGAAGTATAGGGGTATTGCACCCAGAAGTTATGAACAACTTTGATATCCCATATGCGGCTTCATATGTGGAAATTAATGCTGAGATATATTTGTGAAAAAAAAAAAAAAATAGAGTAACAAAAAAGAGAGACAAGAATGAGGAACGGCAGTCTCAGTAAGTGAGCGGCCTAATAGTACAACTCTGTGTATAGAGGGAATAAAGAGATATTACCAGCTATTTCCCATTTTTTGATGCAAAGGTAGACATGGCAATTGTGGGATAAAAATATATATGTCCACGTATACACGACTTCAATTATTCTATTTTTTTTTTTTTTTATGTTTGCATTTTTGGTGCTCGCTTTTCAACCTAGTACTTTTCTTTTATCATCCGAGTTAGAAAGTATATGTACAAGAAACTGTTTAACAATATTGCTATAGTAGAATAGAATCATAGTTAATTGTTTAAGTAGCAGACCAAGGGTAAACAACCATAGTTTGATAAGTTTCGTGCAGACCTGATTAGGAAGTCAACAATCACTGTACGTCAATAACAACCACAACCACCACCACAACAAATAATCCCAGATTAGAAGGTAATTAGTATTATCACCATGAGCTCAAAGGGAACGTCATCTAGAGCTTATGATATGATCATGAAGCTCTTGCTTGTCGGAGATTCCGGAGTTGGAAAATCTTGTTTGTTGTTGAGATTTGTGGAGGATAAATTCAATCCGTCATTTATAACTACAATTGGGATCGATTTTAAAATTAGGACTATTGAAAGTAAAGGCAAGAAGATCAAATTGCAAGTTTGGGATACGGCTGGCCAGGAGAGGTTTAGAACTATAACGACTGCTTATTATAGAGGCGCCATGGGCATTATACTTATTTACGATGTTACTGACGCTAGAAGTTTTGAAAATGTGCAGAATTGGTTCCAGACAGTATCACAACATGCCAATGAGGAAGCCCAAATCTTTTTGGTTGGAAACAAGTGTGATGATGTAGAGAACAGGCAAGTTAGCAAAGAACAAGGAGAGGAATTGGCTCATCAATTGCAGATACCATTCTTGGAAGCATCGGCAAAGAGTAATGAAAATGTTGAAGAGATTTTCCATGAGCTAGCTGGAATCATTCAAGATAAACATGTTGACGAACCCGCTAGTGGAAGCTATTCTGGCGGTGCTGGTGGAGTCGATGTTTCACAGAGTAATTCCGGAATAAAGAACAATTGTTGTTAGTGAACTGTTACCCCACCCCCCGTTACCTGCCATACGCCATACGCCACCTGCCACCCTCCACCCGTTGCCTGGCATCCTCCCACCTACCATCCACTACCTTTTGACTTTCCTTCTTCCCCATCTATTTTGCAACAGCAAAAAGTTTGCAAAATAGCAAGCGTCAGGTTAGAGTTTTCATTTTGGATAAACTTTGTTCGGTCTCACCAGTTATATCTCTCTTTTGTTTTTCTTTTATTTGCAAACTTTCTTAACTTGTGTCTTTTTTATTAAATTACAATTACTTGTTGAAAATTTACTTACTACTACATCTCTTTAGAACCGTTTTTTCTCTTGTCTCCAACCCACCTCCCACCACGAGAAACAAAACTGGGGCCCGCCACACAAAGTAAAGGTGCTCCAAACAGCCACCTACCTGAAGCCGATAGTGTCTATGTAGCAGCACTCTTTGGCAGCCCTTTTTAGCAGCCTTTTGCTCCACTATCTCGCTTGGCTCGATAGTGTTTATTTTGGTTATGACTCTTGATTAGATTTTTTTCCCAAAGTAAACCCACTGATCATCAAGTGGTTTTTCTTCCAACTCCTCCCAACATTTCAAAGCAGCTAATTCGTGACTCAAATTTAATTCATCTGCCGCTTGAATTACAATTTCTTCTATTAACCCACTACCTATTTTACTCTCTATATTCTCTGTAATTTCTTCCTCTTCCACTATTTTCAATCTGTTTTTAGTCAACTGTTCAACCGATTGTCTGTAAACCGAACTGTTGGGGAATTTTTCACCTAATACTTTCAACTGTTGGTTATACAAAGCAATAAGAGCTGGTCTCGGGTTAGGATGCTTATATAGTCCCGTGATCCCTGTGGGTAACCCTTCACCTGCTCTAACTATCACCTGCTCAACTTGCCTTAACACAGAAGTGAACCTCATTAATAAAAATCCTTTAATAAATATGTATATCCTCTATGGTACTTTTTTTCCACCTTATAATTGTCTCAATAATGGTTGGTTGAGAGAAGAGAGAGAGAAAAAAAAAAAAATTCATACAATGGAATTCAAGAGAGATTGAATCAAACACGGAATTGGTATAAAAAAAAAAGTATGCATATTGGAACAATATCAAGTGTAATTCTAAATGCCTTATATAGTTACCTAAATGTGGTAACCATATAAGGACAACAACGTTTTCTCTTGTTTATTTCATTATTGTGTATATTTTTAAAAATCACCTCCAAAGTCTCCACCATCAAAGTCTCCACCTTGATCAAAACCATCTTGGTAACCATCTTGATAACCTTCCATTCTCTCATGATCTTCCCAGCCGTTGATTGCATTTCCTAAAAGCATTCCGCCTAGTAAACCTCCTCCAACACCCATTGCCATACTTCCAGCGCCAAGCCCACTTCTTCTAGGTTGTTGTTGAACTGCTTGCGGTGGTGGGTACCCTCCATATCCTTGTGGGGGGTAATAGCCGCCAGGTGGTGGATATCCCCCATATCCTGTCTGTGGGGGGTACCCTCCGTATCCCGGTTGTGGTGGTGGGTACCCTCCATATCCTGGCTGTGGTGGATACCCTCCGCCGTAATTTGGTTGCGGTTGCGGCTGTGGTTGTTGATGGCGGTTAAAAGCCCCTCTATTACTTTGGTTTGAAGTTGTAGAGTTGACTTTTGAGTTATTTTCCTTGGGACTATAAGCCGGTGGTGGAACATCGGCAACATCACCAGTATCGAATTTTGTACCTTTAGGTGCTTCCCATTGTGACTTTTTTGTAGCTAGATCAACATAAAACCATGTACTATACTTTTCATCAAACTTTGCTAACCAACCATCGGGAACATTTGGTGGTTTATTTGGGTCATCCTTTGCCATCTCTATGGAAGTGTAACTAAAGAGAGGGGGGAAAAAATGGGGGAAAAGCAAACTTTAGATCTTGTATATGGAGGTTTATCTATATAAAGTATCTCCTATCTGAGAAAAATTATGAGAGATATCTCGTTGACAATTTAAACGCCAAATGAAAAAAAAGAAAAGAGATGAATGAGAAAAACGTGACCTCCACTATGGTATACGCCACCACTGCCACCATTGCTATCCACCATTCTTAACAGCGCTGCCACCATTGCCATCCACCATTCTTAACAGCGCTGTCACTATTGCCATCCACCATTCTTAACAGCGCTGTCACCATCTATCCTCCTGTTTTTCCTCTTCCTCCTCTGATCTAGCAACTCCAATAAGGTTTGACCAAATCAGATTGTCAATGTAAATTCATCTAGTTTTCTCAAACTCATGACGAGTAAAGGCAAAAGTAGCTCATCTCTATCCGTTCAAGTACATCTGCTATATCTATGAACGTAGAATTTAAGTAGAGAAGTAAAGTATACCAAAAGATGCAAACTATAAATATAACTTGGGTGCAAAAAAAAAAAAAGGACTTTCTCATAAAAACTTATCCATTCTTTTAGAAACTTATTTACCATGCTTTAGATTGCAAAACAATGACTCATGCACTTCCCCAGTCTACCACGCACTCCCTTAATCTAGCTTACCCTGCTCTTGAAGATGCTTTTTCCAACTTGGAATGGGCTCTGGTTGTGTTTTCTTTATCTTTTCTTCATTCATGCTCAACAATAATGTTCCCAACAACAATACAACTGTAATAGCTTGGGCATAAACTCTGGCCTGAACAATCTTTTGCGCTTTTGTCATGTATTTGTCTTTATTCACTATCCTCCAAGAACCGTATAATGAAGCTGCCCAAGCAGATACCACAATCTTGTACTTATTTTCATTTAATTGGTGTAATATTTTATCACTTGTTGACAATTTGTTGTAATTTTCCAATGCTTGCAACTCCTGCCTCTTTAAGTAATCCAGTTGATACCTTTGTTCATCAAATTTGACTGATCCATCGTCGGCATAAAATGCACCAAGAGAAATCGTTGGCATTGCAAAAATGGCCGCTTTGATCGAACTACTCAAACTTGCATACCTTACTGGCCGCTTGTATTTAAAAAACTTTAATAAACCAACACCAACAACAGCACCAACAATGCATCCTTTGACTCCTTCCTTAAGGACATGCTCACTATGTTCTCTCTTCTCTTCTTCTGTTAATAACTTCATCTTGTAACCTTTTATCCGCTTATTTCAAACACTACAAAAACTAGCTCACAAAAGAGAAAATGAAGAAAGCGCCTGTCTATTTATACACACCACCTTATTGGTGGCAAAATTATTTTCATTTAGAGTTTAAAAGTATGGAGCATATATGAGCATTTTTCTTTTATTTTTGGAAAAAACAGTCAAAGCATAAACTACATATTAATATTCGTATATTAATGATACCATATTTTCATTGCCTCCAATATATGTAAGAACCCTGAATAACAATCATCTAAAAAGAAAAATAAAAAAAAAAGAAAAAGAAACAGAAAAAGAAAAGGAGATAATTTACTGACTAAACGATAAAAGTATATGGGGGGAGGGGCCAAGAAATGCAACACTACTTAGGCAAATCATTTCAAAACCTGGTTCCGGATATCTCCATATGTCCATATGTCTTTATGAGAAATAGAAGCTGGAACCTTTTGATTGATGCATAAAATTAGCTCATGTATATAAATCTAGTTTTATTGATAAGTTTATTTAATATTCAAAGTAGAGTGCGCCAACGGGCGAGCGGGCGAGCGGCTCCATTAAAAAGTGTATTTCCTAAGGTGGTATAAAATATACTACATCGCCAATCAATGATTCGTTGCTTCCTCTTTGACTACAACTTATGGTCACTGACTAAGTATAATACATCTGGCCCTTATTATTATTGCGTCTTCTTTCCTCTTCCTCCCTCCCTCCCTCCCTGCAAGGCTCTAAGGGTTTTTTTTAAAGTTATCGACACACATTGTGTTAATAAACAAATTACCCTATTGGTAATTGTGAGCGGGCCCGACTGTCATGTTTTTTCTTCTCGAATTACGGAAAGATTCGTGTGAGCAACTCGGCCGAGAAATGTCATTTACCACGGAAGCGCCCTTTTCTTTTTTTTTGTTTTTTCTTTTTTTTTTTTTTTTTTTTAATTCCATCGCATCTCAATTTTTCACTCTTCTCTCTTCTCATATTGTTTTGAAACTGAGAAATAAGAAACACTTATAGAGGAAGAAGGTACAGGGTCATTTGTAGAATCCTGCCTAAAACTTTTTTTTTTCGGCGTTTTGTAAGTTTGTGGGGTTCTTCACATTAATGTGGGAGCAACTAAAGACTGAAGATGGCCAGGTTTATTACTATAATCCAGAAACTCATGTGAGTTCATGGACCATACCTGAAGGAGAAACAGATGAAGGAGAGGAAGGGGGTAGAGGAGGAGGAGGAGGAGATGGTGGTGGTGGAGCTGCTGTTGCTGCTCCTGCTGCTGCTGCTAGTAGTTCGTCTTGGCAGGAGTTTATCACAGATGATGGACAAAAATATTACTATAATGAATTGACTGGGGAGACGACCTGGGACAAGCCAGATGAAATGGTGGACGAGGGAGAAAAGAATGCAGAGGAAAAGAGGAAAGCGAGTGAAACCACTTCAATTGAAGAAAGTCAATTGGACAAAAAACTCAAAGAGGAGCCGGTACAGCTTCCTTCAACAATGAAATCTTTTGAGGAAGTTGAAGATAAAGAGCAGGTCTTTTTACAATTATTGAAGGATGCTAATGTCGATTCTACATGGTCTTTCCAAGCAGTGATGGAGAGGCTTATTGACAAACCCGAGTACTGGGCGGTGACTAATCCTCTAACAAAGAAAAAATTATACGAAGAGTATTTGGTAAACAAGTTTCAAACAGAGATGAGTAACGACACAAACAACAAAAGTGAACTAGTTGATACTTTTGTGAAAAATTTCAATAATGAATTGCTACGTTTAAAGAGTGAAAATAAGATTAATCATACCACCAGGTGGGTCTCTTTAAAGAAATTGCTCATTGATGAGGAAAACCCAATTTTCAAGCACTCGGTAGTGGACGACAAGGAAATGGCCAAATTGTTTTACAAGTTTTCCAATAGTCTTAAACAGGACCATCAAAGAGAAGTCGCCAAACTCAAGGAACAGGCCCTCGAGGAGCTTTACAAATATTTGAAACTGTTAAATCCGACTTTGGTATCGGAATCGAAAACCTTTGAAGGATTTTTATCGAGATTAGTTAAGGATCCAAGATTTCAGCAGAATAAGCATTTTGAAGTTTTGAAAGATTTAGATATATTGAACTTGTATGAAACAAAGCTATACCCAGATATTATTTTGGATTTGAAAACTCGCTTACATCGCAAACAAGAGGAGAATTATCGACTAGATCGTAAGGCAAGAAAAAACTTTCGAGAATTGCTAACCAAATTGAAACTCGTGGCAAGCACTAAATTTTCCGATATCTTCAAGAAAATTGAGGATGAGGATGCTTTCATTGAGTTATGTGGAAGGAATGGTTCCACGCCATTAGAGTTGTTCTGGGACGTCATCAATGAGAAGAAACAATTTATCAAATTGAAGAAGGACTTGGTAGAAAACATAATACAAGATTTGAAAAGAAAACGCGAATACGAACCAAGTATGTGGGACTCTTTTGAAAGTTTTGTCAATAAGTTGAAACTGATAAAAGATGACAATAGGTTATTGAATCTCGACTTGAATATCGAAACAGCAACAGCTAAAGATAACGAAATTATGCAAATTTACAAAACCTTAAAACACGAAAATGAAAATGAAAATGAAAATGAAAATGAAACAAAGAACAAGATAGTTGAAAATGAAATGCAGAGCAGGAAATCTGAAAATGAAATACAGAGCAGAAAAGCTGAAAAAAGGCCAGCTCCGGAAACACACCAGCTTTCAAGTACTCCTAGACCCAAGAAAGCTAAACGTGAAGTGAAAAAGGTTTTAAATTATTAACCTCTTGCAATTATAACCTACATGGATTGTAGTTTTTACTAGTCGTGTACTTGCATCAATTTGGAGCCTTTTTTTTTTTCAAAACTTCATCAATTTTGTTCAAGAGTTATATCTTTGGAATCCTTTCTAGCCGAACTTTTTCCTCTTTGCTATAAGAAAACGGCACATTGATCTCTCAAAAAGGTTCATTATCCTCTGAATTCGTCAAAAACTACCAAGTAAACATATATGGTATGTATCTATGTATATATAGGTGCTATTTTGTACAAACTCTATTGATTGTTTAATGGTACTAACAAGAGAATCTAAGTCGCAATCATTGAAACCATACTTGACAGCCGTTAGGTCTTCACTCACGGCTGCAATTTGTTTGCAAGATTTTTCATCGCAACTAGTTGAACGTCATAATCGGCCAGAGATTGAAGTGACAAACACACATAATCCGGAATTAATCCTTAATCCAATGCATATAGCGCGGAATGAAAATGAGAAAATTTTGATTGAGCCAAGTATTAATTCAGTTCGTGTATCAATTAAAATCAAACAAGCTGACGAAATCGAAAATATCCTTGTTCATAAATTTACTAGGTTTTTAACATCAAGAGCAGAGAGTTTCTTTATCTTGCGTAGGGTCCCTATAAAGGGGTACGATATCAGTTTTTTGATTACAAATTTTAATACCGAGCAAATGTTGAAGGATAAATTAGTTGATTTTATAATTGAGTTTATGGAAGATGTTGATAAAGAAATAAGTGAAATGAAACTATTTTTGAATGCTAGAGCTAGAGTAATTGCCGAGTCGTTTTTAATTCCCTTTGATTGAAAAAGAAAGGATAAAAAAAGGAAAAAAGTAAGCAAGAAAGAAAGAAAGAAAGAAAGAAAAGAATATCTGTATACACTTTCGACCCATACGTGATTGTATATACTTCCCTCCCTTCTTTCCTTCCCCCCCCCCAATACTCACGAGTGAATGAAATGAAAATGAGACATTTTCTAGACAACAAAAAAAAAAAGCTGCTTTCTTTGTTATCTAGTTGATTTTACTGGTGATTGCGACATCACAGCTACCTCTTGCGATTCATCCATAAGACCGGATTTTCTAGAGTTCTGGTCTTTTGGTAAAACAACCTGAGACGAATTTAGTAAGTGAATTACTTTGTTCCGTGGCGTGTTGGAGTTCAAGTCCGAGTCGGTAGCTTGGTTTTGCAATTCTTGCAGGGATGCATCACCGCTGTCGTTATTCGTGTTGTTGTTATTTTGGTACTGCCCACTCCTTGGTCCTTGGATATTGTTATGAAACTGATGTGCTTGATGACTTGGATCATGGTATATTTGCAGTGAGGGTGATCTATAAATCGGTTCTTCCCCAACTTCTGTTTTTGTAGACAGCTGCTGCATATTTTGCTGATTTTGAACATTTGGTAAAACTATTGGCAAATCACCGTTACCATTATCGTTGAACAAACCGGGAATATTTGTTAAAACTATATCCAACTGGGATAATGCTTCTGCAGCTTGCTCAAATCCGTTAGAAGAAATTTTTAGAATCCAACGATAGTTAAATATCTGATCTCTGTAAAAATCAGCTTCTTCTTTTGTTGGTGCCGATATGTATAAAATAGCGGCAAAAGTCCCAATTAATATGAAGTTGGGCAAGGAACACGAATGCCAAAATGAATGAATATGTTCTGGTTTTAAATCTCTCACAAATTCTATCGAGGCCATTAATCTTGTTTTCGCAGCCGATCGACATACACTAACTAGCTCGGATGAAGGAGGGTTCCCTTCCTCTGTTTGTTGATAAATAATCGTTGCAATTTTGCGATGTAGTGTTAATTCGGTTGCAAAATAAGCTAGCTGGAGGTATCCGTTCGAACATAGTTTTCTTGGTTGCACCGAACTCATTTGTAGCTCGACCGGTAATGAATGGAACCATTTTCGTAATTCCAATTGTAAAGGCTTGGCTAACTTTAACACTTCATCCACGGTCGTGATTTCATTCATTGCTTTCATTGAATAAAACTGATCTAAAATATCCGATAAAATCTTTGAAAGTTCAATAAGTCTCATAAATATCTTTTTCCCATTATCAATATCAGAAGAACCTTCTTTTAAATCACCATCGCCATGTTTTTCAGGAAAATCCTCCTCAAATAATGGTAAAACAATCCAGTTGTTCTTGCTGATGTGTGATGGTCTTGATTCTTTCAATGATAACCATTTGTCTTCCATATATACTGCCCATGCTAGTCGTTTTCTCAAATCACGTTCCCATTTGGGCAACTTCCAATTATTACAATCCAAGCCTAACCCCAACTCTTCGGCAAGAGAAACAACTTGAGAGCAAAGAACCCATTCAGAATATTCAGCATCTCCACTATTCTGTACTTGATGAACGGATGATTTGCAACTGATAACGTGTTTGCACTGAAGTAACAAAAGACCAGCTTGTACTGCACTTAGTTTAGGTCGCTTCAAAATCTCTTGGAAGTAATTGTTAAGTCCTATTTTGAGTATCAATTCTATATTTGGCTTGGCGAACCTATTCAACTGAGGATCATAATCCCACCACTGAATTGCCAACACATAAACAGCCGCTAGTAAGGGCGCGCTGAATTCCCGATGCGTTCTTGAATATTTTTCCAAAAACACTTTCTTATGAATTATAGGATATGAAGGATGAATGATTCTAAAATATAAATCAATTAAGATCTGTCCATGTGGTGAAATCAATTTTTCTATGGTATCGACGTCGTTTGTCATTGTTTGGTACAGTCGAGGTGATTGGTCATCTTTTAATACAAATTGTACTTTATCGCTGACTTTTCTCAAAGATATCGAATCACTTAAACTAACCTGCTCAATTTTTTTCTTATTTTTGTTCTTGTTGTTCTTGTTCTTGTTCTTGTTGTTGTTGTTGTTGCTGTTGATGCTGCTATTGTCACTGTTCTTGGTATTATCATTGTTGTTGTCATTGTTGTTGTTGTCATTGTCATTGTTGTTACTGTTATCATCGGTGGTTTCGTTTGATTGATGTTGTCCATTAATAATGCAATTCAACAAATTGAGATCGTACAAGTGTGAAGTGGGTCCCACGTAAAAGCTAGAACGCGGAAATTGTAAAGACAAGGTCTTTTTTAAAAGCGAGTCATTTATAGCTGAATACTCCTTGACTGGAGGTACATCTCGTATAGGTACATTAGGGATTTGCATAGCTTCTTGAGGCGAAAGTTTTAAATTTTCCATTCTCGCTTTTTTGCTATACTCAGAGTTTGCATCAGTTGGCTTTCTTTTCAAAGCTTGTGTAGCGTACGTACACATCAGCTGTTTAGCTTCACATTGAGCACAAATACTAGAGTTTGGCATTAAGACACATTTGATTTTCCTCTTGCGGCACTGATCACAGGGACGTCTTAGTTTTGCTTTTGTTGTGGCTGTAGTGGCAGGCAGTGTCTGCTGTACCTGTTCCTCTTCATGTTGTTGTTGTTGTTGTTGCTGTTGCTGTTGCTGTTGCTGGTGTTGGTGTTGGTGGTGGTGTTGGTGTTGGTGGTGTTGTTGCTGATAATTACCCATAGAAGAGTTTGGAATATCCTGCATTTGCGTGTTCTCGTGATAAACACTTTGCGTAGAGCCGGAGGGATAATTGGCCGTGCTTAACCTGTCATCAGTCATATTAGTGTGTACACTATTTTGCTGGTAAAAATATTGAATGTTGTTTTCGTTAGGGGTAAAGTCATTGTTCTGCGGCAAGCTAGTGTAAGAACCATTTGAAGGTGGTTGTGCTGGTAAATCAATATTATATATATATTCTGCAGAATTTGGGTCAAAGGTGACATTGGGTAACCAAGCTTGATCCCCATATTGCTGTGAGTTTAAACCAGATCCATTTTTTGGCTCATAATATTTATCGTCACCTTGTAAACGATTTAAGTTATAACCATGTTGAAATTGGGCATTTCCAAAAGTATTACTAGGAGGTAGATTACGCTCATTGTTATTACCTTCTTTCCTTGTTGAGGGACACGGCATTATCTTAGATTCTTGGGCTGATGGAGTCGTCGTCTCTTCATCTCGAGTATAATCAGTATTTTTTTGATTCTGTTGCCCAGACATTTTCTTACTACTCAAAGGGAAAAATTGACAAGACTGGTTATTTGCTTTTAATATCTTTTATACAGACATACGGCTCTTGAGTAACCTTGACTTTGCTCTTGGGTATCCTAGTCTCTTTAGTTGCAAAATTGACTTATCAAACATTAACTGTTGATTAAATTTAAAGTGCTAAGTTTTTTTTTTTCCTCTACCTAATTAATTTTTCACTGAGATAACCCGCAGAGGGTTGATATTGATACTAGCGAGCAGAACTATCGAGCGACACTATCGAGCGAGGCGAGATAGTGGAGCAACACTAACTATTGACACTATCGAGCAGAGCGGGATAGTGGAGCACCACTGACTAACGATACTATCGAGTAGAGCGAGATAGTGGAGCACCACTAACCGACACTCTCGACCAGAGCTTCATAGTGGAGAGTAATTAGATAATATTGAGTTAACAAATTGTAATTAAATGATATTGAGTAAACAGACTGTAATACCGAGTTAACGCTGTGACACCATTGAGCAGAGCTCCATAGAGGAGCTGTAATTGGATAATGTTGACTTTGTTAGTATCCAACTAACAAAGTGCAATCATTTGGGATTTTCCCGTCAAACTTTAATTCTTTATACTCTATAGCTTTCTATTAGACTCTATTTGGGCAAACACATGCATCAGGAAAAAGTAACCGCTGCTTGGGAACTTATATACAGATGGTCAGTACTGCTAAACAGGATTGCTAAACAATGTTGCTAAACCGGGTTGCTAAACCGGGTTGCTAAACAGTGTTGCTCCACTATCCCGCTCTGCTCGATAGTGTCAATAGTTAGTGTTGCTCCACTATCTCGCTTCGCTCGATAGTGTCGGTTGACAGTGTTCCTAAATTTGAAGCCTTTCTCTAAGGTTTTCCCAGAATCCCTTATCGTATATATTGTTTATATCACTAACCACAGACTCAACAGGTACTAATGAAACCTCATCCACATTTAAAATTCTTTCATCTTTCAAACTAATATATACCGGCTCCCCAGTGAGAAAACCCTTCTCGACAAAAGTCTCCTCTTCTATGGGTGGCAGAACTTTATACAAAACACCAATATCGACAAGATGTTCAATTTCTGACCATTTATCTAGCTCATTTGTCGTGACACCAAGATATACATATCTCACATGCAAGCTTGTGAACAAGGTAGCAATTACCACAAAAATGGAGCATAATATAACAAAAATCCCCGTGACTTTATTAGCATCATTGGTTCTTGTAACAACTGACCAAAAACTCTGCCAGTTTTGCATCTGCAAAGATATCACCGAAAAGCATAGAATCCAGCCATACGCGAGCATATTAATATTTGCAAACAAAAACATTACAAACCATTTATAGTTGTTGAATCCGATACAATTGTTAACCCATATGCAATGATGATCATACAACAAATAGCAATGATTGCAAATCGAGCAATGTTTTGATCGTGCTGGTTTTATAAGTTGGCAAGTTTTACAATAATTATTCTTAAAGAATATCAATTGATCCGGCTGGAAGCGAGCTAGTTTAGCTGATGTCTCTATTACTTCGCCGGGACTTATCATACAACAGGCTATTGTTGTTGCAAAAACCGCAAACATGGAAAAAAGTATGTAGACATGATTGAAATATCCTATTGAAAGCATCGGTAATGTCTTTTGTATAAACTGCTGGAAACATATACCAACAACAATCAAGTATCCAACGGGCACTCCCCAGCCAAGATAGTAAACCAATCTTCCCTGAGTAGCCACATCCAAGTACCTATACACCAGATAAAGCTTAGTCGTGGCATTCAAAAAATATATCCTAACCTTATGTATGGGAGTATTTCTAAAACTCGGCGAGTCTCCAAATACTAATAGTACAGTGAAGAAAAAAAAAAAACCAATTATACAAAGCAAAACCTTGAAAATCATTACTCTCTTCAACTAAACTATCGGCTCTCTAACCATCTATTTTCAAACCATTTGCTCTCTAATCATTCTCTTCTTTATCAATTCAATTTTTCATTCTTGAGAAGGAGAGAAAAAAAAAAATCAAACTTGATAAACACGAAGAGAAAAAAAAAAAAAGAGCGCTAGATAAAGAAAATAGTTTGATTAAGGAAAGGGAGGGCGGTTATAGTTTAAAGGTACAGGTTAATGGTACAATGGCCTTGTGTTGCAGCCTTATAGATGCTGAAGTAGAACACGTTCAAGGAATATTAAACTCCATTTCGTTTAACTCAGATAGGGCGACGTATTTTTTGAAAATCTACAAGATTACTTATGAAGAATTGATGAAATTAAATGAACAACCATACAAGTTCCCCATTGAAGCCAATAAGCTATTGAAATTGAGTATTTCTTTGGGAAATCTATTGAAAACACTACAAATGGACGAGGAAGACTTTCAACACCAGCGTCAACAACAACGGCAGTTTTTAAGTAAGCTAAATGGGAAAAATGCCGATACCAATACTAATGCTAATGCTAATGCTAATACTACAGGTGGTAACAGCAAATTGAACAGTGCCGAGGATCCTTTTAGTAGTGGCAAGCAAAGTCAATTTCCAGCAAGACATGTAATACACAGTGATAGTAGTCAAACATTACAAAACCAGCCTCATCAAATGAGATTTGTCAAGAACTTACTAACGATTCTCAAAAATTTCGATATTGATGAACCTAGGGTGGTTAGCTATAGTGACTATTCGAGCAATAATCGCGAAAGTATGGGGTCTTTTGCTTCTGCTCCACATACACCGCAACGGATTTTTTCTAACGGAAGTAATGGCAGCACAGTGATCACCTCACCAATCAAACTAAACTCCAAACAACTTCTAATTGAAAAGCTAGAGATAAATATCGATCTAGACATTTTATTTATTTATAAAGTTTTGTTCAAGCTCATATTAGAAATATATGCAAAAATACGTCAAAATTTAATTCAGTTAAATGAGAATGGCGTAGTAGAAACTACGTCATCTTCAAAAGCGTCACCTTCACCATCCCCACATGATGAAAATTTGTCAATCTTTTCCACAAGAACATCAGTATCCCAAGAGTCAAATCAAGACAGCGAAGAGTATTTAAAGGCTTTCAATAATGTACTCAACCGAATTAGTCATGGTATTGTTCAACCTTTTGCTTCCTTAATTTATGTTGAAATAGTTGAGCCTAAGATAAATGACAACTTTACTCGTTTAATAAATAACTTATGAATTTATGTATAAAACTCGATTAGAGGAACTGTAAAGGGATTTCTAACTCAGACCGTATTCTGACCTTAATTTCCGGCCTTCAGACCCTAATTCTAGTATATCGGCCCTTATTGTAGCATGTTGACCCCCTACTTTTCAAAAATCAAAACCATTTATTAGGTGGATCACTTGGTAGGGTGTAAGTGATTGCTTTATCACAATGTAGATTTACACTTGGTTTGCACTTAATTTTGCCTCTTCAGCATCCATTCTAAGGGAACCACCAATCAGCAAATTTCCTCCAAATAAATTTACTTGTTCTCCTACCCAATAGTTTCCCAATTAAAGGAAATATGATTAAACTTAGCAATGTTTGAATCTGCTTCATCAGCTCTTCCCATTGTTCTTGAGCAGAAATCTGATACTGTGACGAAGATACAGTTGAAACAATGTCTAAACTTGTATAATCTGAGTCATAATCCTCCTCACCATCACTGTTTTCTTCAGTTAAATTCTGAATATCCATTAGCGTAGTCATGCTCAACACGATTAAGAGTAGTAGTTAGTAGTTGAGAAAAAAAGATCAAATGAAATTGAAAAATTAATAAAGTATACAACTTGGAGGGAAACCTTTTGTTTTATGACAGTTTGGCGGCGGGCGGAAATGTATTAGCACAGAGGTTATTCTTTTGCTGACCTAAGAGATATGACAAGGCTAATTTTACTGCCGTCGGTGCTTTTTCTGGACTATTCTATGGCAACGCCAGCTGAACCAACGCGAATTCGTTTAATAGTTCAACTCGTTAAATTCTCTTCACATAATTCATTGCTTACGATCCAAGCGATTCCTTTGCTTAGTGATCTTACACAATTTGATATAGATATAAGTAGTTTACTTGATGAGAAGCATTGGCTGTTTAAAAAGGGAGATTTTTTGAATATTGAGGCTTATTTTAATGGTACGGATATTGATGCATTTCGAATAAACCGTGTGCTGGATCTAGACAACGTTATTAAGGAATGGCGAGTTTTAGAGTATATGAGTTCAATTAAACCAATTAAGTAATTGAGAAGGGGTGGGCACTAACTGTGACAAATGAACAGAAGAGCATGTAAGCTAATGGAGACGACCGGGAAAGAATTAAAAGCCAGTGGTGATAAAGGCTCATAGGAGAGTAAATGAGACAGAGTAGAAAAGAGAGTGGATGAGGATGTGTAGATAATGGAATCTAGAAGGTTAATGAAAAGGGACTACAACATGAGAATTGGGGCGTTTCTAAAATGGATATCTAACCCACTAGCAAAGCCTAAGCTCCATTACCTCTTTAATAAAACAAAAACTTTATACCCTAAGCTCAAACAAGCCCCAGCCATAAAACGAGCAAGCTCCAACAAGTGTGAGCTCCAACAGGCGCAAGCTTGAACCATCTCAAAGCTTTGTAAGGGTCCTTTTAAAAGTATATAGTGACATCTTCAACACGCATTCAAGCAAATGTCGGCGGCTAATCTTTTTTTTTTTTTTTCAAGATCATCTCATCTCATCTCAACTCATCTCATCACATCGCAAGTTGATGTACAAGCGAATTGCATCTCTTTTCCGACGAAGTAAGATGGCAAGTGTAGAATCTAATGGAGATAAATCCCAATTGGTTACCGAATCAGCTTTCAACTATACGACCGAGGGAAAAGCTACTATTCTAACCCCGCAAAAAGATGAGGTATTTTATAATCCCATCCAACAATTTAATCGAGATTTATCAGCAATGTCGATCATTGCTTATAATCAGCTTCGGTTACAAGAAGCCAAATCGAAAAACAACAAGAAAAGGAAACTCCAAGGTCTAACCATATTGGAGGCCTTAGCTGCATCAGGGTTAAGATCCTGTAGGTATGGTTTGGAAATTTCCCAAGTTCACAAAATCGTTGCGAACGATTTATCTAGCGAAGCAGTGGAATCGATAAATAGAAACATTGAACATAACGGTCTAACAGGAAAAGTGCAACTGAACCAATCAGATGCCATAAAATTCATGAGTTCGACGAATATGAAATTTCATATAATTGATCTTGATCCATATGGTACAGCATCGCCGTTTATCGACTCGGCAATTCAATGTCTTGAAGATGAAGGAATGTTGCTAGTCACATGTACTGATGCAGCAGTACTTGCAGGGAGCGGATATCCCGAGAAGTGTTTTGCATTATATGGAGGAAATAACTTTGGTAGTTCTTATATAAATAGCGAAACAAATCACGAAGTGGGGATCAGATTGATGCTCCAATTGATTGCCAATACTGCTGCTAAATATAAGAAGGCAATTGAGCCTATGTTGAGTTTGAGTATCGATTACTATTTTCGGGTATGGGTTAAAGTCAAGACGAGTCCTGTTCGAGTTAAGAATATATCTAGTGAAACTATGTTAGCGTTTGGATGTAATGGATGTGGCAACAAGGTTGTACAACCATTGGGAATAAAGAAAGAATGTAAATTTTCCTATCCTAAATTACAGCAATCGGTTTCTAGTCATTGTCCATACTGCAACGGGTCATTCAATATTGCAGGACCTATGTATGGCGGCGAAATACACAACCCTGAATTTCTTGACCAGATTCTTGCTATAAATGAAAAGTCAGACAAGGAAATATACAAGACAACAGAACGTATCAAGGGAATGTTAACACTTGCCAAAAATGAGTTGACTGGTGTTCCATTTTTCTTTAACTTGAACCAATTGAGTGCTCTATTCAAGTCGCCGCCCATTTCTATTGATCTGTATAGTAGAGCAATTGGTAATTTGGGATACAATCTAAGCTTGACCCATGCAAAAAAGAATTGTATTAAAACAGATGCCCCATGGAGTGTAAACCTTGAAGTGATCAAACAATGGAGTAGGGAAACCAATGAGGCATACTTGAAAGAGATGAAAGAGAAGCAAGCAAATGGGGAGGAGTTGAACGATAAGATCAAGGACAAAATGGCCAAATTGGACCAAGATATAAACTTCAACCCTAACTTAAGTCCCAAGTCACCTGGAGCTAATATCTTGATGAAGACGAAGGAGTTGGAGTTAGATGAAGAGAGAAAATCGTTAAACATTGATTTTACAACTGAGAATGAAGTAAGTAAGAAGATTCTGAAGTTGAGAAAGCTCAAGATGGTCCGATATCAAGAGAATCCTAGAAAGAATTGGGGTCCAATGTCGAGACCAAAGTAGAAAAATAAATAAATGTAAATAAATCAATGTGTGTGAGAGAAAGTGGGTAAATGTATAATGTGTAATGGCTACCGAATTACTATAGTCAATGCTGCTCCACCATCTCGGTTCGCTCAATAAGGGTCGCAGGCATACTCTTACAACTCTAGACTAAAATTAGGGCGCCTCAGTGAGGCACCTGCTTTTGTCTCGTGTAATTCCGCAGTACATAATATTACTAATACCAGCGCTACCGACTTACTTGTCGTAAATCTTAAGTTTCTAAACAAGGCTGTGCCTCTTTTTCAATTGTTCGTTAGATATGGTAGCATTGAGGCAACCTTAAATGAAATGAATGCGCGCGGCTAAGAAAAAAAAAATATAGATATAATCTTACAAAATAACGCCATTGCAATATTATTCCTTGCCAAATATAATAAAACGGTAGGGTAAATAGCTAGGGTAAATAGCTAGGGAAAAGGCTGTGGTGAAGAAAACGTGGTGAAGAGAACGTGGCAGAGTCGAGTCAATTTCAAAAGATGTAGGATGTTCTTGTATTAATAGGTATCTATAAAATATTAAATGGATGGTTGGAAAGTAAAATATGGTATTAAAATGATGTTGATGTTGTTTTTAAAAAAGTAAATTTATTTCTATTTTTATCTCTCTTATAATAAGAGAGCAACAGCACCAGCAGCTAAGATACCAACAGCACTAGCTCCAACAGCACCTGAACCACCTGTTGCAGAAGTTGTAGTTTGGTTAGCTGGAACAGCAGTATCATTTGTTTCGTTGGCAGCTGAAACAATTGAAGCAACTGAAGCTAAAGCGATGATAATGTTTTTGACTTGCATTGTGTGTATATATTTAGCTTAAGTGATGGTTATTAGTAAAGATAATAATGACAATTTTTCTTCTTCTTCTAAAAAAAAAACCCGAGAGAAGGGGGAATTCCAAGAGTATTTATAGCCCAAAGCCAGGGGGGCGGGAACACCAAATTGTTAAGTGCCTTTTTTTAAAACAAAGAGAAACGACTCATCTCCTAGACCCAATAGATAACAATTTTTCACTAATTTTTTTTTTTTTTTTTTTTTTTTTTGCACTCTAATTTTTCAATGCATTGCATTTTACAATGCATTTTTAATTTTTCTTTGCAATTTTAATTTTTCAATGAAATTTTTGCCTTCTTTGTGAAGATTTGCATTTCTCAACTAATACGGTTTATTTTAATCTTATTTTTATTTTAATCTTATTTTACTCTCATATCTTTATGTTTTAGAATGGTTTCTTGCCTAATTTGATGCGAAATTGACTTAAATACACATCAAGACAAGGTTTAAACTTTTTAAGTTGTGATTGTAACAAACATTTTTATCATCGTGGGTTAGTTTGAAAAAAATTCCTTTCAACAACAAACAACACACTACAGCACAACCACCCAAATCTTTCTATTAAAAATTCAGTACGGCGCGTGGTAGCGCTAAATTGTGAAAACAAGCTAATCTTGAAGTTGTCGAGTTAGTTAGTTAGTTAGTTAGTTAGTAATATTCCATAGCTTTATCGTGGTATGCAAGTTTCTAGTTTACTTAGGTTTAGTTTAATTTTATGTTTCTTGTTCTCGTTAATCGTGTTGTTGGGGTGTAACAAGGGTATAAGTAGAGCAACAAGTGTGATAGTTGATTGAGGTCTAGATGTGGCGGCACTCGGCTTACATTTGGTTGCACAGAACCTAGTTGTGGAAAACCACATTGTACAAAGCAGCTTACACAATTTACGAAATTTATTTACTCGCTAAACCATTCTATATTAAGACATATACAAATTTGCATCAAACTAATTAGCACACAAATTTGCATCAAGCTATTTAGTATACAAATTCGCATCAAACTATTTAGCATACATACCACCACCTATTCAATCGTTTATTTTAGATTTCCGTCTTGCTGAGCATTATTGTTCTATTATCAAGTTAAAAGTGTTATTTTCAATCAAGGGTATAATTTTTATGCAAATGCATCATTTTCTGGTCACCTGACTTTATTTTACATCTTATTTGTAATCCTAACCAGTTCTAGTAAGTATATACAAGGTTCAACTTTATCGAAATGCAGCAACTACTGGCTAATATTGACTGGAGTGCAGCATTTACTGATTACTATCAACTATTTACTATATGATCCATTTGATATTTTGCATTAAGGTTTTACTTCTTTTTTTCTTTTTTTCTTCAGGGCGGGAGGGGAGGAAGTTTTTATTCAATTACTTAGCCTCGATTCTCCTATTCATGTTCAAAAAAAATTAAATAAAATAAAAATAAACACAGCCCTAAAACTGGGAAATAAGCTTAAGATCAAAGGGTACAATACACTTATCCCTCAAAGGCACGACAAGAAATAACAATAAAAGACTAGGAAAAGCTTTCGGTATCTGTCATTTGATGGATGTTATCTTATACATGTTATTGTTTATTTTTTGTTTTTTCTTCTTTTCCTTTATAACGATTATTTTATTGGCGCACTCACTGTAAATTCGCTGGTGCGCACCAGTTACAATCTTTTATTTAAAATTCAATTAATAATATTGGGTGCAATGAAAAATGCTTAACTGTATCTCGAATCTCCTTTACAGTAAGCAACCACCAGAAACTTTTTCTTAAATCTGTTACTGCTGTTGCCTTGCATTTTTTTTTTCTTGGTAAAATCTCGAACTCGTGCTTTATCTCGACTCTCTTACTTCACTTGATGAAACCTTAAACTAGTCGCATTTATGACCAATAATGAGCCTATTCAATATATTCAATAAACAGTACTAAGTTTAGTCCCCATGAACAGCAATGAGTTTAGCCCAGTACTTGTTCAATCTCCCCTTCTTTTTCTTTTTTTTACTACCTAGTACCTGCGTAGTCTCTTTTTTTTTTTTTTTTTTAGATTTTGCCCCTCTACTTTGTATTACAGTTTTTCTTTTTATGTTTTCACCCCACCACATGGAGAAGTTTAGTAATTTAGTATAGTATATTAGTTTACCAACCTTGTGTTACTTGGCAAGATATTTCGAGATTACCTCTTATCTTTCAAATTAATAAAAAGGTGGGTAAGAATTACCCACGGATTCTAAGTAAGCTTACTTGATATCGTCAATTTTTAAATCAACTCTGCAATGGAAGCATTCAAGTTACACAAGGCTATAATCCCCCCCCATTAGTTACTCTATGTGTACCATCTAAATTTATGTTGCACCAATATGCGGGTGTTATTGATCAATGCTTTATTTTTATTTGCCATACGCGTTTCTAACAATTTGGGAAAAACACGGTTTTTGCTTATCGAAAGAATATTGAAATATTGAAATATCCAACAATCGACTCAGAAGAGATGAGCTGTACACAATTTACCAAACAGCTAACGCACTGTAAAATCAGCGTTTTAAATGATATAGCTATACTCTGTGGAGCACCAATACTCTCCTCTTCCAAGGCATCTAGAGTCGAAGGTATATTATCCCAATTGAATTTCTACAAATCTCAATATGCAAACCTACACAAGAGATCAACACTAGCCATTGATTTGGGTATAAAAAATTTCAGTTTCTGTAAATCAACAGGCTCGAAATTCCCCATACGCATAACAAAGTGGGATAAAATTGATTTGCACGATAAATATGGCCTGAGCTATATCCCATTAATTCATGAAAATACCGTTTTCGACAGACGAAGGTATTTGAATCATATTGCAAACGCGTTGGTTGATGATTTAGATATCATCTCTACAAATGTTAAGATTATGGAATCACAGCGTACTAGGTCTCAATTCGCACCAGCAACATTACCTCATGTCCTATTATTACATGATTTGGAAATACTCATCATGAGTAAAGTATACCCAGAGTCAATCTTACCTCAGTCGTCTAAGCAAATGATGGATTTTTGGCTATATAGGTATATCACAAAGGAATCACGTATGAAATTGAAAAAGAACAACAAGATTGTAAGAACCGATCTTGCAAAGATATGGTTTGATAAATTGTATTCAATTGTAGATTACAAAGATTCAGAAAAATTTGAAAAATCCACCATATTAAAGTTTCTAAACCTCGATCCTAAATTGGACAAGGCCGATGATTTGATCGACAGTTTGCTTTATAATTTGTTTGTTAATTGTCAATTGAATAATTTGGCTGATTTAGTAGGGGTTTTGGGAAAAGGTGACGATTTACAAGAGTTTGTTAATGAGAAATCTATTTTTCATAGAGATTTGATCAAACCCGTGGTTGACCAATATAGAATGGAGTATAAATCAGAAAAGGGCAAATAGGAATAGATCAAAGAATAGAAGGAGAAAAAAAAAAAAAGAAACAAATCAAGAAATCAAGTTATATGTTTCAGCAACTTGCCTCTTTAACCGTTCCTCCTTCTATTCACTTTGGATGTCCTCTCACCTGTGAAGCATTTTTGCTCACGTTTTGTATTCCCACCAAATATCTGAGATATTGATACTTTTTTTTATATGGTTGATTTTGAATAGATTTGATAGATAATAGACCTTTCACTTAGGGGGAGCGCGGCTGCAAAAAAATAAGAACAAAAAACAAAGGAAACGAAAAAGAAAACCTAAAGGAACAGAAACTGATCCAAAGGTCCACGAAATTACTCTTTTCCTTTGATAACTCTCCTCCGTAAGCTTACTCACAAAAGCAACTTCACTCAAGTATCTTTATAATCATTTTCGAATGTATTTGATGAACGTGTGGGTTCAAGTGTAAAAAGATAAAGTGGTTGCGAAAAAAAAAAAAAAAAAAAAACTACTTACTAACCTGAACAATAAAACGGGAAACTGACTTACTCTAGAATGCTGTCCAAAGTCAATTGCAAAAACTAGCCGCATATTTGGACCTTATGAACACAATGCAATATTTCTTTTATTTGTTTTATATAATTGTTTTCAGTTTCTTTATTTGAAATTGGAAATTGTGATTTTTTTACATTTGGATTTCGTCACTTTGAATATATCAGAGCTCTATCAAGAGAGAGCTCTAAAATATTCAGTTTGATTTCACTCTGTTGAGAGAGAAATTGAACACTCTTCAAGACCGCTAACCCACGGCTGAATACAAGAAAGAATAATAACTACTGGAAATTCTATATTACGAAACTACTAAAAGTTTCAAATAAAGGGCTTCGTTAAGAGTACACTCAAAAAAGCAGGTCAAAATTTCAGTTCCTTTACTCTATATAATTAAATAATATTCTTTGTTTCCTTAGGGATGGTAATACGTTGTTGACGATGTGAAAGAGTAGGTGATAATCCTGCATTGGCACTATCCCCACTTCCTTCCCCTTCACTATGTTCTTGATCAGTTATTTCAAAAATCATTTCCTCGTTACCTTCATCAATGTTGTTCAACTGTAACTCTTCAATGCTTTCTGAATTGGCACCTTTTCTTCGCTTCATGTCGCTGTTTATGTTAAAACTATTCTCTTCACTATTGCCATTGTTCACATCGTCATCATCCTCGTCATCCTCGTCATCATCTTCGTTATTCTCATCCTCGTTATCGCGAGTTTCATCGTCGTCTTCTTCGTCGTCTTCCTCGTCGTCTTCGTCTTCGTCTTCCTCCTCTTCCTCCTCTTCCTCCTCCACTAAATTACCAATTGCCTCATCTAGCTTCTTCCTTTCTGTCCTAACAGCAATTATCTTCCTTCTCAAAATATCAACGACATCTGTCCACTCCCTCATACCACCCATTCCAATATCACCACACACCAAAATCTTCTCAACCGGTTTCAATATCTCAATACCAAACTCAGGCGAACTTAAACACGCCAACTGTTTTGCTGTAATGGGATGAGTATACATAAACGTATTCATGGCGGGTGCTGCAATAAGCGGCTTTTTGACTTGTTGTGCTGTAGTTGGAGACCATGATCTAATAATTGAAGTTAATAAATTATCTGAAATTCCATTAGCAATTTTGGCTAGTGTGTTTGCAGAAAGTGGTGCCACCAACATAATATCGGCCCATTTCCTCAACTCGTTATGAAGTATCATTGTTTCATACGGATTCTTGGGCTTTTTGTTAACACTAAGGTTTTGGGTCGAAGATGTTGTGCTTGTTGTAGTAGCATATGCTTTGCTGTAATTTGTCCATTCATCTTCATCTCGCCATATCTTTACATCAGCATTAATTTTTGAACCTCTTAGAAAATGACTTGCTGATTTGGTAACAATCAACTGAATCGAAATCTTTGACGCGCCAAAGATTTGAAACAATTTGTCAATGATCAAAGGCACTTTGATAGTTGCAACAGATCCGGTACAACCTAATAAGATGTGAAACTTACCATCATCTTGTTTGTGTAGATATTCTTGAAAGGGAACTGGTGGTCCTACTGGTGAAGCAACAATTGTTTTGTTTGATTTCTTGATAGAGCCTCTTCTAGAGGAACTATTGCTTCCTGTTCCTGTTCCTGTTCCTGTTCCTGTTCCTATCGCTGTTCCTGCTCCTGTTCCTGTTCCATTTATTTTAATAGGCACCACCGATGAACTTATATTGCTTACACTGTATGTTGGAGAAAAAGCGGAAACATTACTAGGGATTCTTTCAAATGGAGGTGGACTAGGAGAATTTAGATTCCTTCCCGAACCAGTTTCAAGACTTTGGCTCTTACTCAAACCTTCAAAACTCGCCATTGCATCTAATGAAAGGTGCTCTAGACTAGATTGTGAAGAAGTGGCAGCGCCTGAACTTAAATTTAAAGTTTTCCCCGTGAATAGCAAGCCACTGTCATTGTTAAGAGCGTTCTTTTTTCGATTCAAGGAGGATTGGCGCGAAGGAACATTAGACAAAGTAGAAGATTGTTGAATCGAAGTATGCAAAGATGGCGTGTTTATAAAATCCTTTTCCAAAGAAGTATGATGTTGATCATTTTGTTGTATATGCACACTGGTTGAAGACGGCTGTGACGATATAGTAAAACGACGTAGTCTCTCTTGAGAATCAATATCACTAAAGGAAACACTAGGGTTTCTTATCGAAAAATTTGGGCGTGATGTAGCATCGAATGGGGTCGATTGTTGAGGAGAATGAATACCGGAGGTAGTTGGTACTCTATTAGAGCTGTTTGTTAATATTTTGGGAGGCGGTGTGTTTGTTCCTGTATTTGTAATGGCCGTTCGAAAAGATGGCGCCCTCTTTGGCTGGGTTATATTAGATGCCGCACCAAATGCAGTTCCAGGTTGTTGCTGTGATGGTGGTAGTGCTTCAGCTGTAACGTTCGATGAAGATAATATGGATTGGTTTATGCCAGTGGGTCGACGAGGAATCGGTTGCTCCGTTTGGATTACACCAGTGGGTCGACGAGGAATCGGTTGCTCCGTTTGGTTTTCGTGATTTAATTCAGTATTCGATGACGTTTGATCCATTCCCAAAAAAATAAAACGCAATTATTAAAAGAACTCAATAAGAAACTCTGTAAGCGATGAGACAATTTGTTATTTTGAATTAGTCAACTGGAAGTACCAACGAATCTTCTAAAGTAAAAAGCTACTGAGGGCACTTTAAAATGTCCGTGTGAGTGCTATAGGAGATTAGAAATTTCAGTAGACTACAAATCTTTGTTAACAATTTTCTCTTTTCTTTTCTTTTAATTTTTTTAATGTGACGAAAATCGTTTAGAAAATGTTTTAGTTAATTAGGCAAATACATTTCTTTAAAAAGGGACAGAGGCTATAACCATAAGAGTGTATTGTGATAACGTGGCTGAATATAAAGAGGATTTTTCAATATTCTATGTTTTTTAGTTGGAGGTTGAGTTTTAAGTGTTTTGGAGATATATAGGAAACCCTTGCGATGAGATCAAAATAGTTTCCATTTTCTCTCGGGGAGGGGGGGGGGGGTTGAATTTACTCTATATTTCGCTTCTTTTTGAGTTCCTCAAATTATCTTAAAAAATTTACAAAATATTGTAGTTTAGAGTTGTTTGGTGGACTTTGAGTGTCATTCCAGAATTATAGAGAATAGTACATACTTGAAACTAGTAGTGAAAGAATCTTGCTTCCTTAGAGCAATGAAATCTCACTTTACATTGGCACATCTACTACACGCTACCAAAGACATCTTCATATATACATATAATACTACTGTATTTGGTATATTAAATAGCACTTTCTCTAGAAGGAAAATGGCTATATAGCTCAATGGTCGAGAGATGTGTCAAGTATACATTTGCAAATTAATATTCTTTGAAGAGAGTAACATCTTCAGTAGAACAAGCTGTTGTTTTTCCACTGACTAGTGTCGGCGGCAAATAGTCTCGCTCTGCTCGATAGTGACAAGGTACAAGGTGTAGTGTCATTCGATAGAGAATAGTTTGATTAAAATTACTGCAAAAAAAAACAACCTTATTTGTATGAAGCAAATACCTAAACAACATTGCCGTTTAAACCTATTCTAAATGTAACAACCTTTCTACAGTTTCAATACCCTTAGAACCAATGTAGGAAAACCCACTAACTTTGCAACATCTTTTCAAGATGCATGGCACTACCGAGCAGAGCAAGATAGTGGAACATACTAGCTGCTACCAATATTGCTAACAAAAATTGTGCAGTATACTCAACTATTCTTAGAATGTCCATAATTGCACAATTGACATAGCTTCAGTCTAGACGCTTTATCCAATTTGATCCTTCACTTTAGAAGCTTTATCCAATTTCATCCCTTAGTCTAGTCTCTAGTCTAGTCTTTTTTGCACCAATTTGGCTCAAACTCAATAGTACTCTACCTCTATACTATCGAGCAAAGCAAGATACCATATATCTACACTCTATCTACATACTCTCTTCTCTCTTTTGACTAGACTCGTTTCACTCGTCTAGTCTGGATAAATATCGACCAGAGCCTTTTGAAATAGGAAATACCTTTTGAAATAGGAAATACCTTTTGAAATAGGAAATACCTTTTGCATCAGGATATACCTTTCCTATCTGAATCATTTTTTTCCAAAGAGAGAGAAAAAAAAAAATGAATTAAATTCGTGTTCTCAACAAACAAGGGTACCATATTTTCCTAGTCTTCCCACCCATCACAATTATGAATATCCGCCAGCAGCTAGCCCAATTCTTATCATTGGCATATGTTTTCTCATCAGCATTTATGTTGTGGAAAACTATATCGGTCATTGCCAACCTGCATTCACCAATAGTTGTTGTGTTATCAGGGTCAATGGAGCCTGCATTTCAAAGAGGAGATATACTATTTTTATGGAATAGAGACGAGAAACAAAAAGTTGGAGATATTGTAGTTTACGAGATCGAGGGCAAAAGCATACCCATTGTACATCGTGTGTTGAGGGAACATCATAATCTAGAAAAGCAGTTGTTGTTGACAAAAGGTGATAATAATGCTGTTGATGATTTGTCATTGTACAGTAAGAAGCAAAGTTATCTTAACCGAAAAAACGACTTGGTGGGAACTGTTAAGGGATACTTGCCATTTATCGGATATATTACTATTTTAATTAGTGAAAATGTTTATTTCAAGTTTGGTCTTTTGGGTTTACTAGGACTTTCATCGTTGATAAGCAATGAATAGAGGTTGAATAGAGTTTAGTGTTGAAAGTTGAATGTAAGTTGTTGCCTATATATTTAGAGGATATTCTTGTCTATATTTAGAGGATATTCTTGTCTATATTTAGAGGATATTCTTGTCTATATTTGGTGTAGTTGAAAAAACCCGAAAAAAGATCAAGGGTACTTACCAGTAAGGTATCGCAATCTAGCTACAAGAGTATTTAGTCACTCAATTTAGCTACAAGAGTATTGTCGATTGTTTTAGGGAATAGGCATTTTGTCACCTGCTTAAGAGATGAGAGCATTTCGTAATTTCTTCGAGACTCAAATACTTTTATTTATCAAACATTGACTCTCTAAGCTTTTATTCCTTTTGATACATAACTATACATTAATTTACAAAGCTACCAATAATTTTATTCAATAGAAACGAGAATTCAAATTGACATTATCCTTTACAATTTACTCTTTTCCTCCACCACATCCTAATCTGTTCTTAGCAAAGAACGTGATCTCTAATCTTTTTGCTCTTGGCAAAAGATGTTTATTCACAATGACCCAATAGCCATTTAGGAGTCAGAATCATTCTTATTCACAATGACCTAGCTGTCACTATTCAATTGACCTCTTGCTAGCCTCTTGTTAATCTTGGTATGTGTCTACTTGATAACCTCTTGTTAATCTTAGTATGTGTCTACATGATAACCTCTTGTTAATCTTGGTATGTGTCTACTTGATAACCTCTTGTTAATCTTAGTATGTGTCTACATGATAACCTCTTGTTAATATTACTATGTGTCTACTTGATAACCTCTTGTTAATATTACTATGTGTCTACTTGATAACCTCTTGTTAATCTTGGTATGTGTTTACTTGATAACCTCTTGTTAATCTTAGTATGTGTCTACATGATAACCTCTTGTTAATATTACTATGTGTCTACTTGATAACCTCTTGTTAATATTACTATGTGTCTACTTGATAACCTCTTGTTAATCTTGGTATGTGTTTACTTGATAACCTCTTGTTAATCTTAGTATGTGTCTACATGATAACCTCTTGTTAATATTACTATGTGTCTACATGATAAGATAAGGATCACTCATCTTTTATCTACTGCGTGTCGCAACCGAAAAAAAGAATATAAAAGGAGGTGGATTAAGACGTATCACAACTTTTAAACTTGATACCCCAGGAAGCAATCAAAAGGATAGGTATGAATACCGAAATTCTTGCTCATACATAACCCTATTTGCTAGAGGTTTGTTCACTGTTTTGTTTTAGAAAGGTGCTGTTTATTACTAAAAACAGAGCCTCTCAAAGGGAGCTGCTTAATACTAAGAACAGAGCCGCTTAAAGGGAGGTGCTTAAAGGGAGCTGCTCAATACCAAGAAAGGAGCTGCTTAAAGGGAGGTGCTTAAAGGGAGGTGCTTAAAGGGAGGTGCTTAAAGGGAGCTGCTCAATACCAAGAAAGGAGCTGCAAGTTAGTGCTGCTCCACTATCTCGCTCTGCTCGATAGTGTCAATGAGTCAACTTTCCAACTAAATACATACACACCCAAATACCACAGGCATTTGGCTTCCCCCCCATTCCTTCCATGTTTGACATTCAGCTATTGAAACTGTTCCCCGTAGAGGTAATCTACAAGATTCTTGATCAAGATTTCTTATCACTCCGTGATGTGTCAAATTATTTGTTCAACAAATCTACTCATTCCGTAGCACAGCAGATCTTGAATGAAAGATGCTTGGCTCATATATGTGTCGGCAAACGGCGCAATTACGAAAGTGTCATAACTTCGCTTTATGACAACGAAGTTAAACGTGGTCCTCATTACTGGCACGTTTACTATAATTTTACAAACAGTTTGCAGTTTGCCAACTGGTTATCTACTCATAACCAATTTGCAAACTTTACAATTCAAATATTTATTGACCAGTTTGAAATTGAACAGTTGAGGGTACTAAAGCTATTACAGGGCAAAAATTTGAAGATATACTTGAATTGGGAAGACGAGGACTCAAACACTGTACTGAAGTTTTCGCATGTTATTTGGCCTAGCTTGGGTGAAATATTTGATCTCGTTAATAATAGAGTTAAGTTGGTTTTGGAATATGAGAATGTCATTGATTTACCAATGACTTTTGATTTGGATAATTTGGTTTCTTTTGAATGGAGATACTACTATTCAACGGGACAACGAATAGAATTGGCTTCAGGATTAAATACTGCTCATAATACCTTGGAAAAAATTATCATCAATAGTATGAATAGAATGCCGTTGGATATAGTTTTAAACACACCTTTCCCAAACTTGACTGATTTTATCGTAAAGAGTCCACTTAGTGAACCACAAGGTACATGTAGGCTCTTACTGAAATGTCCCCGCTTGAAGACGTTAGTTTTGCATAGTACCTATTTTGGAGATATAGCAGGGTTTCTTCAAAGTGTTGCCCCTACCGGTTTACAAAAATTGAAAACTTTGGAATTGTGTAATAATCGGTTGGGCCACATTGAGGGTATCGATTTTAGTCGATATTTTCCATCATTACAAAACTTGACAATAAAATTTGAAAATGGAAGTCCTCACCATAGATTTGAGTTTAAAAACATTGTTTTACCGTCAACTCTTCGAACCTTAAACTTACAAGCAAAGAGATTGATTAGCTTTAACGTCATTAAAGGTCCCTCCTATTTATTCAAGTTGGACTTGTCCTACAATAATCCAGTTAGCTATAAATTTGACAATACTTTTGAAGAAATTTCAATCTTAAATTTGTCATACAATAGACTGATTTTATCTTCAATATATCGATTCGATTTATTCCATATTGCCGATTTTATATTTTTTAAAGTTGAAGAACTCCATTTGCAAGGATGTAATATCAATAATGAGGATTTAGAGGCCCTTGCGTCAAAGTATCATTACACTACCAATGACTCCACAACTTTCCCATTACCACTTTGCAAACTAAGGAAACTAAACTTGTCAAATAATAAATTAACAAACTTGCGGTGTTTCAATAACCATCTTTTTCGAAACATGAAAAGCTTAACCTATCTCGATTTATCATTTAATGCATTTTATTACTTGAACGATGATAATTTTCCATTATTGTGTGAAAATTATCCTAATTTGTTAACTATCAATTTGACAGGAAACTCAAGATTGAATAGCGTTAAGTTGAATGAGGGTTATCCTAAATTGGAAACAATGTATACTCCTGTCAAACAAAACTATTAACGCACGGGGGGATTATATTGATTTTACACACCAATCAAACATGAATAAAATATATCTAATGCTTTATTCTTTTTCTTTTTTTCATTTCATTAAAAGTCTATATACCTTTTTGCTCAAACTAATTTTATCAAACACCCTGAAAGTATGAAGTTCGCTGAGAGCAATTTGAGTGCGGTGTCGTAACAACATCCTTCAACAAAACAGGATAATTCTTGCTAATCACAGTCCTCAAATTAGTTCTTTTTATAGGCTTGGAAAGAAATCCATCCATTCCAGCATTGTAGCACTCCTTAATGTTTGAGTCATCAGCAAATGCAGTAAGGGCAATTATTGGTTTTGTCCAATGAAGATTCTGCCGAATTATATTGACCGCAGTGATTCCATCCATAATGGGCATTTGAACATCCATAAATATTAAATCAAAATGATCTTGTGGATTGGACGTATCAAGTGATTCCTTTATATAATCAACTGCTTCAGCTCCGTTGGCTGCCATTGTGAGATTATTGAATCCTTCTAGTTTCAACATACGTTTAATAACTTCCTGATTCACTTGATTGTCCTCGGCAACTAGGATTTTCAAATTGGATAATTCTTCCATTAAGGAAGTTCCCAGGTTGGGATTTAAATTTGAACTTGAGTTTGGGTTTAAGTTTGAGTGTGCGTTTGGTGTTGAAACTGAAGTAGTATTGTTACTGGAGTTGCCAGAGTCTGGGGTACGAACATTGGCTGTCCCTGTTGATCCTTGCGAGAATACCTGTTGATCAAAATTACGGGACGCTGATTTGGAATTTGTAGCAGTAGTGACGGCGGAAGAGGAGGAAATGTTGATGGGCAATGATGGGAAATTTGCAATAGTTGTTGGTGCATTCTTCTTGGGAAGCGAGGATGATTGCACAACAGACAGCAAATTTCTTTCCTCTTTATTGACACTATTCCCTTCCCCCTCTCTCTTATTATCATCACTTTCAAAAGCAACTTTCCTACTTATCTTTGAGTAAGGGTTGAATTCATCCTGACACATTTCATCCAACTCTGACGGGGGTATATCGATTTCACCAGTTTGTGGTAGGGGTAAAGTGAATGTGAAAGTAGACCCTTGACCGATTGTAGATTGTATAGTTAATGTACCATTCATCATTTTTGCCAATTGACGACATATACTTAATCCTAATCCTGTACCTCCGTGACTTCTACTCAACGTTTGGTCTCCTTGAACAAAAGGTTCAAAAACTTTTTCTTGCAATGCCGGCTCAATACCAGACCCCGTATCACTTACTTCCATTTGCAAAACCCATGTTTGTGGTTGATAAAATGGTTTAATGGAGTATGTTTTATCGCCATAAACAAAAGTTTTATCAGGAGATTCATTATCAAATGAAATCTTTTTATCCATAGTGAGGAAAGACTTGTAATCATTTTTCTTGGGCATAAGATCTTGAGGTTGATGGGTATCGGAAGAAGTATCTAATTGTGATTTATCATCCATAAGTTGTGGCAGCGAATCATCACTACTTGAGGATGAATTTTTTGAATTTGTTGATGGCTTTTGGGTAGACATGCTGTTATCACGACTATCATCCTCTAAAGAATACACCGAAGTATTGGGAGCCAATTTATTATTTTTGGCCAAAAATTGTTGTTCAAATATGGCATCCTCGTACTGTGAGGTTGATAAAGTAACAACACTTATACTATCATCATCAGTCTTTGGTTCAAATGGATCTCGGATTGCACTTGCACGTTTTTGCTTTGAGTTGATGTATTCATTAGCCGGCTTTTTTGGTGGTGGTGGTGGTGGTGATGGTTTGGATAACTTGGGATTATTGACAAGACATACTTCTTCAAAGTTGCAAGCCTCTGATTTTTTTGCATCATACTCTCCCAATAACTTAAAAGTTACTACAACATGTCCATCGACAGGGGTAAACTTCAATGAATTAGACACCAAATTCATAATGACTTGAATAATTCTATTTGAATCGCCAAACAAAATCAATTTCCTCAAAGCGTTAGGTTTAACAAACATTTTGAAGTTAACTCGTTGATCATATGCCGATTTGGTAAATATAGATTTTATTTGATAAACAATATCAAGAATTTGGAAATCTGATTTTTCCAATTTCGACCTTTTCAAGGTGTTCTTGGAGTATGTCAATAGCTCTGTTAATATATGTAGCAACAACTCACCGGATCTATGTATTAGCTTTAATGACTCTTGTATCTTAGACTGATCGTCTTCTTCCATTGCAATTGATGTCATACCAAGAATACCATTCAATGGCGTTCGTAGTTCGTGAGATATATTTGCAATAAACACAGTCTTGGCTTCATTAGCAGCCTCTGCTTCCACTTTCGAAGCTTCCAATTCTTTGGTTCTTTGCCTCACCCTATCTTCCAAATGTGTATATTGTTGATCCAATTCTTCAGTCATGATATTGAAAGCTTCAGATAATTCAGTGATTTCATCCTTGAATATCCTTTTCGAAGGTTCTATCCTTCGTGGAAGCCGTACCCCAGTAGAATTCAGCGATACAGCAGATTTTGATGATGTCGACACAACACTTGTTTTAGTTGCAAATTTTTCAGTCAATGCAGAACCCGACAAGTTATCATCACCAGTACCAGTACCAGTACCAGTACCAGTACCAGTACCAGTACCACCATTATCTTTGGGCCCTCTACCAAAATACATTTTATCTCTTTTGTAACTTGTACTTTCCTCGGCGGATTCTTTTAATTTTGTAATTGGCCTAATGAACCAAACTGCTAATGGGAAGGTAATCAAACACATAAATGCACCAATTCCAAATACGACTCCGATAATTATCTTTTTCAATTTTTCCACGGGAGCCATAAATAAAGATTTTTGTTGAACAACAATTATGACCCATTGAAGATTATTAAGATAAATCTGAGTAAAACCAATGGCAACATTTTCGCCCGAGAAAGACCTGACATTAGTCGAAGTTCCCGATGGCGACTCTATAGCAGTTCTAATCGATGATGAGGAGTTGATGTTGTATATTACACCTGGCTGAAGTAAAGAAGCTTGGGAGGGGAATACAGCTTGAAATCCAATTGCCTCTGGTCCAATATTGGTGACTCTGCCAAGTTGAATTCCTTCGCCACCCTCTCCTTCCTCGTTCTCATTATCAATCACGGTTCCGTATATTGGCTTGACTGCAATGGTCCCATAATCTTGAGATGAAGAATTTAAAGCATCCTGAATTGTTGTAGCCGAGGCTATTATAGACAAATACCCAGCAACATAAGGTTTGTCTATTATGATGGAAGAATTTGAGTAAACAGGTAAGGTTACACACATAAAGTATGGAGTGAATGCATTTTGTGAGTCATTTGCCAATGGTCCCGTGAAATAAAACTCATTGCTATTTGCATTTAGTAAAGAGTCTGGGATTGATGCATTTGCCTTCAAAGGGAACAACTCGTTACCAGTTTCTTCCGAGACTATGGTTGCATTATTATAAGATGCAGCCATTACCTCCAAATCCAAATTGTAGAGTCTAGCAGCAGCGAAAGTTTCAGTAGACGACATAAACTGTTCCAAAGTTTCTTGAGCATTCAAAAACACATCTATAGAGTTATTTCCTGCTCTATATTGTGATAATGGGGTTGTTATTGAATCTATTGACGCTAGTGTTCCTACCTGATACGCAACAAATGCTACTGCTTGTTGTACTTGAGTTGTCTTTAACTGTGAGATAACATATAGTCGTTCTGAACGTAGCCCGGTTAAATTATCACTAAAATATATCCCCGTTACTATGCCTAGGATCAAAAGGGAAAACAATGATGCAAAACACACCAATACAATCAACTGCAGTCGAATACCTATTTTTAACCGTCTCATAACTGTATTTACAAGGTAAAAAAACAATGATTATGAAAAAGTGGTGAAAATTTGGAAAACTATATCAACTGAAGCATTGATATGACATCAAGATGAAGTAAATGTAGCAGCAAAGAGCTCTATGCACTTGCAAGGGAAAACCAATAAAGAAGCAAGATGAAATGGCAAGATCAACAGGAATGGCAAGATCAGCAGAAAGGGTATATAGTAGTTACCGTGTCAGAATGGTATATAGTTAGCGTGTCAGAATGGTATATAGTTAGCGTGTCAGAATGGTATATAATTAGCGTGTCAGAATGGTATATAGTTAGCGTGTCAGCAATGGTATTAGCGCTTATCAAACTGATTTTAATATATATCTTTTCTATACCCCTAATCAAAGTTCCAAAACAGATACAAACAAGTATAGATACAACAGGTTATAAGACAAACTAGAGAGATACAAGATTCCCGCCCTTTATCTCTTCTCCTTTGACTCTTTTACCTGAAAAGAAAACCTGTCAAATTTGATCTTGATATCGTTTAATCCTCTTAAGTGGTTTTTTTTAAAAGGATATTAGAATGAAAAATTATTCCACTTTATTAAAGAGGGCGCTACCGGCCTTTAATTTCCATCGTGTACATATAATTATTATTATGAGATGATGTTTTATTGACATGAAAAATTTCGTGATGAGACCAAAAAAAAAAAAAAAACAAGACACAAAAATTACGTCATTTAAAGTTCTAAGCGAGTAAGTCAAACGGTAGCGTTTTAATTATTTTTAATAGTTTTTTTTCTTGATATAGTTTGAATTAATCTTGGTATTATATATGAGAATGTAATTAGACTACAATGAGAGAAAAAATTAGTGAGAATACTTTTTATTGGTATATGCAAAAGATCTAATGCAATAATTATGCAATAATCAATAATAATTAATATTCAATAATAACCAATATTAATCAGTAATTATCAATAATAATGCAATAAGAATGCAATAAAAATGGAGACGATAATATTGTCTAGGTGATTGACGAAGAGAAGCTTTGAAGATTTAATAGTGAGCTACTAACCCTGAAAAGACTCCTCAGCTACTACCCTCAAAAGACTCCTCAGCTACTACCCTCAAGAGGCTTCTCAGCTACTACCCTCAAGAGGCTTCTCAGCTACTACCCTCAAGAGGCTCCTCAGCTACTACCCTCAAGAGGCTCCTCAGCTACTACCCTCAAGAGGCTCCTCAGCTACTACCCTCAAGAGGCTCCTCAGCTACTACCCTCAAAAGAGGGTTAATAGCTGAGGAGATAGTAGCTTTTTGGGGAGACTAGACGAGTGAAACGAGTCTAGTCGATAGAGTGTAGATAGAGAGGTAGAGGGATAGAGAGACTAGTCTTTTGAATATTTAATAGTATTTTAAGGATTTAATAGTCTTTGAGGGGTTAGTAGCTTTTTGAGTTAGTGGAGAAACACTTTGTAGCTTGTTACGACACAACCTTGCTCTGCTCAATAGTGGAGAAACACTCTGTAGCTTGCTACAACACTATCTCGCTCTGCTCGATTGTGTTGTTCAAAAGTGAAGTAACACTTTGTAGCTTGTTACAACACTATCTCGCTCTGCTCGATAGTGTTGCTCAATAGTGGATAGTGTCGATTTAGCTTTTCTGTCAAGGGTCAATTACAGCGAAATCAATATAGATTTGTACTCTTTTTTCCCTTTACTCATAATACCCACACACAAACACATAGAGAGAAACAAACAGACACACATACAGGAGACTTTTTTTTTCTTAATTCACTTTAGTCAATTTCTTTTTTAAATCTTTATTCTTACTTCGTGTAGACTCACATAGTTCAACTGCAAATCATACACAATGCAATCGAGCTAAACTCCATTTTCTATTATAGAGTGTTACTCCAAATACCCCACTTTCGAACAGCACTATCGAACAGCACTATCGAACAGCACTATCGAGCAGAGCGAGATAGTGTTGTAACAAGCTACAAAGTGTTACTTCACTTTCGAACAACACTATCACGCTCTGGTCGATAGTGCTGTAACAGGCTACATAGTGTTACTTTACTATCTCGCTCTGGTCGATAGTGTTGTAACAAGCTACATAGTGTTGCTCCATAGTGGAACATAGTATAGGGCTATATTTATAGGACCATAGATACAGGACCACACTTGTAGATAGAGGCTTCTTTCTCAAGGTCGTGTAAAATTTCATCAGTTTTGGTTGCATTTTTTATTTTTCGCAGCCAACTTGAACAATTTTTGTGTTGGTGGCAGCTAGTGTTGCGTGATAGTGTCGCGTGATAGTGTCCTAACAAGCTGCTAGGTGTTGCTCCACTATCTCGCTTCGCTTGATAGTGGATAGTATCTTAACAAGCTGCTAGGTGTTGCTCCACTATCTCGCTTCACTCGATAGTGGATAGTGTCGCTCTATACTTTGACGTTAATCTTAATCCCAACAATGGCAATGCGACTGAAATACCAAAATATAGTCCCACACAAAGCCAATATTCCAACAAATAAAATAAAATGTGTATATTGTGCCTGTGAACCTTGCTTGATTATAGTTGCTGCTATTGGAACTCCAAATAAATTAGCCAACGCTAATAAACTATTCAATATTCCATATTTCTTGCCAATTTCATTAACTGGTGTTATCTGCGATAAACAGGCGGGAAGAAGACTCAAAATCGAGCCTGAACAAAAACCTCCTAATACAGCAAATGCCCATATTACACCATGACTTTTCTGTCCAAATGGAAGCAATAGAACAAGAATCGTTAAAACGTAACATATCAACATGAGTATGTTAACATTGAATCTCCCATAAATATCACTCGCATATCCAGGCGTAAACCTACCTAATATTCCCACTGCATTCCATACAGTCAACAATAAATAGGAACTTGCTTCAGTTATGCCTTGAGCAATTGCATAACTTGCAAAGTATGTCACTAGTAACACCAATGATAACTCAGCAAAGAAACTTCCCAAGATGATATAAACAAATTTATAATCCTCAATCCTGAATGTATTTAACAACGCATGTTTAAGTTTTTGTTTATTAAGGCCACTACCGCTGCTGCTGCTGCTGCTCTTGCTCTGATTGTTACTTTCCTTTCTAAACCTCTCCTTGACCAATAATATCGCACAAATCATACATCCCAAACAAATAAACGCCAATATTCTCACTGCCCAAACATATCCACACTTGACATAAAGCGATCTCAACATCAATGGGAAAACCAAACCACCAACAGATCCGCCACATGTTGCTAGTCCAGTACATACTCCGCGTTTCTTATCAAACCAATGACTGATCACACCAACTAAAGGAGTCATACCTAACCCATTCCCAATACCTAGACTAATGAAGCTCAAAATAAAATGCCATATCTTGAAACTGTTGGCAGCTCCCATTAAACCCATGAATATGAACCCCGTAGAAATGATCAAAAGCCACAAGGGACCGTGCCTATCAAATATGGGACCTGTAATGAGTCCACCAGCATAAGCAAGTGACAAATAAACTCCAAAGATCCAACTGATCTGAGCTTGCAGCAAGCTCAGCAATTGGTTTCGGCTAATGTATGTTTGTAACGCACCAATACTATTTATTAATCCTAAGTTAACAATTAAACCTAAGAAGGAGCCAAGTGTTACTGAATACGCTTTGAGACCGCCATCTTGATATTCATCGTTCTCAGAAGAAGGCCTAGTAGACGTTATGGAGGAGGAAGAAGAAGAAGAAAGGATACTCGTAGCATTATTGACTGAGTCTTGTTGAATTGCAGATTGGGATAGCTGTGCGTGTAATTTTGATCTGGAATATGCATAATTATCAAGTTCCACATCATTTGTGGATAAAGTATTACTGTGACTCATTATTTCTATCTAAGGAGAGAAGGTCAGATTAAGGATCGAAAAAAAAAGCGATAACCTGGAACAGTTATAGAGGTGCATGTTCTGTGAGTCTTAATTTGAAACTAAAACAATTAGATCAATATGAAGAGATGAGCAATTTTTATAGCTAGCTTTATCAAGATAAAGTGGAAAAAAAAAATACTCATTCGGCAATGGACATTAAACGCCGATACCGACACTAATACTATTGAGTAACCCTGACTAGCTGCACACTATTGAGTGACACTATCGAGCAGAGCGAGATAGTGGAGCACAATTAAATATTAATAATATATAGTTAATATAATTTACACACTGACTATCTGCCACCGACACTTTGTAGCTTGTTACAACACTTTTGTTCATCATGACAATGCCAAGTGGAACAACACTATCGAGCAAGCAAGATACCATTTATATACTCTCAGCAGACTAGACGAGTGAAACGGTGACACAATCGAGGGAAACGAGATAGTGGAGCAGTACTAACTACATTGACTATCTACAAGGACTCTCTCTATCTAGTTTCACTCGTTTAGTTTCTCACTATCTCGCTCCGCTCGATAGTAGGCTCGATAGTAGGCTCGATAGTAGGCTCGATAGTAGGCTCGATAGTAGGCTCAATAGTAGGCTCGATAGTAGGCTCGATAGTAGGCTCGCTTCACTCGTCTAGTACAATTTCTGTAAATTTTCCAAACTAGCGCACTTTTGAACACATATGGTTAGTAATTAGTAAGTTATCTTTATCTTTTCACTTTGACCAAGCTTGGCTTTTTAGCCCAGCTGTGGGCCCCGAGTCAACTCAAGTCAACTTGATTTTGATTTTGACTTGAATTGAAATCTTCATTTTGCAGCTAAAGCAAATGAAAAGCCGCTGTACCTTCTTGAGATGGGCCAAAATTTCCACTTGCTATGAAACGTCTTTGAAAGAATTTGGATTTCAAAGATCTCATCCAAATGGGATATTCGTTGATTAGAAATGGTCACTTTGAAAAGACACAGTGAGAGTAGTCACTTGCTTGGTAGCCACGGGGAGTCGCCGTTGTTGCAGGATAGAGGTGTCAACGACAACTATCAAGCACTGGAGAGTAATGAGACGACAAACGTTGATGACAATGACACTAGTTCTCAAAGCTCTGAAACGTTATTGCGAATACAGGTTGAGAAAAACGAACAGTTACCTTGGTTTTCCAGACCAAGTGTGTTTGGCATCATTCAAGTTGTAGGTACGTTGACCATGAGCATTGCCATGGCGGATTCAACACGTCAAATTGTCTTGTACAAACTCGCTGCTAATACTATAGCGACAGAATGTCAGTTAAACGGTTCAAGTTGTAATGATGGTGATAAAGACAAGGAAGAGATTGTGCAGAGTTTATTAGCAACTTATAACCAATTTTTATTAGTTGGTCTAACTGCCTTTTCATTACCCTTGACAGCAAAATATGGAGAACTCTCAAACATATATGGCAGAAAACCATTCTTTATTGCATTGGTGTTAACCTCGCTTTTGTCTCGTTTTTTGCAATATTATTTGTATTCGTTCAATATCTTAAAATTCAAATCATTGTTAGTTGCCAATTACTTGCAAGCAATCACTGGAGGTACGAATATCATATCGGCACTAGCAAACTCTTATGTAAGTGACATAACACTACCCAGCAAAAGAACGTTTGCTTTTGGTTTGGCGAGTTCGGCAACATTTGTCGGACAATCTTTTGGTCCAGCATTGGGTACACTTTTAAGCCTCGGTTTGAAAAGTGGCGGGAATGTCAGCATTAGCAAGTTGCAAGAACTCACATATGGCGAATGGTTTATTTTGAGAGCAGAGTTGTTAATGCAACTTTTTTTGTTGTTTTATGTTGTTGCGATATTCCCAGAGTCTAGAGGTAAGGAGATGAAGAAATCATCAGAAGATCAAGCTTTATCGAATGATGACATATTAGATGAATCCGTTTTTCCTAAACCAAATTCTAGGAAAGGAGCCATTGCAATGAAAGAAATATTACTGTTTTGCAATATTTTCAAGCCATTACGTTTGTTGATTTTTCCGAAAGATATGGCTAGGACAAGAACAAAACACAGGTATCGCCAAATCAAACTTGCCGTGATTGGATTAATTGCAGCTTCGGTTTTTTACCAGGGCCTTATTTACGCCATGAATGAATTGGTCATGCAATATGGTATATTCAAGTTTGACTGGAACTCAGGAGATATAGCCCATTTACTATCTATCATTTCCATAGCCAGAGCATTCTCATTGATTCTTCTTCTACCATTTTTGGAAAGAATTGTTTTGAAAAACTGGTTCAAGTTGAAAAATCTAAACCTTCAATTTGATATGATTGAGTATGTATTACTAATGATTGGTTTTGTTACTGGGCTTATCCTGTTTATAGCTTTCTATTTGGCTCAAACAACAAGGCTGTTTTTTATTATAGTAGGTTTTTTTTCAATCGGTGCAATTATTGGTCCAACAATGGATAGTACCATATTGAAATTTTATCCAAACTCCAAAAGTGCTCAGTTGTTCTCAGCAAATATTTTGATGTTGAATATTGTTGCTATATTCACATCTCCGATTGTTCTTGGAGTGTACAAAGCTGCTTTGAATTATGGAAATGCCGCCTTGCCTTATTTGGTATACGCAATAGCAATGGCTATCTTTGTAATCATTGTATATACATCAAAGAGAGTTCTTGGGTTGGATAGAGACACTACGGATGAGCAGTTGACGAAACAAGAGAGGCAGCACTTTTAATAACAATTTAGAATAATATACATGGGTACTATATGCCTATTAGAGGATATTTATGCAAATTATCGTCAAAATATAAAAGTTGCGAAAAGACATCTATTGGAAAACACAATAGTGACATGTCCAAACAGTAGAAAAACAACAGTGACATGTTCAAACAGTAAAAAAAAAAACAGTGACATGTTCAAAACAGTAAAACACGATACAACTTACTCTTATATTTACACTCTCAAAACGTTTATCGGGAAAATCCCTATCGATAATCCGTGTCCCATTCATTTCAAGATATTTTTCGATGGAACAAGTTTCTTACAAGTAAAAAAAAAAAAAAAAAAATGGATATAAAGATTTATCAAAATTTACACAGCACAATGGGAGAAACATACCTTACTCTTGTTCTTTGAACCTATTAGAGAAATTACTATACTACACCTCTTTACTCTTATATCTTGTACCTTGTACATCATATATATATATATGTATATTCCATTAACTTCATTATAATAATTAAAACCATATTTCAGCGCTTCCAAGTGATCATTCCCGCGTGGAACGATTTGAGAGTTTGTAGCTTTGCAATTTTTAACAAAAGTATCCCTCAAAATTTGTTTGTTAAGGTGAAAACTCTTTGCCTTTCTTTTCAGGTACCCTTTATCTTTGAATTGACGTTGCTTCTAGCTTCTACAAAGGTTTTGCAATGAGTAATCCAGGATCAGATTTACAGGAAGCCAATTTTCGATCACGCATTCTTCGGCACTTTAGCGATATTCACAGGCTTCAATCACATTTTAATCATTTGGTTAATAGTACTGAAGGGAACCAAAATGCTACACAATCAGCTTCTGTTGCCACTGCTGCTGCTGCTGCTGCCACTGCCGCTGCTATAGATTCACAAAGTATACCACCACCGCAAATACGTAACTTATCAAGAGAGCTGCCTGGCGGGTCTGGAGACGAAGACATTTATTTCAATAATTCCACCGATGATGAAGAAAATCAGAGCTTTGATGGGGAAGAACAAGAGGTGGTGTTTTATTCCGAAGCTGAGGTTGGTCAAAATAGAAATGAAGGCAATATTGGTCGCGCTTCACAACAGAGCATTGAACGACTGCTTCTTTCCTCAGCACGTCAGAATACCACAATCACTGCAACCGCCGCCGCCACTGCTGCTGCCACCGCCGCGTCGCAAAGTGCAGGCGCAAGTGCGATTGATTCCATGACTACTATTCCGTTGGGCATGGGTATTCCTTTGAGGCGGCAAAATGCCATTAGAATTGGAAGCATATTGAATAACGAGGAAGAAGCAAATGACGAAAGCAATAAAGACAGCAACTTGGTCAAAGATATACTCAACTCAGAGGCTCTGCAGTTGCAGAAAGATTTGGTACAATTGTATTCCGACATAGTAAATAGTAGGCGTTTTCAAGGAGAATCTCCGTTATTCAAAAAAAGTAACAGCATCAACAGTACAAAATCCAGAAGTGAAAATAGAACGACATTTTTCCCCAGCTTTAGAGACCTTATGCAAATTGATGGGGAGTCTGGTACTAATATAGATTACATGATGGACTCGTTTTTGAAAAGGAGACGAGCAAGGCAGGTTCCACTTCCAGCAAACAAATCACTAAGGACAACAACTGCACCACCACCACCATCATCATCAATATCATCATCAGCAGCAGCAGCAGCAAGAACAACAACAACAACAACAACAACAACAACAGCAGCAGCAGTAGCAGCAGCAGCAGCAACAACGTCATCATCATCATCATCATCATCATCATCATCATTATTGCTGCCACCACCATTGCCCCCGCAAACTAAAAGAAGGGCCCGTGGAGCAGGGCCGCGTGAGCAAACGCAAAAGAAACAAAAAACTACAAATACCTGCAACAATAAGGAAGCTATTTCATACACTAGAGACAAGTCGGCTTATAATTATCCCTATACTGAGATTAGTAGAGACGTACTTGCAAGCGGTCTCCCCAATAGTAACTTTCACAGTGGATCTTGTTATATGTTGTATTTTGATCGGAAGGATGAAGATGATATGTTTTTCCCGTACTGGACTGAAAGTAGAAGCTTTGTGCATTTCAATCATGTGGGAACAGATGTATTGGGCACATTTAATATTGGATCGTGGTGTCGTCACCAAGACGATTCACCTATCATGAGCTTCTATTATTTCATAAATTTTATTTGGGGCACCTCAACACAAAAATGTTTGGTGGTAAATAAGAGTTTGAATAGGAAATTTAGTTTACTCGAGACACTTTTAACAGACGATAGCATTGAATTCAAAATATCCGATAATAGCTTTGCCAGTGTTCCGTTTGCAGGAAAGATTATAGATTTCAAGAATTATGATTTGAGATTCGAGAAAGAGAGAAGCAAGCTATTCCCTCGCATTAACTCTAGGAGAATAAAGTTTCAACTACTAGAGTGGATGACGATAAATCCGTTTATTCAGTTTAAAGAGGATTTTTTCTACAACTTTTTGAAAAGCCTCAATGAGGACTTGCAAAACTTTACGGACCTGAAAATAAAGAGATCACGCAAATCAGAGGCGTTGCACTTAACTAGAGAGTTCAAAACCAACTTGGATGTGTTAACCAAAGGATTTAGGTATATGGAGAAAGCTAATGTTCCCAAGGCTACGGGACTCAATGGCCGCTTAGGCCAAAAACACTCTGAATTATTTCTTGAGGATTGGGAAAGGAACCTCTCATTTAAGCTAGCCAAGCTATTAACTGATGACGAATGCACCACAATCATAAATATCCAGTTAAACTATACGTTGTTTACAATCACCTTGAACATATCTGAACTTGCTGATTCTTTAATCAACTTTCTTTTATGCCAGGCATCTCCGGAATCCGTGAGTGAATACAAGAGGAATTACGATGAGCTTTGCTTTAATGAAGTGCCAAGGGGAGATGAAGTTCACCGGGCAACGTTGCTTTGTTCGATTCACAAAAAATCGGGTGCCCTAGAAATACACAATACCTTTACTAGCATCTTTGACAAGCTGTACCTTTGCTCACATGGAATTGGAAATCAATATTGCAGAGAAAGAAGCAGCTACGATAAAATATGGGGAAAAGTCATTTCAAACTGGCCCGTTTGTGAATCGGTATAGCTATATATTTACATTTCAAACTGGCCCGTAATCGGTATGGCTATATATTTCCATTTCAAACTGGCCCGTTATCGGTATAGCTATATATTTACATTTCAAACCTTTGTCTTTTTGCCTTCTTTTGTATTGCGCTTTCCCCGTTACCAACCCCAACCTTTCTGTCCCTCTACTCTATCTTTTCTCTTCTTTTTAAAGAAATCCTTGCGACACTCTCGATAAGCGTCAAAAAACTCCTGGCACACATATTTATCGTCTTGATTCCTATACAAACAGTTCATCGAAGCTATACGACTTTCTTCACAAGGATCATAAAATTTTGAAGCTTCTTTCATTGTCCACTTATACTTGTGACGGTGACTTTGCGGATTATCAGGGTAAAATTTGAATTTCTCAACACCACCTTCTGTGAAATCAACTTTAGATACATCTTTTTCCACTTTATCCGACTCTAAACTCGACATCGAGCCGGTCTGATTAGACGCCAACTGCAGCTGCAGTATCATAGATTTAGACTCACCTTGAGCAGGTCTCGACTGGGCATTGTCCAGCATCTTTATTACTTAACCTTATTCCTTATCTTTACTATTTAACCTTGTACCTTTCTCAATTGCGAAAAATTAAAACTAAATGAAATTATAATCGCGAGATGAGGAATCCAATCAAAAACGAAAATGTACAAATAGACTATCGAGCAGAGCGAGATAGTCTAGGGAGAGTAGATATGGACTATCGAGCAGAGTGAGGTAGTCTATAAAAAGAGTACACATGGTCAATCAAGCAAAGCGAGATAGTCTATAGGGAGAGTAGATATAGACTATCGAGCAACGAGTAGATATAGACTATCGAGCAGAGCAAGATAGTCTATTGAGATAGTAGATATGGTCTATCTTGCTCTGCTCAACAATCTATAGAGATAGTAGATATAGACTATCTCGCTCTACTCGATAGATATAGACTATCTCGCTCTACTCGATAGATATAGACTATCTCGCTCTACTCGATAGATATAGACTATCTCGCTCTACTCGATAGATATAGACTATCTCGCTCTACTCGATAGATATAGACTATCTCGCTCTACTCGATAGTCTATATATTCTTTCCGCCAGCGCACGACAATTTTTTTTCCACATTGAAAAATTCAAATCATAAAGCGAGACAAGTTAAAGAAGGTAATAAAGAGAAGGAAGAGTTGAGGAACGGTTCCAAAAAGAGAGGCCATAAGTTGAGGAACGGTTCCAAAAAGAGAGGCTATAGGTTATAGGATGGTTTTAGCTGATTTGGGAGAGAGACTTAGAGGTGCGCTCTCATCGGTAGACAATGGTACTGAAGATGAGATTCAGCAAATGCTCAAGGATATTTGCACTGCTTTATTAGAAAGTGATATCAATGTCAAGCTTGTTGCGAAATTGAGGGGCAATATAAGAGACAAGATCGAACAGGAGAAAGTTACCAAAGAGACGTCATCTCAGAACAAGCGAAAGAAATTACAAAAGATCATATATGATGAACTATGTGCCTTGGTGGATTCGCACGAGGAACCACCAAAACCCAAGAAATTATCATCTACTACGAAAACCATCAAGGGTAAAAAAGTGCGAGTTTCAAAAGAGAGCAGCCACGTGATTATGCTTGTTGGGCTTCAAGGTGCTGGTAAAACCACTTCATGTACCAAATTGGCCGTTTATTATAAAAAGAGAGGGTTTAAGGTTGGTTTAGTTTGTGCAGATACGTTTAGAGCTGGTGCTTTTGACCAATTGAAACAGAATGCAATCAAGGCGAACATTCCCTATTATGGGTCATACTTGGAGCCCGATCCAGTCAAGATTGCTTATGAGGGTGTACAAAAGTTTAAACAAGAGAAATTCGATATTATAATAGTGGACACATCGGGTAGACATCGACAAGAAGATCAATTGTTCACCGAAATGGTACAAATTGGCGATATGATACAGCCTACGCAAACAATCATGGTGATGGATGGTTCAATAGGACAAGCTGCAGAATCGCAAGCTCGCGCGTTCAAGGAAAGCTCGAATTTTGGGTCAATCATTCTAACGAAAATGGACGGCCATGCAAAAGGAGGTGGTGCGATTAGTGGTGCAGCAGCAGCAAAGACACCAATAGCGTTTGTGGGAACAGGTGAACATACTGGAGATTTCGAGGTGTTTAATCCAAAGTCATTTATATCGAAATTATTGGGTATTGGTGATATTCAATCGCTTATCGAACATGTGCAGTCGCTTAATTTGCATCAAGATGAAGGTCATAAGCAGACTATTGAGCATATCAAGGAGGGTAAATTCACATTGAAAGACTTTCAAAATCAAATGAACAACTTTATGAAAATGGGACCTCTCACGAACATTGCATCAATGATTCCTGGTATGTCCAGTATAATGTCCCAAGTGGGCGAAGAAGAAACATCAAATAAAATCAGAAACATGATCTTCATTATGGACTCTATGACGACAAAGGAATTGGAGAGTGATGGTAGAATTTTTATCAAGGAGCCTAGTAGAATCATTAGAGTTGCCAGAGGTTCCGGATGCAGTGCAGTTGAAGTGGAAATGATCTTGCAGCAACATCGAATGATGTCGACAATGGCTAAATCCGCTATGGCAGCTCAAGCGGGCCAGCCAGGTCAAGCTGGAGGACCATTTGGAAATAACCCACAAATGCAAAGAATGATGCAACAAGCGCAGTCTAACCCTAACTTTATGGAACAAGCAATGAGAATGATGGGTGGTGCTGGAGGCCCTGGAGGTGCCGGAGGATTGAGTGGTATGATGAATAACCCAGCAATGATGCAACAGGCACAGCAGTTAATGAGAAGTAACCCGGGAATGATGCAACAGGCTCAAAATATGATGAAAAATCCCTCGATGATGCAGCAAATGATGAAGCAATTTGGAGGTATGGGAGGAATGTAGAGGAGAGTATTTTGTAATAGCATCTTTCAAAACGGTTTTGTTTTTTCAATTTTTAGTATATATGTAGATATATATATATGTGTGTATATTTCCATTACACCATAGTACCTACTGCAACTAGTAACATGCCATGTACATGCTACTACATACTACTCTACCTATAAAAGTCTGGCCTGGAAGTGTTCATTCCATACTCGCTTAGAGCATTACTGAGATCTTCCATTGTAAGGACAACTTTACCTTGTTGGTTTCCCGCAGTGGAGTGCGATTGTTGCGACATTTGTTGATCTCCCGAGTTTTCAGCATTGTTATTACTATTTCCAGCTAGTGTTTGTTGATTTGCATACTGTTGTCCTTGTAATAACTGTTTAGCCCTAACCTGCGGGTTTGCAGAATTATACACGGAACTCGAATTTCGGATTCTACTGTATTCATAAGCATCTTGAGCAATATCGCTAATGAACTTCTGGGTAGCCAACGCAATAAGTCTCTTGATCTTAACGTCAGATGACTCAAATCCATTCTTTGCAAGGTAGTAATCGGTTACAGCATCGGGTATTATAGGAGCAAACTCGTCATCCATCATGTCCAAAACTTCCTTTAGCGTCTTGTCCTTCCTGGTAAGTTCCGGTAAGTCTGGAATCAAAGATGGCGCAGCAGCGGCACTAGCAGCGGCAGCAGCAGATAAACTCTGTTGTTTTTGTTTCAATTTTTCACTCTTTGATTGTCGTACTTGGTTTTCGTTAGAACTCATTGGCTCCAAATTGTCACTTTCCTTGACAACAGAGTCAAGAATTATATTATCGTCAATGTCATTAAACTCTTCATCAATAGTATCCCCATTAGTATTAGCCTGGTCGCTCATAACTGAACAAAAAACTCAATAATATCAACTTGCTCACTAGTTTGATGATTGATTCTATTTTCGACTCTTGTTTCTATTCACTTTTGTTTTTAATTTTTTTTTTCCCTCCTTTCTTCCTTTCTTCTTCTTCAAGAGGGCCCCCAAGGAAGATATTATGGACCATTGATAATTAATGGATGCTGGAAATCTAGATCCCAATGAGTCACCGACGTTTGGTAAATCGTTGCTGTTGCGTGTAGATGGAGCAATTGGAGCTATGCTGTTGGCTCCCAATGGGAGAGATGCTGTACTTGCAGGAAGACGAGGGCTTTTTATAATTGATATGGATGATCCATTCACACCTCCGCGATGGCTTCACCATATAACTTCATGGGAAGTAGCTGACGTTCAGTGGTCCCCCCATTCCTCACAGAAACCGTCGTGGTGCATATCCACCTCGAATCAAAAGGCGCTTTTGTGGGATTTGAATAGACCGTCATACAATGCTATTGCCAATATACTTCATGCTCATACTAGAGCAATATCGGATATAAACTTCCACCCATCGGACCCAGAGCTTCTAGCCACATGTTCAGTTGATACAATGGTTTTTAGCTGGGATATGCGAACGCCGAGAAAGCCCGTTCTCAAATTCGCCGAGTGGAGAGCAGGAGCAACGCAAGTCAAATGGAATTCCTTGAATGCCTTTGAAGTAGCACTGACGCATGATAATGCTCTTTATTTGTGGGATACTAGAAAGGGAGCGTTACCGGTGGTCAAAGTCGCTAAAGCTCATGAAGGTAAAATCAATGGCCTTGATTTCACCCAGGGACTCAAAAATATGATTACATGCTCTAACGACAACAGCATCAAGTTTTGGGACTTGGAAACCAAAAGGGCAAAAGACATAATTAACGAGTTCAACTACTTTGACGAAACCAAAAAAAGTCAAATTATGCCCAGCGTGGTGATAAAGACTGATTTCCCAATAGCTAGAGCAAGAACACTACCGTTTGGATCAGATAAAGCTTGTGGTGTTATGCCTCTTCTCGGTGGCGAAAATGCTATCCATATTGTCAATTATGAAGATGCGTACCAAGCTTATCTATCTACAGGCGCAACACAACGCATTACTGGAGATTTTACTTACTCTTTTAAAGGCCACCATGGTCCAATGAAGGATTTCTTGTGGAGAACAAAACATGCAAAGTATGACAAGTTTAGCTCCAAAAATTCGTACAAGGATTATCAATTAGTTACTTGGTCTTCCAAAGATGTTGACTTGAAGTTGTGGCCGCACGATGAAGAAATTTACAAGGGGGTAAATTATAATCCAACTTTTTTCAATTTCAAAAATGAGCTGGATAATGATTTACTGGAGGTCAAACTGCCGAGTAAAATCGAAGTATACAGTTATAGAACCTATTGCCGTGAGCCAGAGGTGACCATTGAAGACTTGACAAATACAAACGGTGGCGATATATTATCCGCCTTAACTCTGCTTGAAATAATGGAAAAACGTAGACAATCAGGACACGAGCAGCCCCAATTGAATCATTTGGATTGGATATCTGGTGTTAGAATGGGAGACGCAAGTAGCGACAGGCGCAGAGATAGCTCAACTGGCATTGAAGATAAGGATCCCTCTAACTTGAGTGAGGAGGTTAGTATTGTGGGCCACAAATTTCCATTCATTAGGTTTGAAAAAATATCAGTGTCAACAGGACAATTGGTTATAAGTTTAAAAGGCCCTGTTCCATTGTCGGGTAAACAAGAGCTTGATGCTCATGACTCGTTGCACTCCATTATTGAGAATTCGAGCCCTAAGTTGGATTCAATTGTTGTGGCATCCAAGGAAAAGAGTGTGACCAGTAAAGACGAATGGGAACAAGAAGGTAAGAGCACTGCAGATGCAAGTCATATCAATCAAGCAGTAGACGAAACAACTGATGATGAGCAGAAATTGATTTTCATAAGAATTGCAATTAGTTTTCCAAGTTCCTATCCCTACCTTGAGCATGTAAACTTTGAAAAAAATGCCAAGAGACTGAGCAAAATACTGAAGGAAAACTCAATCAAATTTGCGATAGAGGAAACTCATGAACTTGATAGAGATCTCAAGATGTCCATGGAAAGAAATTTGCGTGAAATTGCTCACTTTTACACAAACAAGTATCAGAGGTTTTGCTTAGAGCTGTGTTTACGATACTTGATGGGTGAGAAAGTTGAACTAGACGACCATTTGATGATTGCTAACAGGCGCGGTAGTTCTGAAGATGGAAATGAGAAGTATGAAGTGGAAGTTGGTGACGAAGGATGGGCAGACGACTTGATAAATCAACAGCCAGGGTATAGGGGGTATTCTTCAGGTGAAGAGGCGGATGCAGAGTATGACGATCTTATTCCTGGGCTAAGTGTCGACTTAAGTATTGGTAATAATCTTGAAAAAAACGAAGGTGATGGTTTCCACAATGCCGATAGTGGTGTTGTCAAACATATTGAACCATCCTTTGACTCAACGCCTCTACCACAAAAGTGTGGTGCAATGTGGGCACGGAATGGTCGTCTAGTTTGCTTTTTTATGCCTCGAAATGAAAGTGAAAATGAAAGAGAAAAAGGGTTTGCAAACCTTAATGATTATGATGATGATGATGATGATGATGATGATGATGATGATAAGAATGAGAATGTTGACGATAACAATAGAAAGAGAAACTTGTCTGAGAAAGCAGCCGCAGCTGATGGTTCTGAAGTGCTTGATGGGAGTGACACCTCAGAACCCGAGTCTTGCGACGATGAAGTTAGCGAGAGTGACTCGTCAGATGAGTGTTTTGAGGAAGATTTACAGGAACTTTTGAGAAATGATGCATCCATTAGAACACGAGTTCCGGGTTTGTTCAAGTCTAGTTTTGGTATCGATAACCGATTCGCGGAAAATACTAGCAGTCACAAATCTTCTTTAAAACGAATTACTAGTAATGGAGAAGTATCCAATAACCGTTCTTCCTTGCGAGAGGTGAAGCGGAAAGTCAAAGGTTATGAGAGCAAAAAAAATCTCAATATTGTGAGCATTCACGACTATAGTCATTTGTTGCCCAATCGTATTGATCTTGCGCGTGAATATAGAGTCACTGGAGATACTCCTGAGAGTCTTGCCAATTACAATTCCAAAGTGGCTCTTAAGTATGGTTTAAAGGAAATCAGTGATACTTGGAGAGTGTTGGAGATTGTATTGACGAGTAAATTTGGTGGTCTGACTCCGTCAACAATGAAGCCAACCTCAGTACAATTTGACAATTTATCATTTTGGGGTGCACATCCATTTGGCTATACCTGGTTGGTTCCACAGTTGTTTGATTACTACTTTCACAAGGGGAATACTCAGATGTTGGCTGTAATGTCGTGCATTATTTGTAGCTATCCAAGTACTGCTGCTACTGCTGCTTCTGCTGCTGCTGCTGTCCGAACTAGTCTGAGCTGGCAGGCTCTTCGGGGAAGTGAATGTGAACATGTAGACTTTCACTTTCCTGTTAACGATAAGTTTTTCACTGGAAGTATGGACATGAGGGGACTGACAGCGACTCCCAGCGATCTTCAATATAGTTTATCTCAAGATCAAAGAGCTTGGCAGACGGCCAGTACTATAAAGGAGTTACAGTTCCCAGGCTCAGCCGCTTCATATCCTCACTCAGTTGATTCATCGTTGGATAATGGCAGTATTATTAATGAATCACCTGATCGATTTGGATACTTGAGGAAATTCAAGCCCGCAGGAGGAGGAGGAGGAGGAGGAGGAGGAGGAGTGCCATCAACAAATGTTGGAAATTTATCACAGGTATCGTTGATTAGTCCTGGTTCTGGTTCTGGTCTTGGTACTGGCCATGATATCAAAACTCCTTTGCCTAAAAGGGTATCCACGTTTCTGTCGGAGCGGAATAAATCACTAAATACAAAAAGGCCATCAACAAGTAACAACAGGTTGAAAATCCAGCAGTCACTCCCTACTGTTTCGGTGGAGTTTTGTAACGAGCTTGATATAAGCAATTTAGCTCTACCTACATGTTTGGATGATGATGTGATCAAACTGTACAGGCTGGAATATGCAGACACGCTCTATGACTGGAACTTACCCATAAAACGTGTTGAAATTTTAAAGCTTAATTATTCAAATTCTGAATCAAAAGAGCTGTCGAGCTTTGCAGTTCATGAATGCAAAATCGGCGTAAGAAAGAAGAATAGGCAATTGCCAACGCAAGAGTTCATTAACGCGGTGTCAATGGTTGGATCTAGCAGTCAAAATGCTTGGAACACTACAAAGAGGCAAGTTGTAAAGTATTGTGTCTATTGTCAACTTGTTTTGACAAAAAACTCTACATTATGTGCATCGTGCGAGCATGTGATACACTTGCTGTGCGCAAAAGAATGGTGGTCTGGTAACGATGAGTGCCCGAGTGGTTGTGGATGTAAATGTTTAGATCATCCCTTTTATAGTTGAAACACCTTTTCCTTCTTTTTTTTTTTTGTACTTTTTTTTTTTTTTTAATATGGCTAAGGTTGCCTAGAGTTTGTAATTTGATCAAGGTTGCCTAGAGTTTGTAATTTGATCTTTGAGTTTCTCATCCCATTCTTTGGTTAACGAGTCTATGTAATCAAGCACATCATGCATACCAGTAGTATCAACCTCCTCATAAACCAAATACTCTCTACCGGTTCTGCCACAAGCAGAGCCCACCTTTAAGCTTTGTTTAGTTTTCCCCATTGCTGCAGCTACAGGAGCATTTGCAGCTATATAACCAGAGATATTGTGGTAGCGAGATCCCATCCATCTCGCAAGATAAAATAACACAAGCATTCCATAGTAGGTGAAAAAGTTCAAGTACTCAAAAAATGAAAAACTAGTAAAAATCCCCGGGTGCACCAAATATTGGTTGATATTATTCTCCTTTTTCAACTTGTTGAAAGTTGCAAAATGTAACAAATCAACCAACCTTTTAGAACCCTCATAAGACTCGGGAGATCTGAGCAATTGCAAATCGTTAAATGATAAATATTTTTGCTGAGACATCAAGGAGCTGATCCAGACTATTTTCCCTCCATTAGCCAACAAATGCTTTATTTTGTGAATAAAATAGTATGGACCAAACACATTTGCTTGGAATACCAACCCCAAATTGTCATTAGATTGTACGCCTGTTCTCTGAAGCTTATAGGTAGGGTTCGTTACTGCTTCTATTGGATTTTTAACCACCTCGAAAATCGCGGCATTCCAATCGATACCTCCATAGACTCCTTGTGCAGCATTAACAAACAAATAGTCGATATGGACATATCTCTTGTTCAATTCATAGTAGGCAGACAAGATAGAGATCATGTCGGTGAAGTCAACCAATATATAGTCAAATTCAACTAGCTTAACCTTGGCAAAAATGTGCTCACCAATATACTTTTTGATATCATTAATCAGCTCCTTCACTTTTGGTAATGTTCGTGATGTAACTATCAACGTTATTTCCTTGTCATTAGGTAGTTGCTCCAACATACGAATAGCAATGTTGAAACCAAGATTCGAGGACGTCCCCGTTATCAATATCTTTGTCGAGTCTTTGCTCAATGACATGGCATTAGCTGGTAATAATCGTAATGATAAAGGTTATCCTTCTACGAATAAATAAATAAATAAAGTCACCTTACTCGGAAACAATACTTTTTTTTTTTTTTTTATCCTCGTTTAAAAAAACCATAATGAAAAAAGAGATGTAATGTAAAGAATGAAGGAAAGGAACGAACAAACAGAGAAATAAGTCGATTGTAGGACGCTACAAGTAAGAGGGGCTTGGCGTTATTGTTTGATTTCTTATTATGGGGCAGGACAATCTAAGGAAGCCATATATCCTTCCATAAAACCTCTTTTCTTACTGCATTGGAAAAACCTTCATTGTAATTAACCCAAATCCTTTGTGAAGTCGAGGCAAATGTATCCAGTGCTTTAGTTTCAGTTCTCTTTACTTCTTCATATCTATCCATGAAAAAATGTTGATTCTTTTTCTTCTTGTCCTTTTGCATTGCATTTGTTTCTACTTCTCCTTCTTGTTGCACTTTTTGTTTCTTCAAACGATTAGTGGTATCTTCCTGAAGAAGACGCTTTTTGGAGGATGCTAGTCTTTCCAATTCAGCTGTGATAAGAGGAAACAAAGTTTGTCTTTTGATTTGAATTTGCATTGTTTCCAAAGTTGCATTAGTTTTAGAAAATTGACTTTCATAGAGTAATAGTTGATCCCAATCAGGTGAGATTTTCAAAAAAGTCTGGCTAGTTTCAAGTGCTCTCTGGTTCTCTAACTTTAACTTGAAGCCGTTTACAAGTTGAGTGATCTTTTCCAATCGGTGCAATTCAGCACTAGACAAATTCAGCTTGACTTTTGATGACATAGTCACTGACAACATTTTGGAAACAAATGGTAAGAACAAGGTAGCCAGACTCTCCATTTTAGCACCACTAGCACCACAACCACCAATTGCTAACTGGGTAGATATAGGCACATTCTGCATCACTGTTTGTACAATATGCTTATTCTCTTTTAAAGTTTCAAACGACTCAAATGCGAGGTTCTTGGCATTTGGTACAAGCGAGTTGTGAGAAGTTGAGTGAACCTTTATCTCACTGAAAAGCAACCAGGACTTTAAGGCCACTACCGGAAAGTAGTGACTCAAATCCACGTTGTTTTGGTTAAATGTATCATAATAGTTTAGCCAATCGCTCAACTCTGCTGGTTTGAGAAGAGAGTCGTCTTGGAGGTGCACAACATCCAAATATTTGTTGAATATTCCATTCAAAAATTTTTCAAACGAGTCGGTACTTCCAGTTATCGATTTCCCATCACCATTCATATACTTGTTCAAGAGCTTTATAAAATTGTCTTCTTTCTTTAACTGTGGATTTCTTTTAAACATTTCATCGACCATGGTGTACCATGACACATTTCTATCATGAATATGAAGAGTGCCGCCTTTCCTTTTACTCTCCTGATAATGCAGTTTCTTTCCATTAAACTGCATGTGGTTTAAACAAGCACGAATATCTCCTTCGCAACTTTCGCAAATATCTCCGATTTCTCGATAATCCAATCCCAATCTTTCTTGGTTGTTAATATGCATAAGGAAATCCTTAACAGACTTCATTGCATTACCACTTATTTTAGCACCGGTTGCCTTTTGTGCTAATGTTGGCTTTCTGAATACAACAACTTCAGATATGGCTCTTATTTTCTCCAAGGGATTAGGACCAATTTTACCAGGCCGCCTCGAGTAAATATCATTGGCTATGCATATGATTGGTCGATTCAACATTCTGTCCTTCTTCTTTCTCATTTGCTGCAGTTTTGTGCCGTCGCCCAGCATATCACTATTGTTATTTTTGAATGTTTTTTTATAATAAGCTCGTTGGTCAGAACTGACTATATCGGTTAACACTTTAACAACATCACCTATATTTGCCAAGGAATCCAATTCGTCAATAACAAGACATGATGGTTTAGTGCTGTTTGAAACAATATTTGAAGTCAACGAATTGTATATCTTCAACCTTAGGGCATTGGTCGCATTGGTGTAGGCACCGTTTGCGGTATTCTGCAGCAGCAGTTGTTGTTGAGCTTGAGGTAGCGTGTCCATACTATTGGCGGCATTTAACTCTTGCACGTTATACCCCATTTGACGTGCCAAAATATGAGTGGCTACTGTTTTTCCAATTCCAGGGGGACCATGGATTAATAAGATCTTTTTCAAAGGCCTTCCCAAGGAGTCTACTACTCCCTCATCTTTCTTGAGAACCTGCTCACCAAATACTACTGGTGACCACTTGCTTAACCAATGCATTATCAACCTGTACTGTTTGTCATTTCCAGCTGAACATAGTTGTAAAAAATTGTTGGGTCGATACTTTTCTGTCCAGATCTGAGAATGCGTGGTGGTGGTGGTGGTGGTGGTGGTGGTGGTGGTGGTGATACCTATATCAGATTCAAGGGTCATTTTCTGTTGCTGGTCTCGTTGTCCTTCCAATTTTCTGTTGTTTTCCTTAATCCTATTTCTCAATTCTACCTTTGTTCTAAGTGAATCCATATCCAAAAGCGAGGACGAGGTAATTGCATTATTCTTTGACCTTCGCGGCAGCTTGAGCTTAAGATTGATAATCTCGCCATTGAATAACCTCACCAGTTTATTAAGTGATTTATCAACACATTGCTCTTTATCCAGTTTAGATACCGGGGGAAGCAGAAATTCAATTGGTTCGCATTGAATCTCCTTTTCTATACCCCTCCCTTTATTGAAAAGGGAGGGGTCAGCACTAAATAGAGACGATTTGGAAAAGTCCAATCCACCACTAGTTCCATTTGTAATCTCCGTCATTGATATAAAATGCAGTGGGGGGGGGGAAGGGGGGGAGGGGAGGCAGCACAGTGTTTCTTTTCTAAACTTACCTGGTTAAGAGATATAGGGAAGAAATATCTTTACATAGTTTAATATCTAATAGACGCGTTATACAAACAAAGAAAAAAAAAGAAATTAAAAAAGAGAGTAGAGTTTATAACACTATTGAGCAGAGACAGAGAAGAGTAGAGTGGAGTAGAGTGGATACAACTATTGAGCAGAGATAGTGTAGTGTAGAGAAGAGTAGAGAAGAGTAGAGTGGAGTAGAGTGGATACAACTATTGAGCAGAGATAGTGTAGTGTAGAGAAGAGTAGAGAAGAGTAGAGTGGAGTAGAGTGGATACAACTATTGAGCAGAGATAGAGTAGTGTAGAGATAGTGTATTGTAGTGTAGGGATAGTGTAGTGTAGGGATAGTGTAGTGTAGGGATAGTGTAGTGTAGGGATAGTAGAGTAGAATAGAATAGAATAGAGTGCTGCTCCACTATCTCGCTCTGCTTGATAGTGTCACTTTCAAAAAAAAAAGATTTAGTGATTTGAACGAGATTCGAACTCGCGCCTCCGAAGAGATCAGGATTGTATGGTAAAGATATTAACCTTACCCTGACGCCTTAAACCAGCTCGGCCATCAAACCTAAATCAGGTAATGTTTTATCCAATTTCAGGAAGTAATGATGTAAAATTAGTATGAGGTGGTACAATTTGTTTAACTAGCGACACTATGTCGCTCTGCCCGATAGTGTCGACTAGCTCTGCTCGATAGCATAAGCGGGTTATTTGTTTTCTAATACTGTAGTAAGAGGAATATTTGTATAGTGCTAACAATATTACTTAGTGTATAAAGAGGAAGAAATCTCTGTATGGAAAGGGAATCACCTGTAGAAGAATATAACTAGTAATATTTAACTATTTATAGCATATATACCATTTCTAATCAAACAAATTTGTATTTTACTGTTTTCTTCCTGAATTGCTTATATTAAGAACTTACACATACACATACACATACAATTTATTAATAGTAAAGTTTCGTAAAAACGTTTCAACTTGATATATATCCTGTCAGACCCAAACCAAAGTTTTAGAATAGAGTATTCAAATCTTTTAATCAAACTTTCTCAATTCAATTTCTGGCAAGTGTTCATCCTCTTTGACAACTTGGTAGCTTCTTTTCATGATATCCTCTGTCGTTTTCTTCTGCTTTGGAGTCAAGTTTTTATTGACAACTTGTTTGAAAATATTGGAGTCTTGTTTAGCCAAATACATCAATTTGTCTTGAAGGTAATCGGCATCAAAGCCAACTTCATTTTTAACTAAAACTGGTATAAATATTGAATACAAAGCTTGTTTCTTAGTCTCATCGTCGGGAATAGTCTTTGTGAAAAGCATTAAAATCTCTGTAATTATCTTCAAATCAATTTCACAATCACTTTGGTCTTGTCCTTCCTTTTCAGCAACCCCACTGATTATCTTAATAAATCTAGAAAAAAGCTTCTTAACCACTAATGCTCCATTAGTATTAGTGCTATTTTGAACAAGAGATTTGATGCATTGGAGCGCTAAAGATGCTGTCTCATTGTTTTTCAAAAGCGCAAACAATGCCTCGTCCAATTTGACAGCCTCTGTTTCTTTCAATTGCACACCTCCTCCAGTAACAAGAATCGTTGCTGTGATAGCAGTGTACGTCAACTCTGGGTCAATCTCATAAAACTGCGAAACAACAGAATAAAACGTTTCAACTGACTCGGAACCTAACCTTTTGGAATCTACAACAATTTGCTTCAAATGCGGAATCACAACAGAAATCAAAAGCATCTTCTTGCTCTCATAAATTTTAGCAAAAAGAAAAAGTAAACAGGAATAAAGATCAGGTTTAACCAAATCAGGGAAAAGGGAAATCATCTTGGTCAAACTCTCAAAACTTTTCTTTAATACCAACAAATTTGGCGCGCTCTCTGCATGCTTAATTAAAATGGCATAAGTTGCGTCACTGGCATCATAGTTTGACTTGAGAAAGGGTAATATTCTGAACAACGGAAGCATTGTGACTCTGATCAACTCGTATAGCTTATCAAAACCAGTCTCTAAATCAGATCGATGCGTTGCAACAAATGTTTCGAAAATGGTTTCCAATGTTTCAAGCAATAAACACTGCACTTCAGCCTCATCATCAATCAACATCAATCGATCAAAAACTACAATTACCTCTCCAAATATCTGCTCATTGAATATCAAATCGACTAAAGGCGAGCTTCTCACCAATTTTTGCAAACATCTCAAGATTTGTGACACATTCTTGCCTCGAATTAATGATTCGATACATTGACTGAACAATATGAAAAAAAAAGTTTGACCATCCCCAGAAAGAATCTTGTCAATCCTTTGGTAATCCTCCTCTGACTCCAAACTCAACACGCTAACCAAGTTGATCCAGTAATCTCCATGCATCTCTAACTCTCTACTCGATGATTCGCTATATTTGATTACAGAATATTCCTTTAAAGATAATATCCACAACGAAGTGAGCAATTGAGAGTACTTGTCCAAAATCTCCTTAAACTCAGCTTCGGTACCTTCCGGATCATCATACGTTTCAATTTTCAAAACAGCCCAGCAGTTGAGAATTGATAATTGTATACTCTTTTTCCCAAATTCAGACATAGTCTCCAAAAAGCCAAACTTTAAAAATTTGTTTGATGAAATTTCTTCCAAGAGTTGAATCAATGTTTTGAGTATTCTTTGTTTTGAATAAAATTTGATTCTTGGAAGATTGATAAAGTTGGACGAGACCCTGATTGCGTGGATTATAACCTTGTAATCGTTTCCCGGGGTAAAACAAGGAACCAAAGCACTAATGATTTGAGCTTGTTGTTGCTCCAAAATAGAAACGGATGGGTACAAGGGATCCTCTAGCTCACCAAATAACTCCAATGCAGAATTTAACAAGTCAAGTCCTTTAATCTTCAACTCGGTAATTGAAGATGTGGATCCAAGGAAAGATAACTTGACTATATCGGGTATTCTACTTTTTAATCGTTCAACTAAGCTATGATTTTTATAAGCTAACGACATCAAATGGTTTAGTGCTTCAAATAAAAATAGCTTGAAAGTCCATGATATTGGCTCATTCTTTTCTGAACTAGTCTCGTCATTCTCACCAACAATCACCTCGTTTTCTTCATCTTTAAAGTCTATACCACCGCTGCTTGCACTACTGTTCTTTTGTCTCTGTAGCAACGGTAATAATTTTTGTTGATAATTTGACTTTAAAAAAGGACCCACTAGCTTTTTCAAACTAGATTTGAATAATGAATTCAAAATACCAAACCAGTTTTTCTCTAAACTGCTTTCAAGCCAGAGTATAATCAACCTTTCCAACTCTGGGCAAGGCATTATGTTCATAGAAACCCAAAGTAAATACTCTGTTTCTTGTGAAAGAATCTTGACTCCATATATTTTCAACAACTCATAATAACATTCATAAGCGGCAGAGTACAAATCGAAACTGGTATTGAAAGGAAAAATAGTCTCTGTATTGAGAGCAGTGGGCGGCACGCTGGCAATGGAGATCTTGAGATTTTTTGAAATTATCAAATTTAGAAAACTGACAAAAAGTTCCACTTCTTCCTCAATAAAATTGGGATCGAATATGACTAGTTCTTGAAACAACTCCATTAACTGCTTATAAACTTGCACGTAATCGCTCAAGGTGGCAAGCCCAATACCATGAGTGAGACATATTATCAAGTTTCGCAATTGTGTTTTCAGCTTTTCATTCCATTCCCTTAATAAAGGACCAAGGGACATCACAAACAACTTTAACAAATGGGACACATCTTTCATGTATCCATATCGAGTCTTTAGATTCACTAATGCTTTATTTGATACATCGTAACTAAATGAGTTGTTCAAGTATTGTTGTGAAAGCTTTGCTAAGATTTGGGGTATAAGGGACAACTTATCATTGCTTGTAATCTCAAACACATTTACCAACGATTCAAGTGTGTAATGATATATAACCGGATTCGTATCATTTATTAATTGAAGCAAGATGTTATAGGTCTCGCGAAATCCAATCTTAGTATTGAAGTAAATTTTGGACAATATCAAAATTGCAAAGCCCCTGATGTAGGTGTTTTCGTGAGTAACGATTTCGTTCACCAAATTCGTTATTAGCCCATGAACATCATCTGTGGACATCAATACTGTGCATGAACCTATAGTAGAAGAGTTCAACTGCATCATCTGGTCATTTTGAGTGTTTATATTCTTAATAATATCGACAATCGTCAGCAAAATTTCTTTTTCAATCTTTAGAGAGTTCCTAACGGCATTGTGGACTACTCCATTCAAAGCAATTGATACATTAACTTGAATTGCTTTAAGTCTAAGCTGATCAATAGGCTTGGCTGTTAAAGAATTTTTAATCTGTTCCAATAATGAAAACTGAATTTTTGTACTTAGATGTGGAAACAGCAATTGAAACAATAAAATTGACAGATCCACAAGAGAAGTGGTCAAGTTTGGTGACGTTTGTTTCAAGTCGGAATCACTCTGCAAGGTTTGGAAATAGTTGGGATCATTATTAAGGGAGTGCTCATTTGAAAGGTAGGAAATATATTCAAATATCTCAAACCAATAATAAGATGGACACTGCTCCTTCTTTTCATCCAGTAACGGCTTTGCTCTCATGGCAAATATATTTTCTCGTTGCCCATTATTATTTCTCAGTTGTTCATCAATTATGAAGGACTTGTATGAAAACAAACTGGTCAAACCAAAAGCATAATTGTAATCCTCATTTAAATAAACCAAAACATCATTGCTCTCCACTGCACTCTTATTGGAGCTTTTGCTTTTTGGTCTTGATACTTTTTCATGATCAACGGAACAGTCTCTTGCAAATAAACGGTGATCGCTAAACATTTTTATAACAAAAATGACTATATTTGAGTTTATTTCACTTTTTAAAAAAGTCGCCAATTTGGCATAGCTCTGCAATAGCACTTTTTTACTGTAAAAAACTAAGCTAGTAATTATTTTCTCCAGAGGTAATTGGCCGTTGAAGAAATAATTGGAGTACAAAATATTATTAACCATGTTGGGGTCATAATTAGACTCATTGAAACCGGTGCCATTAAGAGCTGTGACCAAGCCTACGCTCTCAATACTGCTCTCTAAGTGGGATAAATAGTTGTAGGATTTTGTCAACATGAAATGGATTTGCTTCAATGATTCTGGTGTTAAATCAACTGAAGTCAAATAATTGTACAAACATGTTAAAGCCAAGGTCCTTAATTTCAAATTCGCAATTATATCGTTCGTATGGCTTTTGCTCGAGGACTTGGCTTCAACTGAAGTATTAATGTACTGTGATGTGAGTAAACTTTTCCAAAACACAAGAAATTGGGAAGAATTTAATCTCACGTATTCGGAAAATTTATATAGGGACACCAATGACGAAAGAATGACCCAACAACTGGAATTCTGATTGTGGTTTTTACTGTGCTTCAACGTTTGGGTGCAAAAACTCAAAATTTTTACAATAACAGTGTTTTGAAGTAATGCAGGGTCCGTTTGTTTTATAATAGACAGCAATGCTAACGAGTAACTCAATAGCCTTACTGCTGAAATGCCACATATATTTTGATAATTCTTAGTAGTAATACTAGTACTGGATTGACTTATACTTGAATGCTTTTGTTCCTGGTCCACCAATCTAAAACAGCTCAAAATTAGTTGGTTGACGTTAGCTTGATGAAATTGAGCAAGCTCTAATAATGCTTCTATTGCATAATTCCGTGTGTATACATTATCGTTTGCTATTAATACAAGCAAAACATTTTCCAAAATAGACACACTTTGCAACTCATCACTACTTTTAGTGATTTCCAATTCATCATCAATACTTTTTGCTTCAGGTGCTTTTCCATTTTTATCTTCTGCCATCTTTTCCCTTTCTTTTTCTTTTGCTTTTGTTTTTGGTTTTGATTTTTCTGAATCTTCAAGGTTCAAGCCGGTAGGAATTAAAATTCGAATAAGAAGCAAAACAAAATATGCTTGATAAGGATTGGTATAGATGTTAATGGTCGAATTTGTTGACCCTCTTTTTTGGAACGTTTTGGTGCTCATTAAACCAAAAATCTTTGACTCTCTTTTCTTAGATTTAGATTTCGATAAGGAGTTTGTTTCCAACACTTCATCGCCAGTTTCTTTCCTATTTGATAACTTGGATTGCAAAAATTCAGAAAGCACGTCATTAACCGAAGAGCCTGCTTCTTTTACTACAAACTCAATCAAAATCTTCCAGTTTGATACAGTTTTGATCCAATCAGTATTTTGCACATGAAAATTAGACTGTTTGCCACAATCCATATTACTAAATTTTAGCAAAATCAAAGTTAAAATATCTGTTAAATTGGCCAGTAAAAACTCGGGATTTTGGTACTGTTCCATTTGCAAGTAAAATATTATACATGTTATTATACTTGATTGGTACAAATTCGTTTCTAAATTCACACTCAAAATGGATTCACTATCGTGACTCGCAATGTTGTTGGTATCTGCTTTGTTCTCCGCAAAAGGCTCACCATTAAAAGATAAATTCCATTGTAAGCCGGAATCTTTAAAGTTAGCACTTGGCAAGGGGTATGCATTGATCAAGTACTCAATGGGCTGAAAATCACCCACAAGTATAAAATTGATGAGTAAATTTGCTATCAAGTCAATTATCGCGATTCGTATTTCTTGACTTCTACTACGCAAGCAAAAATCAAAGACAGCTTCATTCGAAGCAAGCAAAGCTTGCTGATATTGGTGTTGCTGACTCATTATTGTTTCGGGCTTCATTTTGGCACCGGCGGAACCCGACCTCGCGGACATGGCCAAAAGTGCCTCATAGTGGCCAGAAACACTCAATAACAACATGTTCTTTAGCACCAATATATAGTTTTTTTTCAACAACACAGTAGATGTGCCCTTGTCGCTGGTGACATCAAACGAAATCAACTCCTGCATTATAGCCTTTGTGGCGATTTTCGTCAATTTACTATTCAACTTGTCATCTATATCGTGTCTTGTTGCATGTTTAGAAACCGAATATAACAAGTAAACCAAATCGCTATCAACGCTAGGGTCCTTTTTGAGAATCTTGTATATCTGTGAAACGCTGAATGTGATCAATGAACTCAAACTTGACGGGAAGTTGTCAAACAAGTCAATGAGTAAGAAAACTGAGATTTTCGAGTTTTGATTCAAATCTCCCGACTCGCTCAATTGTAAAAAATTGAGCAACAGGTTGGTTGTGTCATAAATCTTTGAAGGGATGTGACGTAAAACCGATACCAAGTTCTTAGAGACTAATTTGAAAACATTGTACGAAGCCTCAGCATGTTTTCCAGGTGGTGGTGGTGGTGCCTGTGACAGCGAGTCGTTTTTCTTCTTCTTACTGGCTGAAATCGACTGCAATTGCAGCTGCAGCAGCTGCTGCTGCTGTTTTTCAATCAATTGTGTTAATTGTCCAAGATAAATATGATACTCCGATTCATCCAATGATTTCTCCTTTGAGAGCTTTCGACTCATATCAACAAGATATGTAAGCATCTCCTCATTGTCAAACCGTTTAGCCAACTCGTTAAACCGGTCCATACTGTCTTAACCTGCTCTTTTCAACCCCCCTACGAAACCAACTCTTGATCAATAAATGTTACCTGGAAAAGAATATAGTCAATGAAGGAAAAAAAAAACAAAAACCTGCGCAATTAAAATTGATTGAATTTTTATTTTTATTTTTTCTGTTGTGCAGCGCACGTACGCGCACTTTTACTTTATATTCTGAGTGATGCGCTTTGTTGTTGTAGGGCTTCCATTGATAGACGGTAGGTTTGTGAATTGGCTATTATACGATAATCTTTTGATACTATTGCTGTTGCTGTTACTGGTGGTGGTGGTGGTGGTGGTGGTACTTTTATCGCTTCTTATAGCGGGAGGAGTTTCATGCTTGTTCAACTCAATTGTAGAAGGTGATTTAAATATGGTCATCTTGTTATTACTACTAGTATTAGTAGTAGCAGTAGTATAAGTATTAGTAGTAGTATTATTACTACTATCATTCTTTTGTCCATTAAATCCATAAAGAAATACTTCGATATCTCTAGTCAAATTTTTCAATTTTTGTAGAGAATCAGATTTCTTTATTTGTCCCAATGGATAGTCGCTGTTGGAGTTTTTGGTGGAGTTATTGGAATGTTTAGGAGGCGGTGTAGTTTTGAGCATCTCCTTGATACTCAAAATCAGGACGTCGCCATTTTCGCAACTATCACCCGCACCAGCAACCGCACCAGCTTGTTCCTTATAAACTTGACTCTCTAGACTAGTAACTTTCAAATTCAATTCTTCAATTTGGTTTTGATAGTTGGTAATGTATAATCCTTTCTCAATATTTAACTTACGCAATCTATCGACTTCGTCTTCAAGAATGGCCAATTTTTCCAAAAGCTCGTTATTGAAACTTTGCTGTAGTTCATACTTGCTAGTCATGATTCTATCTTGGCTTTCCATAGAATCATTCAAGATCTCAATATTGACAATTTTTTGGCGTAGATGACTAATCTCAGCATCTTTTTCTTGAATAAGCTCCTGTAATGAGCCAACCTCGCGACCAAGATCCAATTTTTGCTGTCGAGAGCTATTGAGCTGCCCCTTGAAGTTCTGTAATTGCTTGATTAATACAACGTTGGTGCTTTCCAACTCATGTAATTCTTCTTCAAGAGCTCTTTCCAAGTCCCGACTAGACTCTTGAAATTCGTTTAAAGCCGCTTCCGACTCAAGAATTTTTTGAACAAGCTCGTTTTTGGATAGTTGGATCAAACGTCTTGATAGGTTATCCATTACTGGCGCCTGTCGTGCTGAAACAATAATGGAACTTATTATGTGCAAATAAGATAAGCTCTGTCAAAGCTTCTTTGTTTGGATCTAAGCCGCGCAACTTTCTTAAATCAGAAAACTACTCGCGAGTTTCTGATTTTTCACCAAGAATCGAGAAAGAAAGATCAATTAATCGATTCACATGGTGGATAAAAATCATTAGAATCATGAGAGATTACATGCTATTATATTAAAACTATATAGGATCAATAGATATCATATGTGTATAAAATTAGCCAATATGTATAAGTTGGTTAAAGTGTAAGTGCTAGTTAAAGTACTTTGACTTGCTAGTTTTTGCTACCCTCTTCGTTTTTGTATTTTGATTCCACTTTTTTATCTTCTTCCTCGTCGTCTTCTTCTCCTTCTTCTTCTTCTTCTTCTTCTTCTTCTTCTCCTTCTTCCCCTTCCTCTTCGTCATCGCTCCTTTCATCCTTTTGTTCTCCTGCAAAGATGTACCTGAACAAGATCCTCAATATCAACACTAACCAATAAGTGTTGACTAGCTGTAATGCAAAGATCAAGAAAAAAGTAATTGGTTGCGAAATGTAACATTTGTATTGCTGTGTTTCCCAGTTTAATTCCCATTCTCCAACGGTTCTAAATTCAGTTAAAACAGACCACAAGATTTTTAAATTGATGTAATGTCTCAAGTATACCCATACACCAATGAAAAGCACAAAAAATGGTCCTGTTAGTTTTGAGTCCAAGTAATTTAAAGTTTTCGATATTGCCAAAAAGAAATCGGACACATCCATGGTTATGAATACTTCAATACCAATCCAAGTGAAATGGAATCTATAAGAACACCAAATCAAGGCAATGGTGATTATATGGTGCAAAACTAACTCTTTGAAATCTTTTCTTGGTTTTTCCAATTGTAAAATCAAGACTACTGATTGTTGTACCCAAAATGCAGCTTGTCCAAGGTAAAATATTTTAAAAAAGATATCATGAGTCTTGTGAGGGTACTCAAGATAGAATGGTGTTGTTTCGAAAAACCACATTGGTGTTCTTGACATGATCCATAAACCAAAAGGCCCACTTATACCGTAGTAAAACATGGCATAAGTTTGTTCCATAAATCTCTTTTGTTTGCCCTCATTTTTGATACCCAAGTATATACTAATAGGTTTCAATATCATGCACATCATAAATTCTCTCAAGAAAGTGAAAAATACAGCATAATAAGCAACAAATTTAAAGTCGTTTTCGCCTTTACCATATTGATCTGTACCTTCAATATGGTATGAAGGTATCATCATTGATCTCAAAAATTGATGAATTTTTCCCGACAGATTTGAAAGAAAGAATACCAAGACTGATAGTATTAAAAGGATAAACGGCCAAATCCAAGTTTGTCTATATGTCAACTCTCTAAACCCAACCACCAATTTTTCAGCGATTGCGAAATCTGACTTTGTTTCGCTTCTTAATTGGACCATTCTTGCAAATGACTTTCTTCTGGAAGATTTGGTGGTAGGCATGGTAGACAACGAGGCCGAAGTGTCACCAATGTTGATCTCACCCACAGAGGATGAAGCACGATGACGTCTATGGTGGGCTGGATGTAATGATGATGATGATGATAGACTATTCTCATCACCACCACCACCCAATGAAGCACCAGTAGTTTTTGAACTCATGGTATAAAAATTTCTTAGAAATACGGTAAATAAAAACTACAAAATATAAGCTATAAGCCGTGAGCCGTGAGCTATTGAGCTATTAGGCTATGAGCTATAACGAATAGATTTTTTAAAAAGCCTTCAAGTTACTTTTCAATGTAATTTCACTTCTTGGTGAAGCTCGAGAAGAGAGAAAAAAAAAAAAATAAAAATAAAAATAAAAATAAAAATAAAAAAATAAAAAAAAAAAAAAAAGGAGACGATGTAACCAAGCAATGTGAAAGGAAACTGAAATGAAATAAGTGAATAGGGAGGGGAAGAGAATAGGAACAAGATGGGGAAATGAAATGGGGAGAAGAAAAAGATACAAAGTGAAGAACAAAGTGAGTGATAGGTATGGTATTTATAACAATGAGATGTATAGTATATTTTGTTTATTAATAATGTATATACATTATATTCAGTAGCAGTAGATCAAATAAATTTGTAATGTAAGAGTAATAATCTAGGTTTGATTAGGTAATAAATATGTTATGTAAGAGTGATGATCTAAGTTTGATTAGGCAATATATCCGTAAATAATCTGAATTTGATTAGGTAATAAATGTGTAATGTAAGAGTAATAATCTGAATTTGATTAGGTAATAAAGTTGATCTTTTTTTGTAGTGTAGGCTTTTGATTTTGCAATGGGTGAAATTTTGCTACCATGTGCGGAAAAATATTATAGTGAATAGTATGGAGACATTAAGTAGAGACATAAATGGAGATATAAATGGAGACTAGGAGAGACCCAAGTAAAGACCAGTAGAGACATGAATAAAGTTTATTACAAGTGGAAACTACTGAAAATTGTTATTCGGTTAGAGTTTTATATAAAGTTGCTCAAGACTTAAAAATACAGGTTAAATGAAAAGAATCTGAAACTATTTATTCCGCTATAACTATGCTATTTTGATTTGATCTTTGAAATGGTAGCGTTTGTATATGTTGGATAGGTTATTATGGTGGAGGAGGAGAGGAGAGGAGAAGGAGAAAAGGGGAGGAGAAAAGGAGAGGAGGAGGAGGAAGAGGAGAGGAGGAGAGGAGGAGAGGAGGAGGAGGAAGAGGTTTTAGTAGACTACTATCAAGCAGAGCGAGAAAGTGGAGCACTGACGAGCTGCCGATAATGACGATAATGTCGGTGGCAGCTAGTATGGTCCACTATCCCGCTCTGGTGTGCTCCACTACAATCCAAACTCCTTACTGGTTATAGCCCATACAGCTTAAATCTCAACACTACAGCTCTACACGCTACAGCTCTACACGCTACAACTCTACACGCTACAACTCTACAGGCTACAATTATAATAGGTTTTAGCTCTATTCCACCACTATCACAAGTCACAACTATTACAGGTCACAACTCTACAATTTTACTATTGCAGGTCACAGCTACAACTATCAAAGGTTTTACAATGCCACAACTATTACAGGTCACAGCTTTACAATTTCACAGCTTTACAATTTCACAACTATCACTGGTCACAGCTCTATTATTTCACAACTACTGCGGCTCACAGCTCTACAATTCCACAACTATTGAAGGTTTTATCTCTACAATTCCACAATTGTTACAGGTTTTCCCTACAATTCTCCAAATGTTATAGGTTTTCCCTACAATTCTCCAAATGTTACAGGTTTTCTCTATAGCCTTAGATGTTACACCTCCACACCTGTACCTTTAGCAATATTTCCAAATATTATCTCAATTTTATCCCTTATAACAGATAAACAATCAATATAATCCATTGATAATTCTACTATATATAAATCCCCCCTCCCCCCTTTTTAACCCCCTTTCAACACCATCAACACATCAAAATAAAAACAATTTTATCCTCATTCTCTCCCTCCACTCCATGCTCTAATGACTCTTCCTTGTGATTGGCTTGGTCTTTCGCAGCCAGTTCCATAAATAGGAAATTACGTGCCCTGCATATAACCCCCCTCACTCCACTCACTCACTAAAAAGTAAAAGCACTCTTTACTTTGGGGGTGACTATCAAGAAGGGGCCTACAAACTTGAAAACTATTTCACAGTATAGGTATAAATGGCCGCTTTAGATGTTTTGATAAACAAGGCAACTGACCCTACACTTACAGCAGATAACTGGCAGTATATACTCGATGTTTGCGATAAAATTTCGTCTGACCCAGAAGCAGAAACAACAAGAACAATCAATCTTATCAAAACTAAAATACTATCTACAAAAGATGCAAACATAATATTGAGGTCTTTATCCTTGCTTGTAGCAACCGCAGAAAACTGTGGATCACGCATGAAACAGGAAATTGCCTCGAAATCATTTTTGCAAGATTGTTTGATAAAAAAATTGCTGGATAAAAAGCTACATATCACGGTAAAGTACAGAATTGTTGAAGTTATCGAGCAATTAAGTAAGAGCTTCAAAAATGACCCTTCCTTAAAACCAATGGCCGATGCTTATCACCAAATCAAACTTGAATTTCCAAAACTCGTAAAGGCCCAACAGGGACCAAGTAAACCTGCAAAACAAGAGAGAACTCAGCAGGAGAAGAATACAGAAGACGAAGAATTGCAGAGAGTTTTGAAATTATCTTTGCAAGAGTATGAGAATGAACAGCAGTTGAAAAAGCAGTACTTGAATAATAAACCGTTACCTGAGACTAATCCCCAACAGCAGCAGCACAAACTGCACAAACTGCACAAACTGCACAAACTGCAACTGCAACTGCAACTGCAGTCTCATGCCTCAACCTCAGACTCGGAAGTGCCCGAAACAGTTGCAACCGTTTCTAAAGTTAGAGCACTTTACGATTTAATCTCATACGAGCAAGATGAGTTGTCCTTTAGGAAAGGCGATGTGATTACAGTTATCGAATCCGTGTATCGCGATTGGTGGAGAGGTTCTCTTCCAAACGGTAAAGTTGGTATTTTCCCACTAAATTATGTTACACCCATTGTTAACAAGTCTTTGAAAGAACTTGCCGAAGAAAACAAATTGGAAAATAGAATATTGAATGTTGAACAAAGGAAGATTGATAAATTGTTGGCATTGTTATCTACAAATAACCAGATGCAAGTGAACGAAGACGAAGTGACAGAGTTGTACAACGACGTCTTCTCATTGAGAATCCAGTTGAGCAATCTTATCGATAAATATAGTGTGCGCAAGGAGGAACTATCTGTCTTGAATCATCAGTTGACGAATGAAGTCAAATCTTACAATGAATTGTTGGACCAGCTGATTTCCAACAGATCAAAACTTCATGCCAGTGGACAACTGTATCTGCGACTTCCATACCCTGCTACATCACTGACTATACCACAATTCACTCATTTAGAGAATTCTTCTCTGAATACGAGACAAGGTTCTTTTTCGCAACAATCAATCCATTCACCTTTGCAAAGACCATCAGATCAAGTACATTCACCTTTGCAAAGACCATCAGATCAAGTATATTCACCATCGCAAAGACCATCAAATCAAGTACATTCACCTTTGCAAACCGAAAAGCAACAGTACTATACTCGCCAAGGTATTCCACCAGCACAGAGTAGCCAATCTTCCCCATACCATCCTTCGCAGCAAGCGCCCATGAACCCTTTACATTATTCAGCCCAGTATTCTCAGCAACCAGTACAAATACAACAATACCAACAAGACTTGCAACAACAAAACAACGCCAGCGTCGGGTTTGGTAACTCTAGATCTTAAAACCTTGCCTCTGTTCCTTTTCTTTTCTTTTGTAATAAACAAACCTACAAATCACACTCTAACCTTGAACCGCACTAGATCTATTTGGTGAAAAAAAAATCATATCTATATATATATATATATATATATGTATTAATGGATAGATAGCTTGAACCTTCCCTGTTGTCATATATTCCCAAAAAGTATAGCCTTGAAAGAGAAGAATGAGTGATCTATACGGTCATCGAGAGGAGCAAAACAATCAAAAGTTTGAGCAACTAGCTCAAACATTGAATCAATTTCGCAATACTGTAAATAACGATATTCATGACTATGTTCAACAAGAAAATGGGCTATTAGATCAGTTAAATGACAATTTTTCAAACTTAATGCAACTGGTAAAGAGAACTCTGGGGAACTTGGCCATGGTAATGAACCGAAATAGTAGCTTGATGAGAATTGTGGGGATAATTTTATTGGGATTTTTCCTCATTTGGATGTTGTTTAAACTATTCTGATAAGAAGAAAAGAGGAAGGATGCATTGTTTTCATTACAAGGATACCTTTGAAATTGACTAAAATATAAAGCAACTAACACTACCAGTACTAGTTGCTTCAAAAAAGTAACACCACTATTGAGCGAATCGAGATAGTGAAGCACTTATAAATATACTTAAATTTATATAGAGCCACTATCGAGCCACTATCTAGTCACTATCTAGTCACTATCTAGTCACTATCGAGCCACTATCTAGTCACTATCTAGTCACTATCGAGCCACTATCTAGTCACTATCTAGTCACTATCGAGCCACTATCTAGTCACTATCTAGTCACTATCGAGCCACTATCTAGTCACTATCTAGTCACTATCTCGCTTCGCTCGATAGTGGAGCACTTGTTTTACAATTGTTGTTTTTAATTTTCTATATCATTATTTCCTACTTTTTAACGACATCAGAACCCAATCTATAATTCCCAATGGCGTTACCCCAGTTGATCTTGGACCTGGTAATAGGCAACAATCTTCTCAACTTTTTGAAGGACTGCTGGTTCAACATTTGAAACTGATCTACTAATTTTGTTTCAATTTTAGTCTCTTGTTTATTGATAAAGTTAACAATTGAACTCTCATCAGTCACAGTTCCGGATATGTCGTCATTGCTGTATTTTAATCTAACATTCCCATCTTCGAAATAGTGTATATCCAATGCAATTTCACCCGTAATCTGGCTGTCTTTCACATAATATTCACTCTTCCATACCCCGGTGTAGAAATTGCTCTGATTTTGTTTCTGGCCAATGATAATGATCCGCATAGCGTCGTCTTGAGATTCGGGAATGATAGTAAATGAAAAGTCCTGGTAACAATCGGTACCGTATTGGCCTAGTTTGCTGGCAAGTTTTTTATCAATTGAAGCTCCATCATCGTAAGATTCAACATCAATAATATCGTTTGCTACAACATCAAAATTGAATTTTTGACCTCTTACAAAATCAATGTACTTGGAAGATACAGGATCCTTATTGTATTTGCTAATTATGTAGCTCGATATAGCAATTGGATGACCATTAATATACTGAGTTATGGCATCTTCAAGGGTAGATTTCGAAGCATTGGAAATGACACGCAAGTTTTCAACAACTTTGCTTAGCTCGGTTGATGGGGCACTTTGAATTAAAGAGTTGACCAAGTCTTGTAATTTAACTGACATTCTCTCAATGTAAAGGGTGTCCCACTACTGATAAACAAGAATAAACCCTAGTCTCAATATGACTTTACCTTGACCTTTTTCCTCTTCTTTTTCTTTCAACCACTTTATCCGTACAAGAATAAAAATGAGAGCGCTTTTTCTTAAGGGGGAAAGAAACAAGGTAAAAAGAGATGGCACACAAGATACAGCTACAAAATATATATTTGTATAGATGCAACACTAGGGAGCAAAGTATGTAAAGAGTAGAGAGTAACCTTTTTGGCTCATGACAATAGGAATGCTCCTGCTCCATCTTTGATTGCTTGTAACAACTTTGTCTTCATAATCTCTTTGCTGGAATAGTTTGGGAGTTTCAAATAATTAGCACACGTCATTACACTGGGCAAGTAGTCATCATCCTTCAATCCATCCTCCGGACGCTTTCGAACAACAGTCAACTCTGGCTTTAATGCCTTAAATCCACCAATGGGTAATTTAGGCAGTCCTGTTAAAAACTGTAAAAATTGTCTCTTTTCATCTTTATCAAAATTGATCAATATATTTATCAAAGATTTGATCCCCTCAGATTCTTTGGTATATCCATGATTAGCCACAATGGCTGAGGACAATGCGTCATAAGACCAATCTTCTTCGCAATTGCCAAATAGTTCAATCAATTCATTGGCCGAAAAAATCACAAGTGAATTAATAGGAAACACTTTTGAAAAACCTTCCATAAATGCTTTTGTTTGGGCAATAACACCAGTAAACAAGGTTGCTTCAAGCACTTTGCTTATGTACAGCTCCAAATTTGAAGCATCAATCAAAACTTCATTTCCATTAGGTATCAACTCGTATTTTGGATAACCAGGCAAAACAAAGTACAATTCCAAATCTTTAAGACAAACTCCATCAATTTCAACAAGATCTCTCTCACTAAAGGGAACCGTTTCAAACGCATTCAAGTATTTACCAAGATGAACAAGAGACTTGACTAACTCAGGGTCAACCAACCGTAAATTCGTTATTGATGCAATTTTTTTCACCAATTTGTGATTGATATGTGCTTGAGGATTTCGGTGGTTCAAAAGCTGTACTAGCTTCAAAAATACAAGATTAAAGTTAAAGTCAATAATCCTTGAGTCTAATAAGGCTCTTGCAATAAATTTACCCAATGATGAAAAAAAGTATAGTATCTTTTTCCCATTCTCGCTCAGAAGCTGCTGCTTATCCATGGGAGCAGGAAACAACCCGTTATTATTTCTAATGAAATCATCCTTCTCCGCCTCCTTCTCTTCATCCTCCTTTTCGTCCTCACTAATGCTCAAATTGTAATCTCTCCACAACTTCAACTTCCTACGCGCAAACTCCCTTGAAACAGTAGAGTAAAACTCTAAAGTGGGTCCCAAGCCAGAACCAACCTCGTCAAAATATTCAATCTCAAGTATTCCAGGCGTTGAGCCATAAAGTCCCAAAACTTTGACTGCACTTTGTAGCATCATCTTTCTGGATATTCTCACCTTATGCCTAGTTGGTCTGCCCAATTGCTGTCGCTGACTATGTAGTCCAGAGGCATTATTATGGTTCCCGCCATTCCCATTTTCTTCAATGCTGTGATTAGTTCGCAATTGCCATTGATGGATTAAACGTGAATATCCAAAGGAAGTGCACTGGAGAAAAAATATCCTGGTTTCCAATGGAAATATAAAGGGAAACTGCTTCACCAAGTGTATACTCCATCCAGGTAAAGTACCACTAGCAATAACCAAAGGCTCCTCCAATTGTCTGTTCAACTTAACAGTCAATTTCCAATTCGTAAAGTCTTTGGCCGGAATCCCTGGCCATCCGTTGCTACTTACGTGTGCGTTCATCTTGAATAATGCATTTAACAATTCAAGAATGCTTATGGTTGTTTTATCATATGAATCAAGTTCATGCTCATCAAAGTTGAAATTGTAATTGTTAAACATACCCTCGTGGTTAACTTCAGCACTAACTTTTCTAAACGTTATTGTGTGGATATTTGACCAGATTTTGTTCGATTCGTGCTGACGGTTCGGATCAGAACTCTCCTGAATAGCTCTATGAATGGCACCGTATATCGTAGTCTCAATGGGGATCACTTCTCCATCAATCAAAAATTCCAAACTATAATCTGTCTTTTTGTCAGCAGTACCTGTACCATCTTCAAAAGTGTTATTATTATTACTGTTATTGTTACTATTGTTGCTATTATTATCCCTTTTGACTATGTTACTAATTTCTTCCATATATCTAAATCTCTGTTTCAAAAACGCAAGAACGGACTTGAAAGTTGCTATTGCATGCACTGACAAAACCATATTTTGCACGTTACTAGGGATCTTGAGATCACCCATATCACCCTCGGGTTTCAATTTCAATTTGATTTGATTTGCCATCACAGATGCTTGATTTTGCTCTCGAGAGTACAATGATGAGTGACCATTCATGTTCCCCACAGATACAAGATCAAACGACTCGGCTCTTGTCAATGCTTCAAGTAATTTGCGAACTAAACATTTTGCATCTTGACAACCATTTGAAAAAAATGTTTGAATAAAAGTTTTGTAGCAAATGTTAGTGTCAAACAAATACTCGGAATCGCCCAAGGTAAACAAATTAGTCAACAGATCAATAAGGCCTGATGATATCAATTCGAAGCTCGAAATGTCCGAATTATTTGAAGCCCCATTTAGAGCAAACTGAAGTTTGCTCCATATTTGCAGCCACTCTTCATAACCAAAACTTTTGTGCGCTTTGGAATCAGATAATATCAGTTTGAGCTCTTGTAAAATTTGAATGTGTTCGGATGAGTCACCAGTTTCCAACATTTTGATGTCCTTGTATGTCTTCATGATGCCAACTGCAGCTTTTTCTATTCTTGGGTACATCCTATTTACAAACAAACTGTATTCGTATTCTTTAGAAAACTCCATGTCAATGAATTTGTTCCCAAAGGACCCAATCATAGTACTCCTTGGTGCTGTTGGATAAACCACATTCTTCCAAGGTTTAAAATCGGACAAAACTGATCCAACATCATTCATTAGTCCTTCTTTCTCAAACCGAGGCACACAGATAGATGGCGCTTTGATGCATAAAACCCTCATGATTTCCAAAGCACTACAAATCAGTAGCGTGGCATTAAGTTTGCGAATATCGTCAGAAACACTTCGCACCGATGTCAAGTTCACACTTTCAATTTCCTCTCCTTCTTCTTCTTCTTCGTCATAAAACTCGTCATCTTCATCTTCATCTTCATCTTCATCTTCATCTTCATTCTCATCGCTTTCATCCTGATCCTCGTGTTCATCACTTTCATCTTGCTCATTGCTCTCGCTTTGTTCGTCCATTTCCTCATCACTATTCTCGTTGTCAACACATTCTTCGAAAGTAGGGAGCGTGTCCTCATTACCTTCCACTTCTCCTTCTCCTTCTCCTTCTCCTTCTTCTTCTTCTTCTTCTTCTTCTTCTTCTTCTTCATCTTCCCCGGACATCATATCCACATCATTATCCATTTTAGGAACTTTCCTCGTTTTCATTTCAGCCAATACAACTGATTTATACTGATTAACCACAGATGCTAACAATCCTGCAATCATATCCATTTTATCAACAGAAACTAAATCGTTTCCTGAAAGAGAGTTGCATATTCTGTACAAATCAATAAACCCTTTTCTTCTAACTTCAAAATCCATAGTACTTTGAAAACTCAAGATAATTAATGGCCAAACTTCACTAACAAATCTCATATACTCCTGAGGAATGACATTTAAGCACATTTCTCTTCTATTCTGATTGATGACTTTCCTCTCTTCAGACTCTTCGCAATTTGGTTTTAGAAAAAGTGCTTCCGAAGGTTCGTAATGAATAGGGAGAATATATCCAATTAAAGTCAAAAATTGCGATATCATTTCCTTTGGTGCTGCCATAAGGGCTTCAACAGAAACACAATTTTGGGGTTCCTTCTCCTCCTCCTTTTTCTCCTCCTCTCTCAGTTCAACTTTTTTCTTTTCAAACTTGTTTAGTGATTTAACGATTATCAGACCAATATCGCAATCACTTAATAGAATCTTTGATACCTCCACACTAACACTAACAAGAATTATCAAAGCCTTTATCAAACTCAAGCATGAGCCATAAGAAAGGGCTATTTTGTTAGATTCTGCACTCGTATTCAGTGATTTATTGCAGCTAACAAGAACTACACTCGTGAGTTCCTTCAACAATAATTCTTGTCCCAGGAACAACTCATTTAAATACTCGGGCTTATTTTTAAAGCAAATAATTATTCTCGATATAGTTATCCAGGCATTTTCCACTACATTTTGATCATCATGACTTCTAACAACGTCCGTTATACTATTAAAAGCTTCTTTCACTTTGGGAAAGTTTGCAATTACAATATTTGAGCAAGAATTAGAAACAATACTCAAACATTTCCTTTGAGCATGAACGGTTAAAAAATCCAAATACTGTAAACATGCAATCAAGCCATTGTTTGAAATTATGCTATTATGTGAAATTGGGTCCCTTGAAATCATCTCAAGGGTTTGTAATGCTTGTTCTGTCAAATCAATGTATTTGATTTCCAACAACTTATTACACAATGCAGGAATAGCATTATTATTTAATGCATCATGGATGAAATCCTGGTTAACTTCCAAAAAGTTATAAAGACAGCGGCATGCAACGAGGTGTAGCTCCAATTCTTCTTCCAACCTAGGGTCTTCCATTATATTGACTAGACACTTTGCGAGCTTGTTTGCTGGTATTAGCCTTTCCGCAGTAAGACCATTCATCATTAGTAATCTCTCTGAAAGCTGATTCAACGACTCTAGTACAATGTATGTATCTTCTCGCTGTTCTAAATTGTTGATCAATGTTTCAATTTCATTGTGTTCAGAAGTGTTGCCTCCAAACACAGCGCCATCGCCCATTAATCGTTGCATGACTGCGATGAAGCTTGAAGGCATAGGGCCAGCGGTATTAGCGGAAGATGCATTGTTTCCAGACAATGCACCAATAGCTCTGAGGAATTCAGCTCGAGGATCTGCGTCGGTATCAGTGTCTATATCATCGCCATTGCTGCTGCTGCTGGCGGCGGCGGTAGTAGTAGTAGTAGTAGTAGCAGCATCAATATTATTACTTGCACGCGCCAGCCTTGGTGCCGATGTAGCGGTATTTTCAAAATGAGAATGTTCTTGTGAATCGTTAATAGTGCTATTTGAGTCTGTAGCTCTATCATTCATCAACCGTCTCAAAAAATGCTCTGCGCCCAACAAATCCAATTCCCCATCGTCGTGATCTTCTTCATTACCCTCATCATGCATATTTTCTTCTTCGATAAACAAGTCCTCATTATCCTGGTTATTATCAGGATCAAAGAACTCGACTAAACTTTCGTTATCGCGTTGGCTTAATTTTCTGTGCTGTGCTTGTTGAGCAAGACGTAACAAAGAGTCTTGCTCTTCCTCTTCCTCCTCCTCCTCCTTTGGCTCTTCCTCATTTGGCTCTTCCTCTTCCACCTCCACCTCCTTTGGCTCTTGCTTTTCTTTTTCTTCTCCTCTGCCTAATTCCTTATTGGAGATCGCTAAGCTGGCTTTTATGTCTTTTGATTGGCCCTCATGTGGCGTATTTTCGTACTTGTACGCTTTCTCACCCTCTCTTGCCATATTGTGCAAAATCTTGCCCTTTTCTAGATATATATAACTTGCCAAAGACTCAAATATACCACGCTTTTAATTGCCTCTCATATAACTCTTTTTTGAAAAAAACCCTCACCAAAAGGCCTTGATTTTTTTTCTGTTTATTAAACCGCCAAAAAAAAATATAAAAAAGGGTTGGCTCTTCAATCTGTTCACACAATCTCCTTGCCAGAATCCTCCAACAGAATCTCCTTGTTTTAATTTCCAGTAACAAGCAAAGATTTAAAAGCCAGGTTTTTCTGTGGCGAGAAAAGTGTGTCTATGTGACCAAGGGAAAAAAGGAACACAATCACTATCACTATCGAGATCACTATCGAGCAGAGCGAGATAGTGGAGCACTACTTGATATCACTATCGAGCGAGATAGTGGAGCGCTACTTAATATCACTATCGAGCAAGATAGTGGAGAACTACTTGATAGCAACACTATCGAGCACTACTAGCTGCAATCGTCACTATCAAGCACAGCGAGAAACACTCCCGAGAAACACTCCCGAGAAACACTCCCGAGAAACACTATCTCGCTTTACTCGATAGTGTAGCAATTACCAATATACTCAAATTAGACTCTAAATTAATATAGAATGTAAGGAGAGGTCGTAGAGGTACATATTGATAGAAATGTAGTAGTAATGTAGGATTTGAGCAGTAATTAGAAGAAATCTTCAAGAGCTAATTGAGGCTTAAGTGTTAATTAAGGCTTGAGTGCTTAAGTACTGATCACAATTTTAGTACTACTCAGTTAGCTTTATCTATAACCTAGAGACTAGTTAATGATGATTGCAGCTAGCATTGCTCCCCTATTGAGCGGAGCGAGATAGTGACGATTGCAGCTAGTAGTGCTCCACTATCTCGTTCCGCTCGATAGTGATATCAAGTAGTGCTCTATCTCGCTCTGCTCGATAGTGGAGTATTAGTAAAATATCGCAATTGTTTTCAACTATTGTAGGATGTTATTGTTTAAAATCCTTTAAGAAAAAAATGTCTATTAGGTTGGGTACATTTTTGAAAAAATTAATATCTTGGTTCCTTTGCATTGCTAAGAAAAGGGATATCAGTAGTCTATAGAAGCCGTTGTGTGGACTTCATTATCTCGCTCTGCTCGATAGTGTGGTAATCGTCACTATCAAACCCGTGTGTCTTTTCAGCCGCTTAAAAGGTGAAATACCCCTTAAGGGTATCTCCACTATTGAGCGGAGCGAGATAGTGGACCATTACTAGCTGCAATCGTCACTATCTCGCTCCGCTCAATAGTGGAACACTGCTAGCTGCAATCATCATTAACTAGTCTCTAGGTTATAGATAAAGCTAACTGAGTAGTACTAAAAATGTTATTAGTACTTAAGCACTCAAGCCTTAATTAGCTCTTGAGTACTTAACCACTCAATTAACACTTTAGCTCTTAAGCACTTAATTAGCACTTTAGCTCTTAAGCACTTAATTAACACTTTTGCACTTAACCACTTAATTAGCTTTCAAGAGCCAGCTTTTAAGCACTTGAGCACTAAATCACTTAATTAACACTTTCGCACTCAACCACTTGATTAACACTTTCGCACTTAACCAGTTAATTAGCTTTCAAGAGTCAAATTTTAAGCACATGAGCACTCAAGTGACTCAACTGGTGGCTCTTGACTACTCAGTTAGCATTATATGTTTATAACTATTCAGTTATCTCTATATGTGTATGACTACTCAGTTATCTCTATCTGTAACCTAGAGACTAGTTAGTGTCAGTTGCAGAAAGTAATGCTCCACTATCGAGCAGAGCGAGATAGTGTCGTTAGTGACAGCTAGTAATGCTCCACTATCGAGCGGAGCGAGATAGTGGCGATAGTGTCGCTAGTGGCAGCTAGTAATGGTCCACTATCTCGCTCCGCTCGATAGTGGCGATAGTGTCGATAGCGTGCATCACAATCAAAAATTGTTTCACCTTTGAAACCAGATAATAAACCCACCTAGAGCAAGACAAAAGAAATGACAAAGTGAATGGTGGTTTAAAGTTTAGACGAAACATAAAGTAAGGATGATGAATATTTTCATATCCACCTTGGGTCATTTTAATTTTCTAATCCACGTTTTGTACAGATTTTTACATTTCGAAAAAGAAACTATATACGTATTAGAGCATAATCTCAGTTTTGCACTTTTAGTTTTGTAAATTTCAAAGATAATGTCATCTCTCTAAGCATACTGCAAGTCTAGACAACTAATCATTAGCAATTGCTGTTCTAGATTGAATCCACCCAGATATAACAAAGAAGAAAACAATAAAGAACAAACAAGCCTCATGAGAAAAACAAACAAGAAAAACAAACGAGCCTCACGATAAGAAGCTTCAAAAAAAAGACAAGCCCCACGATAAGAAGCTTCAAAAAAAGACAAGCCCCACGATAAGAAGCTTCAAAAACAGACAAGCCTCACGATAAGAAGCTTCAACCCCAGACAAGCCTCATGTGTGATTAACCTTTGACACAAATTGTTTCACCCCTCCCAATAAAAAATCAAAAATATTCCAAAAAGAGCCAACATATATGTCAATACCATTTTGCTTACAAAAGGAAAAAAGAAAAAAAAGATAACTTATATGTCATTAACACATTACTATTTTTCAAAAATTAAGGTCCAATAAAAACAAGAAAAAGAAACGGCTACAAAAATGATACGACAATTATTATTTCCTATTACGTTGACAAATAATTTGTTTTATTCTTTAGTGGGAAAGTAAGAAGCTTATTGGAGATTGGAGATGAATCGATCAACCTGATAAAGGGGACAATAAAAATCTTATACAAACCTCGCCACCTAAACTCTCTTAATATTCTCTAACAATAAAACTTCCTATACACGGGCTCACCACATAAATACACCTCTCAAATTCACCTGCACAAGCTCATTTACACCAAGGTAGAGCTATTCTAGTCAGTTTTAAAATCAAAAGTTTTAAGTTAAGTTATCGTGAGACAGTTTCAAACTACATGTTTTTGGTTGAATTTGCACGATTAACTTCACCATTCTGCATATAAGCCCAAAAAACAAAAATTTCTGTCTATAGTAATTAAAAAAAAAAAACAGAAAAAAAAAACGACCACCTAGTCCATAGTTAAGCTAGACGCTGTATAGTAAAGCTTACTGCCTATTTCTTTATATACCTAAACTGACTATAACTTCATCCATAGTTAAGCTACGCCTTTGTAGTTACATACGCCTTTTATTTCATCGACAATTTAACCTTTTTCTTTTTTTCTTTTCTTTTTTTTTTTTTTTTTTTTTCCTTTCTTTGGTAAAAGCTATTCAATTAAAGTAAAATAAGGGCGATTATACAAGCTTGGTTAATATATTTGTAACCCACCCCCAAACCCTCAAAGACTTTTGGTAGCAACAACTCACGTCCACATCCGACTTGAGTTCCAGCTACCTCTCACACACTAACATAAACACTTTACTTAACCCACTGAACTTGAAGGCATCAAACTCATTCTCGCTAAACCAACTTTGTTAAAGGAAGGAAGGAAGGAAAAAAAACAAAACAAAACAAAACAGTAACCACATAGCTTTTTCACAAACCTTTTCAAAGATACACGTACCTTTTCAAAGAGACACGTACCTTTTCAAAGAGACGCATACCCTTTTTCCACAGACCGTTTCAAAGAAACAGCTACTTTACACATATAGCTACAGCCTAGCAGCTTGCAAAGGAATACTATGGACGGTGCGACATATATATGTGTAAAACAATTTAACGCGAGACTAGGCGATGAGCTAAGTCTCAAGATTGGCGATAAAATACAAGTATTGGCAGATGATCGAGAATACAACGATGGATGGTATATGGGCAAAAACTTATTGACCGGTGATGTGGGCTTGTATCCAAAGACTTTTACACAAATATTGGCCAATGGAGAAGAAAAGACGCTATTGAGATCGAGGTCAAGAAGAGTAATGACACCACCAACAAAGGTGCATGCTAACGGTAATGGCAACGTTATCAATAATAAATCAGCCAACAACAACAACAACAACAACAACAGCAATAGTAGTACAACAACTACTACTACTACTGCCGCCGCCGCTGCTGCAACTGACTCATATGAATCTGACTCAAGGCTTGGCGAGACATTTAATAAGCTTAATATTTCAGGATCTCACTCATTTTCGTCTTATCATATGAACAGCGAAATCGACAAGGCTCTAGAAGAAATACAAAACCCTGGTTACCAGAAACAGTTCAAGCCAGTAAAACAGGCTAATCTGACGGCTAATGGCACATCATCTCATTCAAGAACAGTATCTACACGGTCATTAACTGACGATTTGAATCCTTTATTTGCAAACACATGGACAGCAAAGCAAGTTTCCTCATATTTTGCCTTGGTGCTTGGATTCGATCGCACTGTTGCTAATAAGTTTGCCAAACACAAAATCACTGGATCCATATTATTTGAACTAGATTTGGCACATTTAAAAGAGTTGGAAATAGACTCGTTTGGAACTCGATTTGAAATACATAAGGAGATTGAAAAATTAAGAGAAATGGCGGCGAGATCAGCAAAGCTCAAACAATCAAGAACAAATTCACAATCAACTGGGTCAACTAATAAAAATGATACTACACAAACTACTTTAAACTCATCACCAACAGATACCACTGCTTTCCCATTAGAGGATGATAAACTGAAGTTGTTGCTGCTGCTGGTGCTGCTGCAGTATAATAATCTAATGCCATCAGCTTTTTCTGAACCGACATCAAAACATCAAAGAAAAAGATCTCAATCAATGATTAATATATCCCAAGCTGACTCATCTTTCATGTCGCCTAGAAAAGCACCAGAACCACCAGGTGACGAAAGTCCCATAAACACAAACTTCAAATTTGGCACGGGAACAGGAACGGGAACGGGGGCAACTACCAGCAGTAGTACCATCACAGAGCCACATTATGGCTTATACATGACAAGGAAAAACGCCTCAAGTCATGCCTTGGCTTCGTCACCTAGACCACCGTCCTCTATATACGATCAGGGCTCTCATTATAGACAAGGATCACTGAGTTCCAATCACCGTCAGTACAAATCCCCACAATCGAATCACAAGAGACATTCCTCATTATTTTCATTCTTGTCAAATGGAAATGACGGGAGTTCTGCAGCTGCTGGTGTAGCAGGCTCGGCATCAGCAACTCCGCTTCAAACATCGAATGGGAAATTCCAAAGTAATAATATTAAAAAGAATGATGATAAATTGATTTCACCACCACACATAAAAAGAGAAAATGGTTCAACGACACCAAGAAAATCTCAAATATTTGATTTTTCTTCACCAGTGGATATCGACGACGCCAATTTGTCACCAAAAAAGCTGGATTCGGTCAAAATAAAGTCCAATTCTATTGACGCTTTGAAAGACGACAGGAGAATTGCAAGTGATCCGCAACCGCCAACGCGTCCCGGAACCTCCAGGTTAAAGAGTCTTCGAACAACATCGACACAAAATTTCCGTAATCTTACGGGATCAAAGAAGCTGAAAACTTCAGCCTTCACTGAAGGAATCCGCGACATCACTCCCGAAGAAGCTATCAAAACTGCTGGTTATAGCGGATACATGTCTAAACGTTCAGGGAATACATTTGCTTGGCGTACGAGATATTTCACTCTTCATGGAACAAGGTTGTCGTACTTTAGCTCCCTAAAAGATAAAAAGGAGAAAGGATTAATAGATATCACTGCACATAAAGTGATTCCCATTAATGTTAATGCTGAAGATGTGGAAAAGGCGGACAAGTATGCAGCAATGGTTGCTTCAACCACGTTTGCGGGAAATTATTGTTTTAAGATTGTCCCACCTGCTCCTGGTTTCAAGAAAGGGTTGACGTTTACTCAACCTAAAATTCACTACTTTGCAGTTGAATCTGAGAACGAAATGAGAGGGTGGATCAAGGCATTGATGACGGCAACAATTGATATTGATGACTCGGTTCCAGTTGTGAGTAGTTGTTCCACACCAACGGTTAGTTTGATTAAAGCGCAAGAACTTTTGGCAAAAGCAAGAGAGGAAAATAAGTTGAAAGATGAAGAATTGAGGGCCAAGGGTTATATTCGAGGTGACGAAGAGTTTATCAATGACTCTTCTTTCCAATCATCAATGTATTCATCATCTACATTAGCTCCAGAGTCAACAAGGGGACCAAGTTTGACCATTGACACCACTAATAGGAAAAGCTCAACATCAAATACTGCTACACATTCGGTTACTGCTACACAAGCATCTGTAGCGCCGTTAACTCCACAGATTGCAAGATCAGTCAGTAGTAGTCAGGGAGGTTTTGCTTCTCCTTACTTACTAGCGTCAGGCTACATGTCTCCGAAATCATCGTCTCCTGGTGGTACCCCAGCAACCGTTAATTCCGGTCACTTTGGAGATATTCCCAGTTCATTTAAACCTCCATCAAGTCGAAATTCACAGCAAACTAAGAACCAAGCGCGAGGCACTATTTCATCCACTCCTTACTCGACTGCGTCTTCGTCAAATAATTCCCAAATAAATATCGATAGCCCAAGTGACAAGTCACCTATGATCAATACCTCCACTTCCAACTCAAGCTCGGCACCATCGGCAGTAGCTGCTGCCGCCGCAAGAACGGTACTTGCCAACTCAACAGGCAAACTTTTGAGCGGATCAAAAAAGTAGAAAAGTAATTCCCAAAATGCAAACTCTACCCAGTCATTTATTATGTTTGACGAGAGATGAAAAGATAGTTATGAACCAGAATTGTTTCACCCCCCCCCTCTAAATGTATAATTCTCTTTCTTTTAATACATTTGTAACATTTTCCTTGCTTTTACTTTATACACCCATCAAAACTCATCCTTCGGTATCAAAAAATAAACGAAGGAAAAAAAATAGAAGGAAAAAAAAGACAACTTTAAAAACGGAAGGTAGAAAACGAAATAAAGGGAAACAAAGAGAGTGAGATAAAGAGATTGAGGTTGAATTTTGATAAAGCTCTTTGCCAACGTAGATAAGAACGACAACGACATCTTTTTGGACTAGATGCAACAACTCCACAATGGTGAGCTGCCAAACATACCCTATACAGAGCAATATCTCTGTTCGATTATTTTCCACTCACTAGATACATTCAATTACAAAAATGCTGAATTTGCTGGGGAAAGGTTACTAGCAATGGATGGTACGTCATTGGACTCCATTTATTTATACTGTTTAAGCTTGTATCGTCAAAACAAGTACAAGTCATGCTATAGAAAGCTAGTTGAAGTACACAACAACCTAACTCCGTTGCACCATCTTGGCTGTTCATATCTATATGCTCGATGTTGTCTTTATTTGAAAAAATTCAAGGATGGAATAGCTCAGCTATTGAAAGTCAAGAACCTATACGATAAGGAAGTCAAATACAGTATTGAAGAGAGATTTGAATACAAGAGAAGTATTGTACCCGATGCTTCAGCTGTGTATCATCTCTTGGGCGATTTATATAGTGCTACAAATGATATAAAGAACAGTACGCTCAGCTATACTCAATGTCTCAGGTTGAATCAATTTGATTTTGAAGCTTTCCAAAAAGTAAGCAAACTCGGAGTCAATATGAAGGTGAGAAGTCTATATAAACAAAAACCAAGCACTGATTCGGATAACCCGTTTGGTGTTCAAGTTCAAAGTCCACCCTTGAAATCCATTCATGTTGATGACTTCAACTTTCAAACACCAAGAGTTAAGCAGACAACAGTACCTGATGCTCCCTTGAGAAAACTGAATTTGAATACTGACAATACATTTGAATTTGTCAAACCTGAAAAACGAAGAATAAGTCGGTATCTGAGGATCACTTCGCGACTAACCACTGCACCTGCAGAGACTCCCAAACGTACAAATTCTGATGGGATAACCTATATCAAAGAGCTTGAGAAGGTAGAGGCATATCTACTTCAAAAATATCTGGTTTTCGCCAAAAGTTTCAAATGTCTAACGACATACGACTGTTACAAGGCAATAAAGATATTGGAAAATTTTAGTCTGCAAGAACGAGAAACACCGTGGGTATTGAGCAAACTAGGGCGGTTACATTACGAAGTAACGGAATACAAAAAATCACTCGAGTATTTTGAAAAACTACGAGAAGTAGATCGCGCTAGATTGGAGGATATGGAATATTTTTCAACGTTGCTCTGGCATCTCAAAAATAAAACAAAATTAACATTGCTTGCCAATGAAATGAAGGATATAGATTCGCAAAGCGCCATTACTTGGATTGTTATAGGGAACTTATTTTCATTAAACAAAGAGCCCGAAGAGGCTATTCGAGCGTTCAACAAACTGCTCAAGCTACAACCTTTATCGTATGCTTACACGTTAATAGGGCACGAGTACATGGCACTTGAGGATTTGGAAAAAGCGAGTCTGGAATTTTATCGAAGTTTATCAATGGATGAAAGAAACTATTCTGCATTGTACGGACTTGGAATGGTTCATCTTCAGCTAGGTGAGATGGATCGGGCTGAATACTATATCCGAAAGGGCATTTCAATCAACCCAACTAATGTAATCTTGATTACAACTCAAGCAATGATCTTGGAACGAGCTGGTAGACTAGAGGAGGCGATATTATGTTATAAAAGTGGGTGTGAGATCCAACCAACAAATCCGTTACCAAGATTGAAAAAGGCACAAATACTCATTAAAATGGAACAGTACTCAAATGCAATTGAGACTTTAGAGATACTCAAGGGACTAGCGCCAAATGAAGCAAGTGTATATTTCCTTCTTGGTGAATTGTACAAATTGAAAAACGACAAATTCCGCGCATTAAAGGAACTTAGTATTGCAATGACACTTGATCCAAAGGCCAAAGTAATTATTGAAAATAGTTTATAGTTTTTTTTAAAAAAGAATAGTCTTTGGTCATCTCGTTTGTATACAATTTTTCACCTTCCAACTTATATCTTGTATATTATATCTTACATCTTACATCTTACATCCTACATCCTACATCTTTCCTTCAGCCCAACTACTCTGCTTGATTGCCCAAAAAAGGAAAACGAAAATAAAAATTACCCGCCAGCGAAAAATAAAAATATAGCTGAAAAATTGTTACGTGTAGCATATAGCATATAGGGTCTACAAGCTAATTAGAGCTGACCAGAGTAGATTTTGAGTTAACGTTGCTGCTGCCACTCATAGAAGAAGGTGTCTTTTTTGGCTCTTTTAGGCTTTTTTTCTTTGGCTTTTTCTTTGGTAGATGCGTCTACTACTATTACTATGGTATTTAAGCAGTGTCGAAGCGTCATTCAGTTTGTTCCATAAATCCAAATACTTTCGATTTGGAGATGAAGTAGACCTTTATGTCAACAAAATAGAATCTGACAACACTCAATTGCCATATGCATACTATAGTTTACCATTTGTTTGTCCGCCAATGAATGGCGCCAAGCCCGTGCATTTATCGCTTGGAGAAATTTTACGTGGTGATCGTATTTGGCAGAGCGGGTATAAATTACAATTTGGTATCGATTACCAGTGTGTGGGGTTATGTGATGTAAAAGCAACACAGCTGGTTATCAGAAGGGCTTCTAACTTGATCAAGGACGGGTACGTTGTCCACTGGTCAATTGATGGATTACCTGGTGCAACAACTTTTGAAAGTGATTTACATAGAAACAAATACTATGCTGCAGGATTTCCTTTGGGATTTGTCAAGGATGATGTTAGCTATATGTATAACCATGTTGTGTTAGTCATTAGATATAATAGTAACAACAAGGCTAAACTGGAGGGGAGTCAAATTGTAGGGTTTGAAGTGTACCCCAAGAGTGTAAGCAATGAAAAGTGTCCCGGTACATCAAAGGATTATGAAAACTTCCCACTAATACCCAGGACAAACTCCAAGGGGAAGTTACTTGACGAAAGAACATTGATACCATATACTTATTCAGTATATTGGAGAGAGGACAAATCTATTGACTATGACGCAAGATGGAATATGTATTACCAAAACGAGTCAAATGGCGCACATGTCAAGATTCATTGGTTTTCATTGGCAAACTCGGTTTTATTAATCTTTTTGGGATCATTGATCGTTATGGTTGTTTTGGTTAAAATTTTGAAAAAAGATCTCAAATCTCCAAGCTTGCCCACACATGAACAAGAAATCACTCTTGCTTCTGCAAACTGGAAAATACACATTAAGGACATCAATTCTACACCTGTTGCCCCTTTGTTGCTAACCACACTATCTTCATGTGGTATTCAAATGTTGATTGCCATGATAGGTGTTTTGACTTTATACTCTTTGAATTTGATAGGCAACAGCCATTCATTTTTTAATACTCATCAAGGAGCTTTCTTTTCTTTATCGATTTTTTGCTTCATAATCTCAGGTTTGATATCATCCTTTGTGGGGATAAATCTTTACAAATTCTTCAGAAATAAAGTGAATCAATCCTTTGACCCAATAAGGACAATTGTGCTTTCGTTAGTATTCAGTTCCGCAATACCAGCGATTCTTTTCATATTAATGTTTATTTTAAACCTTTTCGTATGGGCAAAGGAATCATCTACTGCTTTGCCATTTGGAACAATTGTTATATTTTTATTAATGTTCATATTAATACAATGTCCTCTTGGAATAGTAGGTGGATTTTTTGGAAACAGATTGACGTTTGATGTTGAAAAAACGAATTTGCTGCAGCAAGGTCCAATATTGGAAAAACAGGATTTTCATACACCTGTCCAAACTCATTTCAAATTGGTTTCGGTTATAAGCTACTTCAAAACTTGCCTTATCTACGGACTAGTCCCATTTGGTATAGTCTATGTTGAACTACTATTCATTTTCAATTCAGTATGGTTGGAAAAGACTACTTTTTATTACATGTACGGGTTCCTTTTCATAACTACACTAATGCTACTTATAATCATAATTGAATCAACTATAATTGCAATCTACATCTCATTAGCTTTTTTTAATAGCTCCGATTGGTCATGGCTTTCGTTCCAAGTTGGTTCTAGTGTAGCTTGGTACATTTACGCATACTCCATCTACTATTTTTGGAAAGTCATGAATGTTGATGACTTTATTAGCAGTCTACTATATTTCAGTTATATGGCACTAGCTTGTTTCATCATAGGCATAGCTTGTGGTTCAGTCGCAGTGCTCACTGGTTTGATATTTATAGGAAAAGTATACCGATCAATAAAGATAGAATAAAAATAGAAGCTTTACTTTGTTTTGTTTTTTTTTTTTCGTTTTTTTTTGGTACGTTCTTTTGATACGAATATGTAAGTTTGTTATATCTTTTTAAATTCTCTATTCCAATGATGAAGCACCAGTAATAATATCAACCAATTCGTTAGTGATAACAGCTTGTCTGGTTCTGTTATATAAAATAGAGTAGTTGTTAATCATATCACCAGCATTCTTTGAAGCATTATCCATAGCGTTTCTTCTTGCTGAAATTTCAGATGCATAACCTTCAGCCATGGCGGTTAATAAACTATTAGCAAGGGAGAATTCTGACAAGGTTTGAGGAACTTCTTCATTTTCCAACTCGTACTTGTTGATACCTGGGGCATTTTCGATAGCATCAGCGGCAAATACTGAGAATTTTGAAGGTTCAAAAGAAACACCAGAAACAAATTTGTTGTACAAAATTTCCACATTTTCAAAATGACCCAACTTGGAGATTTCGTCGCAGATCAAGGCAACTTCATCAAATGTAGGCTCTCCTTTACCAACTCCACTAAAGGACAATTTCAAGTGTTCGTTGTGGGTTCTTAACAATTGAGCCTTAACTTTATCGCCAATGGTGACGATATCAACATTGTTATCCAACTCAGCAGTTCTCTTTCTAGCACTCTTTGAAATTTGCGAGTGTATGGATCCACATAAACCTTTATCAGAAGAAACAACAATCAACAAAGTCTTTTCCGGTTTGGCTTCTTCACCTTCTTCCTTGACGATTTTTGGTTCGGCATTCTCGTTGAACTCAGTTTCGGATTTGTTGAACACACGAGCTGATTGCATGGCTCTTTGAGCTTTATTCAATCTTGTTGAAGCAACAATCTTCATTGTTTTGGTAATTTTCTCAATGTTCTTAATCGACTTGAGACGGTTTTCAATCTCACGTAAAGTAGCATAATTTCTAAATTCGCAATGTTAGTATAAAGTGTCAATTCAAAATCGTCGTCCCTAGGCTTTAAGAGACTCAATTTCTTCCCCCTCCTCTCCTCCTGAGTTCTCATTCTTCCCCCCTCCTCCTCTCCTCCTAAGTTCTCATTCTTCCCCCCCCCCCTCCTCTCCTCCTAAGTTCTCATTCTTTCCCCTCCACATACCTTACACTTGGTGCCGAACGAACAGCTTGAGCAGCTGCCAAACGAAACATTCTTAATCCTTATTCTCTCGTTAAAAGAAATGAACAAATCCTTTCATACTTCAATTTTCATGCTTGATTTTTCATTCGTTTTTTTTTTTCCTTACGGGAGCTACCATATGTTCCTACTCTTGCCAGGCAAGCGCTCCACCACGGCGCCTGCACGCACAGATTTTTTTTTTTGCTCTTTTCATTGGGCGTAATTTGTATTGCACAGAAAAAGTACACGACCTTGGAGAAAGCGCGCGAATCAAAGGGTAGTATAGATTCGACACTATCGAGGAGAGCGAGATAGTGTTGGTGACAGTCAATAGTTTGGAGAGGAAAAAAATGAATCCATGCAATTACAGCAGAAAAAAGATACTTGAAAGCGACATCGACACTGACACTATCGAGCGAAGCGAGATAGTGGTGCAACACTAGTAGAGCACACTAGCTTCCAATGGACACTATCAAGGTTATATAAGCATGCTCAAATTAGACAGTCTCTTCCTACATAGAATGTCTCTTCCTACATAGACTATCTTCCTACATAGACTATCTCTTCCTACGTATTTTATTTCTATGCATTTATTCAACTGTAATAGATAAGATACGGTTTTTACATCAATATGTGTAAACGGAGACAAGATCTCAGAGGACATGACAACTTTCTCTATTTTAGTAAAAAAAGACAATTGTAGTGTAGAGTATACGGTTGGAGATATGCGATACTAGGGAGCGAAGCGAGCTAATGGAGCAATATGTAGTATCAAACCCATGTGTATTTACATCCCCCCAGTCACAAATGGACATTTTGTAATCTTAGAGTAGGCGACACTATCAAGCAGAGCGAGATAGTGGAGCACACTAGGTATCTGTTGTGCTAATTAGATTCTGGATCTAAAAGAAGAAGAGCTGCGACAGTATCACTAGTCAGTTTTGCTTGACAGTGTTGTTACTGCTGCTTGAGAGTGTTGTTACTGCTGCTTGACAGTGTTGTTACTGCTGCTTGACAGTGTTGTTACTGCTGCTTGACAGTGTTGTTACTGCTGCTTGACAGTGTTGTTACTGCTGCTTGACAGTGTTGTTACTGCTGCTTGACAGTGTTGTTACTGCTGCTTGACAGTGTTGTTACTGCTGCTTGACAGTGTTGCTCCACTATCTCGCTCCGCTCGATAGTGTCGATAGTGTCGCTGTAGTGAGTATAGAGTAGATAACCGGAGATCAAGTGGGATGTGATTGGACCTTACAGTCCATTTACACCCCCCCCCCCCCCCCCAGCCACAAATGGACATTTTGTAATCTCAGGCAAATTGCCCCATTGAATTGATATAATTTAAATATAAATGTATTTCAACCATCGGCTTCACAAGTCAGCTTGATGGTTATTTTTACAGTTTTTTCCAGCATCTTAGTCAGCAGCTTGTCCCTTACTGTCCTATTCTCCTTACAGCTATTCTCACAGTATCCTCGCAACAGCTACTTAGAAGGGTCATTCTTTTGATAGCCCTGGTAACCCTGTATTGGATAAGATTCTAGCATCTTAAGATACTTCAATATCAAGGCCTTACAATTCCTACCAGCGTCTTCTTGATGATATTGTTTGCACTTCCTTACAGCATCACGGGTCACTCTCAACTCATACGTTCTAATCCATTGTTCTCTAAGCATTGACTTTCTGGCAGCTTCAACTTGGGATAGGTCATTATAACTTATATCATCAAAAGAGACTAGTTCCGGTCTTTGATGGTGTTGATAACTATCCAATTTACCTAAAAACAAAAAAACAGTCAGTAAAAGATCATATACGCCTCAGTCCCAAATACATACCCATTATTAACTCTTGGTGCTGCTCCTTTATTGACTCTTGGTGCCGCTCCTTTATTCAATCCAAGTTTCCTCCTACTAAATTCATTTTACTAAAGATGAAAATTTAATTGGTTTGGTTTTTGTCACAAACGACACGACACGACACGGAAAAATCTAAAGCACTTTTTCAATTAGCCTAGGACAACTAACAATAGTGGATTGTGATTGTGATTGTGATTGTGATTGTGATTAACTAGCTGTAATAGCCACTAGCTATAATAGCCACCAGCTGTAATAGTGACATCATAGTAGAAGAAAGAGTTGTTACATTACCTCAATGCAACACTCAATTACATTCAATGCTAGTTGGATTTCCATCTTGCATACAGTCTTTGCAAGTCTGTCGTTTTTAGCTGCACTTGCAGTTGGATCGTATCTACATTATTACAAGATTGTTGAAAACGCGTCGTTTGGACATCCCGATGAGTGGTTCCCTAGTGTGTCTGCGACAATTGGCGATAGGTATCCCGAGAGGTCAATTTTTCAGATCATCATTGCATTGACTGCTGGCCCTAGGTTTCTCATGCTCGCTTTTGATTTTATTTCGCTTTATAGGCCAAAGTCATACTTGCCATTTATTGCTTTAACAGCGGGCGTGCTAAGAACTTTTACTGCAGGGGGGTGGATGTATATCACTTCAACAGATGATCATGACGCCCACGATGTATTCATGATTGGTTATATAGTGTTGACAATCCCTTGGACTGTTTGTATAACGTTGTTGTCGCCAAAAGGTTCGTTTCAACGTAAAGCGAGATTCTACTCGGCAGTGACATTCTTTGGCACTATAGCGCCTTTGATCTATTGGTTCATCCAGCATAAAGTACATGTAAGACCAGGTGCATACTCTGTTTACGCGTACTTTGAATGGGGTCTAATCGCTTTAGATATTTTGTTCGACTCTTGGTCATACATCGATTTCACTGATATTGATATTTCCATCCTGGGAGAAGGTGTCAAAGTGATAAGTGGACAACAGGAAAAAAAAAAGCCCGCTATTCAAAAGATTGCGCCAAACTCTGCTGAGAACGAAGATGGGTTTACCACAGTGGAGACTGTTGCTAATTTGATAAACTCGTACATGTACTGGACCGTGGTCACTTCGTTATTTGTATGTGTGTGGTATTTCCCATTATGGGACTTGGGATTGACGGGGTATGAAGCAGTTATTGTCTCTTTGTTTTTAGCTCCGCTTCTACTTGTTCCAACAGGATTGAGGCATTATCTTGCTGCAAACCCTCACTTTGCAAGATCATTGACCATCATTTTGGGAATCGGATCCTACAAAATTGAGGACCCAGAAAAGAGATTATTGACTATAACCGCAGGAACAATGTTTGCTGTGGCTTCACTAGTAAATGAACTTTGGTCATTAGCTGCTCATCCAAAAAAGTTAAATTCATACATTGCCACTTTCACTATGGGCTTACTCGCAACTTCAATTTTCAAGTTTTTAAATTACTCTAATAATCCTATATGGCCAATAATGCATAAAGAGAATGGCGGTTATAATTCAGTGGGTATTTTCTTGGGATTACTTGGTGCATTACTTACCCCAGTAGTGGATACAACCGTTGCACCAAAAACATCGACATCATCATCATCGACATCATCATCATCATCATCATCATCATCACCACCACCACTCAATGCAGGTGGTTCACTTTTATTAGGTGCACTTGGGTTTGGTGGCTACTACTTTGCATTGCATGCATTTTTATCAGACTCCGGAACATTGGTGCTTTGGACATGGGAGGGTTTCCCAATAAGAGGTCCAACTCCAGTAACTGGTGCTTTACCACATTTGGTCACTTTTGCGGTTTCCATACTCATTGCATCAAGAGTACATCCAAACTTTTTCAGTAATTTGACATACAATCTTGTTATTGGTGCAGGAAGTACACTTGCAACTTATTTTTTGAAAGGATGGACAGGATTTGCCGGATCTTTGGTTTATCTGTTTTACTTAGTTTCCTTAGCTCCAGTGATTTTTCAATCAATCAATGGATATAATCCAGTGGCCACTTTTTTCATAGGTTTCCTTGTAAACATAATTATGTCCCTTGCCAGCGTCTGGATTGTGGCATATGCTTTTGTGCCATATGGGCCATTATTGAGAGAAAGGACCGATTTGATTGTTGGTACTTCATTAGTGTTGATATACGCGGGGGTTTTCAATTACAAGTTGAGGCTGGATAGAATCTCCAAACTTGAGTTCATTAGCAAAAAAACAATGAAGCAATTGAATACTTTGACAACTGTTTTATTAGCACTAGCTATAACCGCCACAATTAAGAGAGCACCACTACCATTCAACCAGATTAAACTGTATAATGAACCTTCGGGCTCATTCACTGCGGGTATTTGGTGCGTTCATTTTGGATTAGATAATGACATGTGGTCCTCAGAAACCAGAATGAGAGATCTTATAAGAGATGCTCAAGTTGATATAATCGGTTTATTGGAAACAGACACACAGAGGTTAATTGGTGGTAATCGAGATTTTACTCAAAAGATTGCTGAGGATTTAGGAATGTATGTTGATTATGGTCCAGGTCCAAACAAACATACCTGGGGAGCTGCATTATTATCCAAATTCCCCATCATCCAATCAACGCATCACCTTTTACCATCGCCAGTTGGTGAATTGGCACCCGCAATCCATGCCACATTAGACATTTATGGAACAGAAGTGGATGTTGTCGTGTTCCATTCGGGCCAAGAGGAAGATGTCGAAGATCGTAGGTTGCAGAGTTTAGGAGTTGAAGAAATAATGGCCAAGTCTCAAAACCCATTGGTATTGTTGAGTTATTTGGTAACAGATCCTTTGGTAGGTAATTACTTGACATATACTTCAGATCAATCACGAATGCATGATATTGATTCAACAGATTGGGATCGATGGTGTGAGTATATCATGTTCAGAGAATTGAAAAAAGTTGCTTATGCGAGAATCTCAAGATCAACAATAACAGACACAGAATTACAAATTGCCAAATTCAAGCTCTTGAGCGACGAAGAAAAGGAAAATTTTGATGCTGATTTCTTTTATAGTAACAATTTTGTTGAAGAAGAAGATATTGATAGCGATTTAAGAATGCCTCAAATATTTAAAGGTGATGGTGTAAGGGGCCATAGGTATCATGTGTTTGACAAGCCTAAATATTTTGCTCAAGAGAAGCACTAATTGAAGAAAGAAGAAATAAAAAAAAAGAAGCTAGAATAAAAATAAATAAATAGAAATAAAACACTATCTAACCCTAAAAGCCTTTCATGTTGTATAGATAAATTTAAATATCCCCATTTTTTATTTCTATTATGAGACTCACTTTTTGAAATATCATCAGCGATTTCGGAAAATGAGCTCAATGGTTTACTGTGGTAGTTTGGAGCAGGCAAGTGAAATGCAAACCAAACTCATGATGGAAAAGGACTTGTATGGTATCCTTTTATCAATACAATGTACAAATAATCGCTACCTATTTTTTTTTTTTTTGGTTGCCAAAAAATTGGGTGCAAAATTTGTACAAAATAAAAGTAAAAAGGAAATACCATCCCGCAATAAATTCCCAAGTCATGGTATTAAGAGCTAGCGTGCTCCACTATCTCGCTTCGCTCAATAGCGTCGCGGTAAAGTAATTGCCAGATTACAATAGATACTACATTAGAGAAGCATACAGATATTCAGGTAAGGTTAAAAAACAAGTAATCGTGTAAACCCTTTTTTATTATATTTTTCCTTTCCCCCCAATAGTTCATAGTATGTACAAGTACATGCTAACCTCTCTTTTACTATGCAATGTGGTAATTTCTTTCCAACTATATTCCCTCTAGCAAACCCTGGGCCTCAGCCTCAGCCTCGATATCCTCCGCTCTGTTTTGATTTCCATTCTCCAACACTTGTAGACTTTGACTATTTTTCAACTCAAATAATCTAATTTTTTTCCTTATTCTTTTAATTTGCCATCTTACAGGAATCCAAGGTAACAAACCATGTCTTTCCTCATATAGTTTCACCTTCAACCATATGATCACAGCTAACCAATAGCTGCAATAAGTAATAACGCTACCATAGGTGGCAGAATTGGTCCATCCAAATATAGCGTTCAAAACCATCCACCAACCATCAGTTAATCCATTACAACAATTCACATGCCATACACTTTTGACAATATCATATGACCCTGGACCACTCCCGGTCTCGCTTACATCTAGTCCATTGCACTTGCGAACATATGATTCTAATTCCAAAAACCACACTCCACGACTCATCAACCCTGCACTAACAATGTACAAAAAACATGTTGAGCAAATAAGAAAGTACTGTAAAGACAATTTATTGCCTCCTTTATATAGTAGGTACCCAATCAGAGATCCGAATGTTATACCACATATAATAGACAACGGAATCGATGTTAGTGGTTGCGATAAGCCTATGCCTCCAATGAACACTACTGATTCTAATCCTTCTCTGAGTGTGGTGACGAGTGGTAATATAGCCAAGAAATACTTCCTACTAAAGCCCTGTTTTTTACGTGGTTTCATAGTACCCGAAGATGGTAGCGACTTATTCGTAGTAGTTGTTGTTGTTGTTGTTGGTGTTGGTGTTGTAATGGTATTATCCGCTGCCGCTGCTGCCCCCAAAGTCAATGGAATAGTTTCAGATTCAGAACTTGATCTTGTACCTCCATAATTAGCCACTGCCCCTGCATCTTCAGTGCTAACAACTCTCTCATCTGCAACCAGCGTGACATTGCTATCGCCATTATCATCGCCCCATTTAGCGATTTCTTCTTCTCCTTCCTCATCTAAATCGTTGCCATTATACGCGTCACCCAATTTGATCCACCATTTCAACTTCATCACTTTATTTATCCTTAATAACCCAATACCCATCACGGTGATTATAGCACTAGACAAGATAGAAAACACTCCTTCCCATACCCTTTCTGTATACGACCAGTAATCTTTACCAATGAAATAAAAGGACAAAATAAAAATCAACCCAATAATGAAACAAATGACAAGTCCTGAAAATGCACCTACCCATACTTGTAGTTTCAATTTTCTTTGCACTTGAGTTAATCGCACAGCTTTGGACAGTAAAGCAGACTCGACTTGTTGCGAGCTTGTGCCATGTTGCTGCTGCTGTGTTGGTGGTACTGCATCATTTGGTTTATGCGACCTTTGATTTATAAATGATAAAAGAACCGAAATTATAATCGCCGTTTCAAGCGTTTCTCGTAGGATTATAAAAAATATCTGAATAGAGAAATAATCCTCAAACTCAAACATCTACAAATTAGCACCAATCTTGGTTAGCAGGGGTCCCTTTCCAAAGTTTGAAACGTTGGAGATGTATGTAGTTGGAAAGAATATCTCAATAGTAAGAAGAAAAAAAGATTGAAAAATTTATTATATGCATCTCCGGTTGATCTTTAGAAACTGCGCGCGAGTACCAGCCTTACAATAAACGCTCCACGACGCAAGGGGGAAGGGGGAAGGGGAAAGGGAGAGAGAGAGAGTAAAAAAAGGGGGTAGAGGGAGGAGCAATAAATGAGGCGATGCATTGTCCAACACACAATCACCTAAAGATATATGCTAATCATATATTCGTTACTCTAAAATCTTTTTAAATAACAATAAAAAAGAATGATGCAACCTTTATCAACTTTAAAAGAAACAAAAGAAAGAATACAACAATTGTTGAGCAAAATTGTAACCGAAAAAGAGAACAAACCACTTCCCCACACCTTTTAACATTACTACTCTGTCTCCTTAGTTAAACTTTTCATTTTGCTTGTTTAGCTCATTGATTCTTTTCTGGTGACTTTTTTATACTGCTGGAAAGACTACTGTTGCAGTTAAGCAAGTGATATACTCATCGTCTTTAGTATAAGCTCTAGCAGTCACGAAATACCTTCCAGGTGGTACTTCTTGAGGAATTTCGATTGTTTTAGAAATGACTTGTTTTCCTTGATTCACGGGACATTTTAAATCAACTTTAGTGATCTCTTTACATAAGTCATACGTCTGGTGAATCAACTTGATGAATCCGTAACGCACATCGACTTCGACATAAGCGCCGTCTGTAATGGTTTTGTCTATTGTCCCTGTTGCAGTGAATGTAAGATTTGCACCAGCTTCAGGTGGGTTTGGTGTAATTATTACTTCATCAAGAGTTAATAATTGCGCTTCTTTAATATCACAAATTTCAATCGGAGAGTCACCAAAAACGGGCTTGGTGTCCTGATCAGAGTGTGCAATCAGCTGAATCAAAGGATAGTTGGGCTTGAAAAATTGCGAAAGTCCTGGTTCCGATTTGTGGGTAAATACTAACAATGCACGATCAATGTATCTGTCTAGTAACGATAAGCACTCAACTTGTGCAGACGCAGCAATCGCAAAAGTAGCAAGCTTGGTTAAGGAGACCATTATCAAGTAAGTACAATTTACAAGTAACTCAAACAATCAGTTGACTATCGAATAGGTGCTAGGTGGGCAAAATCGATAGGTCACAACTTGCCTGTTGATTGCTATATATGTCAAGTAGTATATACTTTTACATCGCTTCAATTTTTGTTATCAATGGCAAAGATTATCTGGGTAGTGTGAGGTTGTACAAAATATATGTATACTTTTTATAGGAAGCAATCAATACCGATAAGGGACCATGAGTTTATTAAATAAGAATATCTTTTGGACAACAGATATAAAGCTGAGCCCCCCGCCCCCCCTGTTGTACCGACAAGAACCAAAAAAAAAACTACACCTATATCGTTGCCCCATCTATCAATTACTTTACCTTTACTTACTTAGTTACTTACTCTTCTGTTGTTTCTTCTATTAAAATTTATATAATGTGTTTGTACATAAAATGTCCAATGCTCTTTTTTTGTTCAACCGGATATTAACAAATTGGCAGTCATTGTATCAAATCTCTCTCTTATTAGTTTAGACTCAATTTCCAATAACTCAAGGAAGATAGCTTCACCTTTTGAACCATTCTTCTTAACCATTTCCTTTCCTTTCAGTTTTGTTAATTTCCACACTACTGAATCCTTAGCTGTGGTATAAGTAATTTGCCTATACTGACTAACATCATCTAAATTGCCAAACGCCACAAGTGGCACAATACTGCTGTGTAGTTCTCTTCCTTCGTTTTCAAATTTGTAAATAGCACGAATCAACCCCTTTTCAACAATAAACAAACTGGGTTCATCAGTCAATGTATTGTAAAATTGTATACCTTGAGGGATTTGTTCTTTAACGATATACGATGCTAACAAAGTCCAAAATTCTGCATCCTTTTTGGATAAGCCCTGAAAGGTAATCATCATTAATGATAAAGGCTGCTTTGCAAAAATATCATTTTGCGACGAATTGTATAAGCATTGTGTGTTGTGTTCGTCGTAAACAGTTTTGCTTGCTGCTTGAAGGACTTGTTTCGTTCGTGGTGTGCCAAATTCATTTGATCCAAATCCAAACAATCTAGCACCAAATGATGGTGGAGACTGAAAGGAATTGTTCCTATCAGTACAATTAACTATTGGCTGACTTTTCGGTTCGGGAACAATTCTTGACAATGTATGAGTTGGCGCATTCATCCCGCCAAAACTTCCACTACCAACATGTTTCTTTTTCAATGATTTATATGTCTTCAAAAACGTATTCTCACACCATTCTAGGGCATAGTTTAATGAACTAAAGAGTTCAATTGGCGGATCATTGTTGTCGAATAATCCTGCATCTCTCAATCCCTTAACAATGTCATCTTCTTCTTTCACAGACGAGATGATCAATTGCGTTCTAAATTCATTAGTCAAATTCAAAATCCTTCTAAATCCCTCGGCTGCCGAAAAATCAATTGATATCACTCCTTTCATATCAATAATCAAATATCTGATGGATATTTTCTTTACTTTCTTATCATTTTCAAAAATGGTCCTTATTTCCTTCTCAACACCACCAATGGAACCAAAAAATATAGTGCCTTGCAACTTAACAATACAAATTTGTTCACCCACATTCTTTAAAAATTCCTGTTGTTTTGGATGTCTCAAAACTGTTGACCTTGCCACATTCCCTGAATATATACCTTGAACAACTGGCGTTCTTCCTGCCTCAACCACAAATGATAAACATGCCAACAAGATACCAATTCCAATACCAGCAACAAAATCAACTGCACCCATGGTAACAACTATGATGATAATAGTAGCATATTCAATAGGTCTTAAACGGCCCCAAGTATCCCACACAGACTCTTTTAACAACTCATAACCTAATAAATAAATTAATGCTCCAACAACACAAACTGGAATATAGCCAATTACCCCCGGACCTGCAATCATTACTGCAGCAGTCGCAACGGCCAACATAATCCCAGCCAATCTATCATTTGCCCCTGCTCTAATAAATAATACGGAATTTGTATAAACAAGATAATTTTGAATCGATCCCAACAAGCCTGAGATTGCATTGGAATAACCATGAGCAACCAATTCTCTATCAACGTCTACTTCATCCATTCCAACAGAAACAGCCAATGCTGGAACATTAATAGGAACATGCAATATCCCGAAAAATGTCAATGCCAACATAGTAGGAAGTTGACGAAATAAACACCACCAATCGATTAAACTAAACTTGTACAATTCATAAAATTGATACCATGGCTGTTTACTTTCCACTGCAGGGAAGATCCATCCAATGTCTCTAGCGTCTTGTAAATTCCACGATGGAATCAAAGCTACTATCAAATGGAACAATACAAAAACCACAATGAAGTATAATGGAACCAACAACGAATTATGTATCTTGTGGTGTAAAATAATCAACACCGCTGCCAACAACAATGGAATGGTCCATTGAAGAAATGTGATATGATTGAAAAACAAATACTTGAAAGTTTCAAAATTGTAGTAAAGCCCCCCTTCTAATCTTGAAGAAACTTCAATGCCCGTTGCAATTAAAAAGTATCCAACACCCCCAATACATCCAACTAAAATGTGTCTGGGAAAGAAACCCACCAAGACACCAAGTTTTAACTTTCCCAAAAGGTAAAAGACCAAACCAGTAACAATTGAAGAAACGGCATATGATGCTATAGTAGTTGCAATGATTGCATCGTCTCCTTCATCAGCCATAAATTTAGATATGGCAAATGCCATGTTATGGAAAAATGGAGTAACTTCAATCATCTCAGATCCGATACCTGCTTTAAACGCAGATCCACCTAGAGAATAGACCATTTGCGACACGACACATGAAATATAAAACATTGATAAACCAGCAGGTGCCAATGCTGCAAAAATAGGGTCACTTATAGGAAACATAATCATACCATACGATAAACCATCCAAAATGTTTAATAGCGTGCCTAGAAATACTGCTGGAAGGTAGTGGAAGGGTTTTGTTAAAAATTGATGTAATTTACTTGGTTGTGGTTTCTTTTCATGCGTTGAGTTTGAGTTTGAGTTTGTCATGGAAACAACCGAGGACAAACTTTCCTCTGATGCAAAGTCTTTTCTGGATAATTGTAAAGGAAAACGTCCTTCAACAGCTTCGTCTCTATGTATGTCTTCATCATCAGTGTAGGGTTTATAGCTGGAAGAACCCGGTAGCAAGGGTGGATACTGTTTTGATTTTTGCTTTGCATTACTAGTAATGGACTTTGAGAATATAGGCTTAGGCTCAGTTTTAGAATGGGTAAATACTTCTTCGGCGAATCCATCTTGATCCAGATCTTCACTGTTTTCTGGTAGATTATCGAGCTCATCCGCCTCGCCATCGACAACAGCAATATTTGCCAAATTTGCAGTTTGTTCATGAACTTCTACTCCAGTATTGATTTGCGGCGAATTTGAATTTGCCATAAAACTTGGTCTTCTATAGCTCATGCTGACATAGCTTCTTCCACCAATATCAAAATTGTTGTTATTGTTGTTGTTGCTGCTGCTATTAGGAATAAATGCTTCTCCAAGAGAGTAATTTCTCAATCTATTTGCTTGTTCTTTGAAAGAGCGTTTACTCAGACGTACAGAGGGGATGCTTTGTGTTTCACAGGATAAGTAATTTTCGTCGCAAGTTAAGGGTGACGATGTAGAATTTTCCACATAAGGTTTGGTGTGGAGTGTGGCATCCAATATAGACGAGTTGTTATTAGTAACTGACTTGTTCTGGCCTATTTTTGTAGCATCAGAATCAAATTTACTACCAGAATTGAAGGGGAAACTCATTATTGTATTATGTATGTATAACCCATTATATGACAAGAAAATGTCCTTTTGATAATTTGGATTGTTACCAACAAAAGACAGTCTAATATTGGTCGATTTTTCAGCCTAAGCAATTAATAACAGGCGATTTTTCAACTAAGCAATTAATAACAAGCAATTTTTCAGTTGAGCAATTAATAATAGGCAATTTTCAGACTCTATATGTGACAAGGCTTTTAAGTATGGCTATGTTAAGGCATCTTAGTTCTTTTTGCTCTGCTGGTGCTACCAAATGTTACACATAAGGAGACTAGGCGAGTGAAAGAGAAAGACTAGGCGAGTGAAACGAGTCTAGTCGAGAGAGAGAGAGAGAAAGACTAGGCGAGTGAAACGAGTCTAGTCGAGAGAGAGAGTGCGATAGAGAGTAGATCGAGAGAGAGAGTGCGATAGAGAGTAGATCGAGAGAGAGAGTGCGATAGAGAGTAGATCGAGAGAGAGAGTGCGATAGAGAGTAGATCGAGAGAGAGAGTGCGATAGAGAGTAGATCGAGAGAGAGAGTGCGATAGAGAGTAGATCGAGAGAGTCAATAGAGAGACTAGGTGAGTGAAACGAGTTTTTGCTGCCAGCAATTGCTTTAAAGTTTTTTAAAAAAAAGAAAATTCACGCAAAAGTTTAGCTTTACATTTTATATGCTCTAACTTGTCATAGACCCATTCGGTCCACCATAAATAATTTACTACTTTTGATTTGTATTAATCAATTTCTTATTTCTTTAAAATTTACTCATCAACCTAAAACTCTTGATAGAGAAAGAGTAGATAGAGAGAGACTAGTTGATAGAGAGAGACTAGTTGATAGAGAGACTAGTGCTGCTCAACAGTGTTGCTCAACAATGATGCTATTCTATCTCGCTTTGCTCGATAGGGTACGGCTAAAAGTGTAAAACTTTATTTACAATTTTTCCATAAATTAGCACAAAAATTAATAGTTTATGCATACTTTTTATATAGAAATCTTTGTAAGTTATTCCTTTACTGTAATTTAATTGGCTCATTAGATTTTATCTCTTTGATAAGAGCTTCGTAGTACATATGCATACTATATGTACCAACAAGCAACCCGGATTGCTATGAGTTATATAAATTTTTTTCCTATTATTTCATTACCACGACATTATCGAGCAACACTGTTAAGCAGATAGAGATAATGGAACGACACTATCGAGCAAAGCGAGATAGTGGAGCAACACTGTCGAGGATAGAGATAATGGAGCAACACTGTCGAGGATAGAGATAATGGAGCAACACTGTCGAGGGTAGAGATAATGGAGCAACACTGTCGAGGATAGAGATAATGGAACGACACTATCTCGCTTTGCTCGATAGTGGAGCAACACTGTTAACCAGAGCTAGGGTGCTCCACTATCTCGCTTCGCTCGATAGTGTCACTCGATAGTGTCACTCGATAGTGTCGCTCGATAGTTTCGCGAAAGAACCTTAAATATATGAAATGAAATTTTTTAAGCAACACTACTTGAAAAATAATGGATTAATTTGTGTGTGCGCTACCGTATTAATTTCTGTTGACAAGCTATTATGGACCCGCTTCCTCTCCCCATTGATATTGGATATTGACCATAAAACAAGACAACTTTTTAAAAATCTTCTTGTTACTGGTTTTGATAAATAAGAATTATGGTTAATATGAAACATATTGACAAATGAAAATTGCTTTTTAATAGAAAGTTACTGCAGAATAACTTGTAATGCATCTGTCAATAAACTGATCCTTAGGGGGGAGGACCCCTTCATCTTAGTAACACCCTGCCATTAATAACTTCATCTTAGTAACATCCTGCCATTGATTAATTCCCCAACTATTGGTAATCTCATCAATAAAGTACACTTGGTAGCAGCGGAAAAAAAATCGATTGCACATCGCGGCTAACAAATTTTTCAATAATTTTTCATCCTTTTCTTCTCATTGAGTCACCTTTTCTGCACTTTAGTTAAATTATTCACTTTAGAATTGGAAATTTTTCATCCCTTTTCTGGAGAAGAGATAACTAAAGGAGTCTTGTGAGGAAATAAACTTCTCTCCTCTATTTATCCTAATACTTGTACAGTCTGCTAAAGGAAAAAAGAAAATAAACCAAGATATCGAAAGAATCTTACATCTATAATAGTATTATCGGCCAATTATTGGGCACCTAGATAGACAAGTTTTACCCCTTCCCCCCCTTATTTTCCATTATGTTAATAACTAATTGTAAGTTGTCATTGTCACGTCAATTTAAACTTGTTGTTGGTGGTGGTGGTTGTGGCGGTGCCTGTGGCGGCATCAGTAAGCGTATATCCAATGCATTAAACCCACAAAGTATACATGTTCCAAAATCATGGTTTTCCATTAGTTTGTCCCTGTTTCAAAACCAATTGAAATATGCTGGAGCAGACTTGTTAAAGAAGTTCAACGACGAGCATTCACAGCATTTGGTAGATGTCTCAAAGGTGCTTGTTATAGGTTCAGGCGGATTGTCCATTGGTCAAGCTGGAGAATTTGATTACTCTGGTTCACAAGCTATCAAGGCATTAAAAGAAGCAAACAAAAAATCCATTTTGATTAATCCCAACATTGCAACAAACCAAACCTCACATTCATTAGCTGATGAAATTTATTATCTACCTGTTACACCTGAATATATCACCTATATCATAGAAAGAGAAAAACCAGATGGTATACTATTGACATTTGGTGGACAAACTGGATTAAACGTTGGTGTCAAATTAGACAAGATGGGTGTTTTTGATAGATATGGTATTAAAGTATTGGGTACACCCATAAAAACCTTGGAAACTTCAGAAGATCGTGATCTTTTTGCACAAGCATTGAAAGAGATTAATATCCCCATTGCAGAGTCTATTGCTGTAGAAACCGTTGATGATGCTTTGAAAGCAGCCAAGGAAGTTGGTTATCCTATTATTGTTAGATCGGCCTATTCTCTAGGCGGATTAGGCTCAGGTTTTGCTGCAAATGAAGTCGAATTGCGTAATTTGGCTGCTCAATCTTTATCCTTAGCTCCACAAATTTTAGTTGAAAAGTCTCTAAAAGGTTGGAAAGAGGTTGAATACGAAGTGGTGCGTGATCGCGTGGGTAATTGTATCACTGTTTGTAACATGGAGAATTTTGACCCCTTGGGTATTCACACTGGTGACTCAATAGTTGTTGCTCCTTCACAAACTTTATCCGATCAAGAATACCACATGTTGAGAACAGCAGCAATCAAGATTATCAGACACTTGGGAGTAGTGGGAGAGTGTAATGTACAGTATGCTTTACAACCTGATGGATTAGATTTTAGAGTTATTGAAGTCAATGCTCGTTTATCTCGTTCATCAGCTTTGGCTTCAAAAGCTACTGGCTATCCATTGGCTTATACAGCAGCTAAAATTGCATTGGGTCATACCTTACCAGAGTTGCCAAATCCAGTTACTAAAACCACCTCGGCTAACTTTGAACCTTCATTGGATTATATGGTGACCAAGATACCTCGTTGGGATTTGTCTAAATTTCAACACGTTAAGCGCGATATTGGTTCAGCAATGAAATCTGTTGGTGAAGTTATGGCCATTGGTAGAACTTTTGAAGAATCCTTTCAAAAGGCAATTCGACAAATTGATCCTTCATATATTGGATTTCAAGGTGATACATTTGAAGATTTAGATGATACTTTGCGCAATCCTACTGATAGACGCTGGTTAGCAGTGGGACAAGCTTTATTGCATGAAAATTACTCAGTTGATAAAGTTCATGATTTGACAAAGATTGATAAATGGTTTCTTTACAAATTGATGAATATTGTTAATATGTACAGAGAGTTGGAAGCAGCAAGAGAATTATCCAATATCAACATGGACTTGATGAGTCGAGCTAAAAAGATGGGATTTTCAGATAAACAAATTGCTCTTTGCGTAGGGGCCAAAGAATTACAAGTTAGACAAGTTCGTAAAAGTTTTGGAATTGTTCCATTTGTTAAAAAGATTGACACTTTGGCTGCTGAGTTCCCTGCCAACACAAATTATTTGTACACTACTTATAACGCTACAAGTTCCGATATAGAGTTTAACGAACACGGCACTTTAGTATTAGGTTCAGGTGTTTATAGAATCGGATCATCAGTTGAGTTCGATTGGTGTGCCGTGTCGACTGCTAGAGCCTTAAGAGAAAGCGGTCGTAAAACAATCATGATAAATTACAATCCAGAAACTGTTTCAACGGATTTTGATGAAGTTGATAGATTATATTTTGAAGAGTTATCATTGGAGAGAGTATTGGATATTTATGAATTAGAAAACTCAGAAGGTGTGGTTGTATCGGTTGGTGGTCAACTACCACAAAATATTGCGTTACCTTTGCAAGAAAATGGATGCAATGTTCTAGGTACAGACCCCGAAGATATTGATAAAGCTGAAGATCGTCATAAATTCTCCCAAATTTTAGATTCAATTGGAGTTGATCAACCAGCATGGAAAGAGTTGACTTCAGTTGAAGATGCTGAGAAGTTTGCCGATGAAGTAGGGTACCCAGTGTTGGTGCGTCCATCATATGTTTTATCAGGTGCCGCTATGTCTGTTATCAACAACAAAAACGAGCTAGATGCTAAGTTGAAAAATGCCTCAAAAGTGTCTCGTGACCACCCAGTTGTCATCTCCAAGTTTATTTTAGGTGCACAAGAAATTGATATTGATGCTGTTGCTGCAAAGGGACAAGTATTAGTTCATGCTATTTCTGAACACATTGAAAATGCAGGTGTCCATTCCGGTGATGCCACTTTGGTATTACCTCCTCAACACTTATCGCAAACTTTACTTGACCGGTTGAAGGTGATTGCTGATAAGGTTGCTAGCGCATGGAAAATCACTGGTCCTTTCAACATGCAAATCATCAAAAATGATCAAAATGGTACACTTGATGATGAAAATTGCGAGTTGAAAGTCATTGAATGTAATATTCGTGCATCTCGTTCATTCCCATTTGTTTCAAAAGTTTTGGGTGTTAATTTTATTGATGTTGCAGTTAAGGCGTTGATCAATGAAGGCGTTCCAGCACCAGTTAACCTTATGAACCAGAAGTACGATAGAGTTGCTACAAAAGTACCCCAGTTTTCATTCACAAGATTAGCTGGAGCTGACCCATTTTTGGGAGTAGAAATGGCTTCAACAGGTGAAGTTGCTTGTTTTGGTAAGAATCTACTTGAAGCTTATTGGACCTCTATACAATCAACCATGAATTTCAAACTCCCATTTCCTGGACAAGGTGTATTGTTTGGAGGTGATTTAACTAATGACAAATTAGGTAACGTTGCCAAAACGATAAGCGGCTTGGGATATAAATTTTACACAGCAAGTCAGCCAGTTGCCGACTACTTAAAGAACTATGTCTCTGAACCAGTTGAAATTATAGATTTTCCAAAAACTGATAAACGTGCATTAAGAGAAATTTTCCAAAAGGAAGACATTGCAGCAGTGTTCAACTTGGCTAAAGCAAGAGCAGAGGACTTGTTAGATGAGGACTATGTAATGAGAAGAAATGCAATTGATTTTGCAATACCACTATTCAACGAACCAAACACATCACTATTATTTGCTTCTTGCTTGAGAGAAAAAATTGGTGAAAAAGTAGATTTTAATAAAGTTCCTGAAAAAGTGGTTGTTCCTCAGGAAGTTCAAAGATGGAGTGAATTTATTAATGGAAAACCAGTATAATTGTATATAGCTAATAGAACATAATGACAATTGAAGGTTTTTTGTTTTTTTTCTCTCTTTCAATATGAAAACTAAAACTGAATAACTTTGGAGTTTGAGTTTAAACACTTATCTATGATTATGACTCACAATTTCAATATCAAACGAATGAATCTGGTCTTTTCTTCTTTCTTTCTCTCTTTTTTTTTTATATATATATCTTTTCTTTTTCTTTTCAACATCTCCCCTTAAAATCTACACCCATCAACATATAATTAATCCAAGAAAAAAAAAAAAAACAACCAACAAAACACAATTTTATCAACCTTATAATTTAGTCACTCTTGGGCGTTTCACTCATCTCTTCGTCGTTGTCATCATTATCATCATGAACTTCTTCGAATCTTTGATTAGTTTCATTTTCTTCCGTAGACCTCCTGTGAAAACCACCACCACCATCTACTTCGTCTGTATCTCTCTCTTCTCCTTCTTCTTCGGCCAGGTCCACATCCTCACGATGAACGGTATCTCCAACACCAAAATGTGCCAATAAAGATTGCGCTGAGGAGGTATCTAAGTATATCACTCCATTTTCATTAGTTAAAGCGTTTGATGATAACAATTTCAGCAAGGAAATTGCTCCACTATTCAAGCCAGAGTCAGGATGCCCGCGCCCGTGTGCGCCGACATTATTGTGCTCGTCATCTTCGTCATCGTCATCACGTTCACCTGAGGGACCTTCCTCTTCGTCATAACCACCGCTACCAAATATTGAGTTTCCATTCATTAATCCACCGGAACTACTACTACCACCACCGCTTCGTTCAAACTGCAGACCCATTTCGTAACGGTATCCATACATTCCCTTGTATATTTTTTCATAGGGCTCGGAAATAGATCCATATTTAGCTTGTTGTTGATGCCGAGGAGGCTGGGGATGCTGGTAATCATGATCACTATCTTCCACCTCGGTTTTATTATAGTGAACCTCCTCTTGAGCAATTTCAATTTTATTTATGATTTTTTGATACCATTCTTCTATAGTCTCATTTGCCGCATAATTCAACAAGGCCACAATGACTATGGACATATTGTCGCATCCAATACCTGAGCCATCAGATGTTGGCGCGCAGCATAAATCCATCATTTCTTCACAAATTTGTGTTAAAGGTTTTCTTTCGTAAATTCCCCTTCTAATACATTCAACACATTTTTGAGATGTCAAACAATCCCAAATACCATCACATGCTAACACTACAAATTCGTCATCTTCATAGTTGATCTCATGCAGTATAACATCAGGAAAACAAGTTACAATTTGTTCTTCTGCTGGCAAATCTGCATTTTTCTTAAAGTCAAAGTCCCCAATACCTCTTGACAATGCCAAGTTTCCATTGACACGGCCCATGTCAACATACCCACCTGCAGCGTTTATTCTTGTTTTCTCGCCTTCGTTTGAAGGTTTGTGATCGTATGACAATGGCTTTGCAAATCCATTTATCGACATAACGGTTCTGGAATCACCGGCATTACCACAAATGATTGATTTAGGGGTTATGATTGCTGAAGTTGCTGCACATCCACTTTCATCGTTTTTCATGAAAACGTCTTTCAAAATGGCTTCGTCACAATTTAAAAAACCTTGCTTCAACGCATTTACGTAATCCTTTTTCTTGTACTCGGCAGTTTCCATAATTATGTGATGCAAATGCTTCCCGGTGAATATAGCAGCTTTTTCTCCTCCGTGTCCATCGTAAACCCCAAAAAATGCAACATGTTCTAGATCCTCTTTTGAAACTTCTCCTACTGCATCATCCACTTTATCATCAACTGCTAAAGCCTCGTTTTGACTATTCACAACAGTTTCAGATTCGTTTCTTTCGTCGTCAGTAGCGCCGTCATCGCCGTCATCACCGTCATCGCTGCCATTGTCTTTACTAATTCTCAATTCGTCATCCTCTTTGTTTACCGTCAGCAAATTCAATATTGTAGCATGTGCATCTTCCATATTGACTCTCCATCCTTGCATGGATGATAACCCATAAGCTAAAAACTTATCATGGCCATCCTCCGTATGTTTTTCAACCACGGGATGTGATAAAATCTGACCCATTTATATATATATATATAGATAGATATATATATAGCTCTTCTCAACGATAGTGACACTTTCTAACAAAGCCAAAAAAAATTTTTTTTCTCTTCGTTTTCAATACTTTTTATCTTCTCAACTTTGAAGAACAAAACTTGACTTTCCTCGATAAGATACGCGTTTGGTAATTACACCAAATATATAATTAGATTTGGTTTCCAATAGATAAATTTATATGTATACTTGATTTTACCAGTTAATAGATAAGCAAGTATGATAAGACGCACCCTGTCAATGAGTTTAAAAAATAAAACAACTGTTTATCAAATATACAGTATCAAGTATCCTCTTATTGTATAAAATTCCCAAAAAAATGTGTTTTGGTCAATTGCTGGGTTTTGATGAAAATGATGATGAGCTTTTTGTTGATAACTTTTTTTTTTTTGCCTTCTCTTTTTGTTTCTGCTCTCATTTTGGTCTTCTTAAGAAAAGTTTTTCTTTTTTTGTTTTTTTTCTTTCTTTTTTCTGACATAAAATTTTCATGGTATTTCTTTTGTCTACTCGAGGAAATCGTGATAATCGCCACAATAGTGAGCAAGAGCCTCGGCACCACCTCCAATACTAAATACTCTTGATTTTAAAATTATTTCCATAATAAGGTCTATGCAGTAAAAACAAATGGAAAATGGTAAACAAGAGTTGTGATAGAGTTGTGATAGAGGAAACAGAGTTAAAATAGAGTTGTGATGGAGAAAACAGAGTTATAATAGAGTTGCGATAGAGGCCTGGTTTCAATTAGTTACTCATTATATATATATTATGTTCTTCATTAGTGATTCTATAAAAAAGCACCCAAAAGTCTCCTTCTCCTTCTCCTTCTCCTTCTCCTTCTCCCTCTCCTTCTCCTTCTTCCTTCTTCTATTTTGTTCCCCAAATACCATTACTCCCTTCATACCCGCCATTTGCCAATCCTCCTAGACCTAATGTATTAAATTTAGACGAAATGTCTGAATTGCTATTATACTCATCAACGCTATTGGCAGTTTGAGGTAAATTTGTAAAACTTGAAGTAACATGTTGACTAAATGGCTGAAAACGTAAATTGGTGCTAAGAGGCGTTTGTGGTTGCGACGGATTGTTCCCTGGAAAAAATTGTTGTTGATTTTGTTGAATTGGCGAGCTCGTGATCGATGATGCTTGCGTCTGTTGACCCCCATGTGTCAAATTGTGAACCTGGTGGGAATAACTGTTTAACGGAGGGGTCGCTCTGACATCAACATATGATCTATTGCTACTAGACCTGAGTAACGCTGCAGCAGAGCTTGAACTTGGGGTAAACGTTTGTGATTGGTGAACTTGTTGAAGCAGATTGATGGGATTTACTTGTGGTTGTTGTTGTTGTTGCTGCTGCTGCTGCTGTTGTGGTTGTGGTTGTGGTTGTGGTTGTGGTTGTTGCTGCTGCTGTGGCGTCTGATAGTACCCGTGTTGAGAATATGGCCTTTGTTGTGAAAGATGCAGTTGCTGCAGGTAGACAGCATAGCTTGGCACATGTTGTTGTTGATACAGTTGTTGTTGTTGTTGTTGCTGCTGTTGCTGTTGTTGCTGCTGCTGCTGCTGGTGTTGTTGTTGTTGTTGCAGCTGCAGCAGCTGCTGCTGGTGTTGTTGTTGTTGTTGTTGTTGTTGTTGTTGCGTCACTGGAGTAGAAGTCTGCTGTCTCAATCTAGGCAAAGGCAAGGCAGACTGTGATTGAGAGCGCAACAATTCGGGATTCTGGATACTTGCAATTTGATTAAGATTCATCATTGAAGTAGAATGATGTGGCGCGAGGTGGTGGCTGTGTTGCTGTTGTTGGTGCGCTTGATTGGGAACTTGTTGTGCCAATGGAGCTACAGATATGTACCCTGGCTTTCTGCGAATAATCACCAATCCATTATCAAACAATTCCAATAAGTTCAAATAGTTGCAAACGTATGAAATGATCTTTCTTTGTACTAAATTCAAATTGATTGGCGATATTGCCAATTCAAAAACCGACCTCGTAACGTCATCACGATACAACACCAATTGAGTGTACAACTCCAATACTTCGGGGTCGTTAAAGTTTATCTCAATTGAAGGAGTTGCAAACAGTGAATTGCCAAAGGGAAGGTTGAGGAAAAACCGCTCTTGCGTTGTTGTGGAAATGCCGCCACCAGCGACACTCAAATTTTTAGTGGCAGCAGTAGTCGATGCTTGCGATAACAACGACACCAAAGAAACATTAGAGTTTGTTCTGTGCTGCTCTTCCAATTGGCCTCTTTTTTCCCTTCTTTCGCGCTCAATTCTTTCACGTTCTTGTGCAGGTAACATCTTCTTATACTCGACTCTCAATTTCCTACCTCCAATTTCTCGACCATTTAAACGATTAACAACAAGGGAAGTTTCATCTGTAGTTGTGAAATTCGCAAATGCCAATCCTCGAAAAACTCCATTATCAAAATGGTAGTTGAATGCATATGGTAGAGGGAGGTTTAGTTTTGTCATCACATCTAACAACTGTTCCTTTTTGATAGCAAAGGGAATATTTTTAATCACAATAGCAGTAGGGATTAGTTCGTCGTCGTCGTCGTCGTCGTCATCATCGTCATTATTATCATCGTCATCGTCATCATCATTGTCATCGTTATCATTATCAACATTTGTCACCCCTTCTTCTTTTCCTTCTTCTCCTTTTCTATCTTTTTTCTTCTTGTTTCCATCATCATTAGTACCACCACCACCACCACCACTGGTATCAGTGCCACCAACAAGAGTGCCTTTCCCACTATTGGTACTCCCCTTGCTGGCATTTATCCTATTTATCTCATTATCAGTGTCATTATTTTGTTTCGTGTCGTTCATTTGGGTAATTGTATCATTATCATTGCGTTTAGTCTGATTGGCAGAGTTCTCGGCAAATCGGCCTGGTTCTTGATTTTTGGCCGTTTCCTCAAGAGACTTCTTATCCAAACCGTCTAGTGTTTGCTGCTGCTGCTGTTCGACCCAAGGCCCTACAGAAGTTGCTGCCGAGGTTGCCTGGTTCAACCATGAAGATTGCAAATTCATCTTAATATTCGACAACCGCTGATTGGACACAATCACAGGAGGATTGCTACTGTTGTTGTTGTTGTTGGTGGTGGTATTATTGTTGAATGCCGTCGATGAGGAAGAGTACCCCGACGCAGATGACAGGGGTGACAACGAAGGACGACGGTGTATCAATGATTCCATATGATTTGGAGTTGTTGACAAATTCCTAAAGTCCATGACTTGATATACTAACAAAGAAAAAAAAAAAGGTTGAAAAAAAAAAAAAGAAAAGAAAAGATAGCTTGACAAACAAAACGCTGCAAGCCAAAAACCCACTAGCCTTGAAACTATGATATCAATTATCAGCCACGGCAGAATAAATAAATAAATAAATAAATATATAAAAAAAAAATTGGGACACGACTAAACCTTTTAGTCAACAAACCTGGCCAAAGTTTCAAAGGGGGAAAAAAAAAGAAAGCTCCACCTTTAATATTAATGAATTAACAAATCAAAGTTATTACTATTTCGAATTCATAACTTTGTTCCTTTTCTCTTTTTCTTTTTTTTTTCTCTTCCTCTTCTCTCGCTGCGACAATTGAAGCGCGCTTCTTTGTTATAGAGGGGAGGAGGAGGAGGAGGAGGAGGAGGTGGGGGGGAAGAAAAAAAAAAAAAAAAAGAAAAAAGAAAGGAAGGGAGAACACGTGATTGACATACACGTGATCTTTTACACGTGTATTGCTTACACGTGACAGGTATTTACGGTAGCGCAGAAGATGACAGATGGAGAAAAAAAAAATTGCAAGGTGAAAAAAAAAAAAGAGGTTGGTTGATATTGATTACGTGTGAAGTATAAACTGGGATTAAAGAGTAGAAGAATTGTATAATAATGGTATGTGTCAGGTGAGTGATTTGGAGATTTACAAAATTGAAGAACTAACTTATTATTATGTTCTAGTCTACGTCATCATCAGTTCAAGCGCCAGGCGGGTTGAGAAGCGCGGTTAAGAGAAAGTCCACCGCCGAGAAGAAGGCTCAAACGAGTAGTGCTACACCATTGAGCACAAGGTCTGCCGGTGCCGGTGGAAGCTCATCGACAATGATGAAATTGTTTACAGATGAAGCTCAAGGGTTGAGAGTCGATCCTTTGGTTGTGTTGTTTTTAGCTGTTGGTTTTATTTTTTCAGTAATAATCTTACATGTATTTGCAAAGATTACTGGTAAGCTTGGTTTGTAGAGAGAATGATGAAAATTGAGGGTGTAAATGTAGAGGTCAATCGGTTAGCAAAACCAATATAGATGTGAGATTATATTTGCAAAACCATTACAGATGTGAGATTTTATTTGAACCAATGTGGATGTCAAATTTATTACAGATGTGAGATTTTATGTGGATGTCAAATTTTATTACAAATGTGAGATTTTATTTAGTCAATGCTTTTTTTTTTTTAAATGTGAATAGTTATTTACAAGTAATCTAATAGATTTTTCACAACAAAAGGTAGATGCTCCTTATCAACAAAATGCTTAACGTCTTTTCCATCCAAATATTGTGTTTCCCAATAAAAATCATCCTCTTTTTGTTTTTGTTTTTGCAACCTTGTCAAAGAATCGTAATATCCGTTTTTCCTTTCACCTCTAACTTCAATTTCCACTCGAGGGTAATTCTTACCTAAAATTACCACCAATGGAATGCCCATCATATTTGATTGCATAATCTTTTTACCTATAGAAACATCTCTATCGTCCCATCTATAATCGGTCTCCAGCAATAGTGAGGCAAGCTCTTTAACGAATCTCGATTCTTCATTTGAAATAACCGTAACTTGCCACGGCGCAATACTAGCAGGCCATCTTAATCCATGCGAGTCCCTGTTAATCTCGGCAACTGCTGCAATAACCCTACTGATGCCAATTCCATAACAGCCCATTTTGACATTCTTAGTTTCAAGAGTGCCTTCATTCACAGGCACAACAACTTTCAAATCCAATGGTTTCGAGTACTTTTCATCCAAATAAAAAGTATGTCCAACCTCAATGGCATTCAGTTGCACCAAGTGTCCCTTCTCACACTCTCCACAAATTTCACCCTCTTTGGCAAGCACAATCGGTATATCAGTTAGTGTAGTAATCATTGATCTGTTGATGAAGTTTACTGGAAAATCTGGGAAATTTGAGCGAGAAGTCAATCTAGCATCCATTATTCGTACAACCCTTTTAGATAACTCATCACCAGTGTTGGTACTGAATTCTTCAAGTATTTCCTTCTCTGGTTTACAATGACTCAAATCTAAATCGGGCACCTCTTGTTGAACAAACCTTGGCTCTAAAGTTCGACTTGCAGGATAATATGCGCAGATCAAAGTAGATTTGTCTCTATTCATAAAATATCCAACAGCTACATCATCATCTCCCTCAGCCAACTTGTTCAGCTCTGCTTCTTTTATTGGGAAAGCAGTTGTAACTTCCAGATTTGAAATGTGACCACATGAATTACATGTAAATACAGTATCCTCTCCATTTTCGTTCAAGAAATGCCATTCGTGACTCATATCACCACCCATTTCTCCACTATCAGCTTTTGCCTTGACATAAGGAACCCCAATTTTACGAAAAATTTGATGATAAGCATCAACTACTGAAGAATAGTTCTTTAATGCGTGGGCTTCGTCAATATCAAACGAGTAAGCATCCTTCATTAAAAACTCCTTGCCTCGTAACAACCCGCCTCTTGGCCTTTTCTCGTCACGAAACTTTTGGTTTATTTGGTAAAATTTAAACGGAAGTTGCTTATAACTATCTAAATTCCTCTTTGCATACTCGGTTATCTCTTCTTCGGCTGTAGGCACCAATAAAAAATCATCATTTTTCAATTTAAAAATTTCCTGTTGATCCCATCTTCCTGTTTTCTCCCACAAGGATTTATGGGAAAGAAGCGATAGACGTAGTTCCTCGTATCCACAATGGTCCAAACAATGGCGAATAATCGAACTAACCTTATCTTGAATTAAAAGGCCCATTGTCGTCCAATTGGCTAAACCAGATCGTGGATATGAAACTATACCGAGCTTGTGTAAAAGCTCAAATGTTGGGATCTTAGACTCGCATTTGAATTTGGAAAGCTGAAATCCATAAAGCTTCGGTACTTGTTTGATCATTTCATAGTCGGAGAAAGCAGAAAGCTTCTCTTTTTCTCTTCTTTTCCTGTTCCCTTTTCCAGTTCCTTTTCCAGTTCTAGTTCCTTTTCCTTTTCCTTTTCCTTTTTTTCTTCCAGAGATTCAACAAAACTTCAAATCAGAAGAAATAAAATAATTGAAATGTTTTCTTTTTATATATTTCTATACATAATGAAAAAATATACAAACTTGTCTACCACAATAAAATCTCAACTCCAGCACAATTAAACATACAAGCTGTACCAAGAAGCTATATTTTGCAGAGAAAAGGAGGTTGATACATTTGTTTGTTTTTTTATTCTTCCTTTTTTTTTTCCTTTTTTTTTTTTACTTGAAAACATCACTCAATTTGCTTTTAATGTCATTATAGACATCCTCACTGTACAAACGCAAGTTCTCTAAAGAGCTGTTGAAATCTTCCTTGGCTTTGGATAATTTTTTGTTCTTTTCTGGATCGTTGATTAATTGGTTTTGTAAATCTTCAAAATGTACCTTGGCCTGTTCATATTGTTTCATTGCATTTTCGTACTCAACATTATACTTCTTGTTGAGCTGATTTGTTGCGTCATTTACAGTTTTCCCCAAATTGCTATAGTACTTGTTGAATTCCTCTTTTGAGTTGTGAAATTGTTTCTTCAACTCGTCGGAAGCTTCGTTCCATTTCTTATCGGTCCAAGCAGCCAAATCTTCTGTTTGCTTACTAACTTCATCGCTCTTTTTGTTTCCCCATTTGATCCATGACTTTTTCTCTTCTTCGGCTTTAGCCTTGGCTTCATCGGCTTTAGCAGATCCCCAATTTACTAACCCATCTTTAGTATCCTCTGCTTGCTTTTTCGCTTCTTCGGCTTTATCAGATCCCCAACTAAATAATTTATCCTTCTTCTTTTCAGCATCAGTTTGTGCTTGATCAACTTTTTTAGAGCCCCAGTTTGTCCATTCGTCCTTGGTTTTGACTACTTCATCTGCCTTGTCTGCAACCCAATTGGTAGCCTTGTTCTTTTCCTTCTCAGCATCAGCTTTCACATCATCGACTTTTTGCGAAGTCCAACTAGACCATTGGTCCTTCTTTTTTTCAGCTTCGTCTGCCTTTTCAGAGCCCCATGCGCTCCATTCGTTTTTTTTCTTTTCAACCTTATTTTTGGCATCGTCTAGTTTATCATTACCGCTGCTGCTCTTTCTAAACCAATTTCCAAAAATGGACTCTTCCTTCACTTCAGGTAAAGGACCCATTGAAGATAATTGAGTCTCTCCCGTTTTTACTTTACCTTCACCCAAACAATTGATAAAATCGATATATTTTTGCATTCCCAAAACAAAAACAGATTTTTCGTCCCTTGGTTTAACTGCATCTTCAACGTGTTTCTTGTAGTTTGTTGCATCTCCTTTCAAGTCTTTGTAAGTTTGCAGATTGCTGACACTGCTTTTGATTTCCTCAGTTTTCTTTTGAATCTGTTTTTTTCCATCTTCCAATTTATCTGTCAATTTGTTGTTTAAATCACTACTCTTTTTATCGATTTTAGCTGTTTGTTGAGCCAATTGATGATGCTCTTTTCTAGGCAAGATCCGCTCAACATTCTGGTCATAATAGTAAACACCACCGAGAATAACAGCAGCACCCAAAGCGTATTTTCCAGCTGACATAGTTATCAAATAAACTTAAAAGTTGTTATAGAATATATAAGCTCAATTCCTTTTTTTTTTCAAGCAAAAAGTAATAGACAATTAGCAAGTGTGATTTTAAAGGAAAATCACTTTATATTTCAATGGGTCATATTGTTCTGAATTTTATTTTTATCTTTGCTAAGTGGCCCATTTACGTCATGTAGGTTGGTTCTTTTTTTTTTTTTTTTTTTTTTTTTTTTTTTTTTTTTTTTTTTTTTTTTTTTTTTCATGTTGCTTGCTATGTTGAAATAAGGGGGGAGAGAAAGAGAGAGAGAGAGAGAGAGAGAGAGAGGAGAGAAGTAGATGGCTTTCCTAATTAAGATCTACTTAATTATGCTTTTTTTTGTGGAGGGTTTAAACGTTGTATGATCTATTTTCGCTTGAGTTGCTATGAAAAATGCGCAAAGAGACTCGAGACTATTGAGCAAAGCGAGATAGTGGAGCACACTCACTATCACTATCGAGCAAAGCGAGAACATTGACTGACACTATTGACTGACACTATTGACCTATCGACCTATTCTATCGAGCAAAGCGAGAACATTGACTGACACTATTGACACTATCAATACTATCTCGCTCTGCTCAAAAGTGTTGAAACAAGCTACTGAGTGTTGCTCCACTATATATTCCCCGGGCTCTTTATTTACATATTTATTGGTTTTTCAGTAAACTAAAAAAACCAACTGGCATATATTTAATTAATATTTACTCTAGCATGATTGATTTATGTTAATTGAAATAAGTAAAATGTATGATATTTCTAGCAATTGAGAATAAAAAATAGAAATTTAGAGTGCTTTAAAGACGTAAACTACAGTGCTATTAAAGGCATTCAATTGTGCTATTTCAGAGTTATCGTAAATTACAAGTCATTAAATTTATGGTTGTAAAATTCTTCTTCCCAATTCTAATGAAATTTCTTTCCCTTTACTGAAATTCTTACTCTTTCTTTAATAATGAAATTCTTTCTGTTTCTTTAATAATGAAATTCTTTCACTTCCAGTATGACAAGCCAAAATGTACTTGTTTGGTGAAACTCTTTAGTTTAATCCTCTGCTGTGTGATTTGTAAAATTGGCTATTACATAGATCATCTAGAGCAAGGTGAGGGGGGGGTCTATAAAGAGAGGAAACTGCTCCACGTTTACCAAGCGAATTTCAATAAAGTCACGTGATAAATCTATCGACACTATCGACACTATCGACACTAACGACACTATCGAGCAGAGCGAGATAGTGTCATCAGTAAGTGTGCTCCACTATTGAGCGGAGCGAAACAGTGTCGATAGTGTCTACAGAGTGATGCTCCACTATCTCGCTCTGCTCAATAGTGGAGCATCACTCTGTAGTTTGCTCAATAGTGGAACAACACTCAGTAGCTTGTTTCAACACTACCTCGCTCCGCTCGATAGTGTCGATAGTGTCGATAGTTTTTCTATTATCTATTATTTCTCTAAGCTAATGCAATTGTTTCAATCCTTGACTTGGTTTTCTCCTCCAGTACCGCCTTGTTTCACCAAACAACAACTGTCTACTCAATTTCCATACTTGTAGCAATATCTCCTTCCTCGGTAAAAACTCCTCAAAAACAACCTTTATATTATTATCTCCTTCTTCTCCTGTCATTTCCTTTACCGTGTTGTCCTTAGTTAAAATACATAAATAAAAAATAACTTGCGCATAATTGTGAAATCCTTCATGTATAACAAAATCAATCATCTTGTCAATGGGGATAAAAGTATTCGAGTTTTGGAAAAACCATGTTCTGCGTACAGAAAGTTGAGCACCAATTCCCCTCATCACTATTAATGAGTCCTCTTGTTCTTGAATTAGATATACTATGGCTAGAGCGGCAACATGTGCTCCAATTATCCCTTGTACAGTGCCATCATCTAAAAAATATCCCCAGTTCCGCCACGTGTATGCACACAAACTCACTATAACTATGAACAATAATGGCACTCTCAACCTCAAGAGCACGCTAGGGCGACTTAGCTTAACAGTGAATTTTAGCAAATCCAATTCTTTAATGGCATCAGACCCTCTCTCTGCTATAGGAGGATCAATTTCAAGTATGTAGTTTTTGGAAGAAGACATTCACCTGGTTGTGTGGTTACATATAAATCATTTCAGTGTTGAAGTGACGGAAAGTCCATATATGGCTTGATGACTCAGTCATTAAATATGCCAATTTATGAATATTCCAAACAAAAGAAAAAGAAGTTGAAAAAAAAATAAAAAATAACCTGGAGTGTCACGTGCCTCGAGTTAATTAAAATAAAAAACTGTATTAAATGAAAAACAATTTTGACTTCTTTTGCTTTTAATGTCCATTCCAATAGCCCGCCGATATTTACATTACATTCTCTGATTCCGTTTAACATCATCTATAGAACCAACAACTATTTCATTCTTACGCAATTCTTTCACCTTCTCGGCTCTCGTCATTGGCTTAGTACCGGTTCTAATTTCAATTTCTCTTCTTCTGCTAGCTTCTGCATCTTCTCTATATGCTTTTTCCCGTTCCATGGCAATCGCATTCATACTTTCCTCATGTTCAAACCTTACTTTACGCAAGTTCTCGTTATACTGTTCAATAGTCTTGATATCGTTTTTAACATTTTTTCGGTATTCTTCGAAATCAACAGGCAATTTCCTTTTCAAAGCCAACTCAACCACCTCGGGATATTTCTTCTCTTCCAATGCAAACTTGGACTTGATCTGCTTTCTCGTCCTATGCGGAAACAACTGTGATATCAACGAAAAGTCGGTACCAAACATACTCAATGCTTTGTAAAACTCTTGCAACTCGGCGGAGGTCCACTTGTCCGTATGCAATTGCTTTCCGTAAGTTGCTGAAGTGACAGGGTTAGAATATGGGTTAGCTTGTTCTACAATACGGTTTGAAGTATCCACTCTTTGCTTTACAACTATCGCTGATTCTTCTTTGTACCCTATCTTACCATCTAACAAAGTCAATTGAATTGCCGTTGAAGTTTGCGATTGGTCGTCATCGTCTAGCAGAAACAAGTCTACCTTTTTATTTTTGTTTGTTTTATCATCATCTGATTTGGTATCTTCCAGCGTTTTCCCCTCATTTAAAAGTCTAGCCTCCTCTAGAGAAATTTTCTCTCTTCTTGCTCTGGCTCTATCTAGTCTTCTCTGTGTCTTTTCTTGTTTCATTTGTTTTTCAGCTTCCACTACTAATGCATGATTCGAACTAACTTGCCCAATTTTGAGTGTTGGCTTGCATAAATCTGCCATTGTCATACCTTCGTATGCATAGTCAAGCTCGGCATATAAGCTCAGATCTTCTTCCTTGATATTGACAGGGATTTGACTAACACTGGTAACGGTTGTAACCAAATTATCTGGCTCGATCGGTGCTATATCATCAAGCATGACATCGGCTACCCTTGAAAAGCCATTCTCCGACTTGACTTCTTTTTTCAAAGCATCTTTTCTTCGAAATTTTCTAACCTTGTTTGTCTTTGGATCTATTCCAAGTACAAATTCCTTACTTACTACGTCTTCAGTACGTCGCCTTTTACTCAAAATGGAACTTTCGTCTTCCCTCTCCTTTTCTTCTTCCTTTTCTTTTCCCTTTGCTTTTTCAGATATACTTTTTTTCTCCCTTACCGATTCTGGTTTTGGGTCTGGATCATTCATGATCAAACTCACTGGAGCAGCTCTGGGAACTCCTTTTGGAGACAGTTTATGAAGATCAAGTGCTGAAATGGCAGAATCAGTGGTGGCAAAATCAGCAGCAGCAGAGTTAGCAGCAGCGGGGCGGAGTGGAATTTTTGGATCTAGCATCGAAGGTTTTAATGTGGGCGCAATCGTATTTACAATTGGTATTGGATATGAAACCGATCTTCTTTTTGAGCTTCTAGAAACCAGTGATCTCCTTCTTTTTGCAGTCTTTTGTTGAGGAATAATAATCCTAGCAGGACCTTGAGTAGAAGCAGTGTGAGCCTCATCTTGTGGCTTTTGCGATACTGAAGAGGATCTACTTCTATACCCAACCTGATTAATTCCAGATAATCTTCTTTGACTATGAGAAAATTGTCGAATCTTGTTTTTGTTTTGCTGAATGGATAAATCCCCTTCCTCATTTTCCTCATCGGAACTATCTACAATTGCTGAATCGGGATATTTGGAAATTGCTAGCAGATCGTTTCTTTCAGCTGCAACAGCTATTGTGACGTTTCCAGACTTTTTCAGTAGCCCACTACCTCCTTCAGAAGCCTCTTTTCTCCCTAGTTCTAAAGCTTGGGAATTTGGGGGGGTCTCAAGCGGTCGTATTCGGTCTGCTTCATTATTATGATTATGATGATGATGATGATGCTTCTTCTTCTTCTCGGTGCTTACTGTTACTTGGCTAGTTGGCGTCTTCTGAGTTGCCTCGGGTGTATTGGGTGTAGTTGAAGCCCTAGATATAGCAGATTTTTTACTTGTCTTTTTCACCTTAGGGGTGAAACTTATGCCCTTCTTAACAATACTACTCATGATCTATTCCTCAATTCACTGTTTCTTTACTCCACGAGGAAGAATTTATGAAATTCTTTTTCTTCTGTAGAGTTTTTTATTTTTATTTTTATTTTTTTTTTTCCCCTTCTATGCTTTCAATTCTTTAATTAAAAGCTGATTAGAAATGGGTGCAAAATGCATTTTTACTTGGTCGACAACAAAGGTGGACAATTGGGTTTTGAAATTGGGGCTTTTGTCGAATGATAAGTTCATAGCGTCCACGAGTAGTGGTCTGTTGGCTGGTTACTCCTTGTCGAAATTGGCTTCAACGTCTTTTATTAGTGGAGATGAGATGGCCCATGAGTCTAGTATTAATGATATGAAAGTTATTAATGAAAGTACAATTGTTTCTTGTTCAACTGATGGAGTTAATATTTGGGATATTAGAGCAGCAAATAAGCTAGTTTCACTGATGACAAATTCGAAAAACTCGAATTTCTTGTCTTTAGCGTACAAAGACGGTCTATTAGCTGGCGGAACTGAATTGAGTGGAACCGATGCAGAAGTTCATATATGGGATATCCGGAATTCAAACAATAGTATTGTCAAATCCTTTGTGGATTCGCATCTGGACGATGTGACAGCCTTGGAGTTTCATCCTACTTTGAAACAGTATTTGATGTCTGGTTCTACGGACGGATATGTCAATATATATGATATAAGTAAACCAGACGAAGACGATGCATTACATCAAGTGATAAATTTTGGATCGGTACATTCTTGCCATTTCTTAAGCGAGTCAAGAGTTTCGATCTTGACTCATATAGAAACACTAATGTTTCACGATATGAACAATACAAATTACGAGGACTCCGCAAGTGCAAATTTTGTTGACCTTGGTGACCTACGCGTGAAATGGCCAAACAATAGCTATGTTGTAGACTTGTATCCATCAGGATATATAGCCTATGGTAACAATGAATCGGAAAGCTTGTACATCTTGCCTTTCAATCCAAAGAAGGAACAGTTCAAGGAGTCAAAGAAAATTGAATTACTTGGTGCCCATGGAAAAGAAATTGTTAGAGACGTTTTAGCCATTCCAAATACAACTCAATGTTTAACATGTGGAGAGGATGGAAATATCAAGTTATGGGAATTGCCTCAAAAATTAAAACGTTACCAATTTGAAAAAAGTAAAACGAGCACTTCAAATTCTGCGCACAAAGACGAAGCAAGAGCGATTAAAAAGGATCACAGCAGCAAAAGTAGAAAGGATAGAAGATTCAAACCGTATTAGATATATGTATACGTACTTAAAAAATAAGAGATGTTTCAAAGTCTCTTGATGATATCATCCAAAACTTCTCGAGTGGATGAGTTTCCTCCCAAGTCTGGAGTTTTGATTTTATCTTCTGATAAGTTTGCATCCACTGCTTTGTAAATTTCTGCTGCAGGTTCTGGGTAACCCATGAACTCCAACATCAAAGCAGTGGATCTTATTGTGGCAATTGGGTTGGAAATACCTTTTCCTTCTATATCTGGTGCTGATCCATGACATGGCTCGCCAATTGCAAAGGATTCACCAACATTTGCCGATGGAACAACCCCTAAAGATCCAACCAAAGCTGCTGCACCATCACTTAAAATATCACCATAAAGATTTGGTGCAACTACTACATCAAAAATCTCTGGCTCTCTAAACATACGATAAACCATTGAATCGACAATTTGTTCTTTGTATTCAATTCCACTATATTTATCTTGATTTGCATCGAAAACTGCTTTGCATGACTCTCTGAATAAGCCATCCGATTGTGATAAAACATTAGACTTGTGAGTTACAGTGACAGAGGGTTTCTCGTGTATTTGTTCCGACCCTGCTGATGTGGCATCACGAATGGCTTGCCTTTGCAAGGCAATATCATAGGCCATTTTCGCAATTCTCTTAGAAGCAGTCTCACTAATTCTTTTGATAGCCTCTGCAACTTTTGTTCCATCTTCCCTTTTGAATGTTCTCTCTTCCTTCACATATAAATCCTCGGTGTTTTCACGGACAATTACCATATCAACCGGTCTTCCTATACCCTTGACTGATTTAACAGGACGCACATTAGCGAAAAGACCCAATTTTTTTCTCAAAGCGACAATTGGGGAAGAATATCCTTCTACTTTTGTTGTCGGCGAGGAAACAGCACCAAACAATGCACCATCACACTCGTTTTGCAAAACATCTACTGTCCTATCAGGCAACGCGGTACCTGTCTTTTTGAACAACTCGAACCCAGCTTCTAAATCTACAAATTCAAATTGCAAATCGTGTTTTGATGATAAACTTTCCAAAACTTTCCGTCCAGCGGGAATCACCTCTCTACCAATTCCGTCACCGGGAATTAAACCTATCTTTAATGTTTTCATCACAGACGACGAAGTAGAAAAGAAACGACCAACGACAGGTTTCAAAGGCATCATACTAGCTTTCATTGCCAAAAAAAAGATGTTTTTTTAAAAAAAGAACTAGAAACTACATTTGGAGTAATTATTATTGTTGAAAAATTTCCCCAGTTGGTTTAAAGATTAGATTGAAAAATTTTTGATTACGGCGATAAAAAAGTGACTCATTCGAAATATGATGAGAGGGCATTGTACATAGTTTACCCGAGACCAAGCAAAAACCAACGTTTTGTTATATACCAGTAGTTCCAAGTAACACCATAAGGTAATTCAAAGATTATTCGTTAGTCTAAATGCTATATATTTACAAGATATCAAATAATGAAAAAGTAAGAAAAAAGGAAAAAAAGTGTATGTGACCATCTCCGTTTTACTCTTCAACTTTGACCACCTCCGTTTTACTCTTGAACTTTGACCACCCCCGTTTTACTCTTCAACTTTGACCACCTCCGTTTTACTCTTCAACTTTGACCACCTCCGTTTTACTCTTCAACTTTGACAACACCAACCTTTGCTGGTCTCAAGACCCTGTCATTTAAAGTGTATCCATTTTGTTGAACAAAAAAAACGGTTCCTGGTACTTTGTCCGGGTGGGAAACTTCGAAAGTTGCTTCGTGTAAATTAGGGTCAAATGGTTGATCCAAAGGTTCAATCTTTGAGACTCCGAATTTGGCTAAAGTCTTTTCAAAAATGTTTCTAGTCATATCAACTCCATCGTATAAGTTTTTGACCTCCTCGTTTGATTTCAAAGTTTCTGCCTTTACGTGGCCCAAAGCCAAATCGAAATTGTCTAGTGATTCCAACAACTCCTTGGCAAACTTTTGCAAGGCAAAGTCCTTTGCCTTTTGTTTTTCGATTTTGGTAGTTTCTTGCAAATGACGGAAATCGGCTTTGGCCTGTGTGTAGTGGTTTCTCATTGCCGCCAAATCTTTATCTTTCTTTTCTAGTTTCTCCCTCAATTCGGCAATAATAGCTGGTTCCTTTTCTGTCTCTGCAGCAGCTCCAACAGCATCATCAGCATCAATTTTTTGCTCTTTACCTTGACTTTTCTGTTCAGCTTCACCCTTTTCAGCTTCTACTTTTTCAGCTTCCCCTTTCTCAGCAGCTGCACCATTCTCCTGTGCTTTTGTTGAGTTATAACGTTTTGAAACTTGAAATGGCCTGATTGTTGAGACCAGTGATGAAAATTGTCGAGAAATAACAACTCTATTACGAACAACCGCTGACCTTTTTATACATTGAAGTAAAGTTGCTTGCATTCTTATAGAGTACCTCCTTGAGTTTAACAGCTATCTGGTTAAGTGCTAATAGCTATCGTCAAATGTAAAAAGAGATATATATATAGAGCCATCTAAATTGATTGTCACCTCTTCTCATACAGAGATGAAAAAAAAACTTGGTAGCGTTCTTCAAAGGAGAGAAGAAAAAGAAAAAGGGAGTCGAATCATGGAAGCGAAGAAGAGCTAAGAAGAGCCTAAAAGGCGATGGGGGGGTCCTTAAAACAGACCTTTAACAACTTGTTATTATACTAAACAGTTGTGTAAATTGAAAAAAGTTTTAATGTACAAATGAAAAGAGCGTTTAGGACTATTTCGACGGCTTAACAATACGTCGTTTTTAGAATTAACTAGCCGTGCATTTAGTTTAACTACGGCGACACTAGGGCGACATTAGGGAGCGAAGCGAGCTAGTGGAGCACACTTACCAGACTATCGAGCAGAGCGACACTAGGAAGCAATTAGACTATCGAGCAGACCCGTCTGTGTTTCATCTTGAGTCTGAATTGGTAGAGCCTGTAAATTAACGCTAGTAGAGTAGAAGCTAGTAGAGTAGAAGCTAGTAGAGTAGAAGCTAGTAGAGTAGAAGCTAGTAGAGTAGAAGCTAGTAGAGTAGAAGCTAGTAGAATTACACCAATAGAGTAGTAGTTTAACTTTTGTTTTTGATTTTGTGGTTGTTTTTTTCGCCTGTCAAGATTGCTGAGGCTGGCACGAACTGTGGTACGACGACGCCAGGGGAGGGGTCGAAAGAGTGACGCTGATAGGACCAGTGGGCCAAACGAGCAACGACAATAGAGTAACGCCAGTAGAGCCTCTAAAGTTGAGTCAATAATTTTTGTAGAGTAGAGTCTGTAGAGCCTGTAGAGTAATGCCAGTAGAGTAAGCAGAGAAAGTGTGGTAACACCAGTAGAGCCAGTAGAGTAGAGCACTTTAATATATACATCCTCCCTCGATCTCCTCTTCTCACAATCTCCTCTCACAATCTCCTCTCACAATCTCCTCTCACAATCTCCTCTCACAATCTCCTCTCACAATCTCCTCTCACAATCTCCTCTCACAATCTCCTCTCACAATCTCTCTTCATCATCCCTCAATCTACTCCCACAATCTCTCTTCATCATCCCTCAATCTCCTCTTCATCTACTTTACCTTCTCCATCTTCTTCACCTTCTCCATCTTTGATACTCAAAAAAGTCACTTTTAAAGAGAGGAAAAAAAAATAGTGAGCTTTCAAGAGAGATGAAAAATTTTGATGAAAAATTAAAAGGTTAATTAGTAAAGATATCAATAAAGGTCTTCTGGGCTATAATGCTAAGATTCTTTACACGGCCTTTCTCGATAGGGCGACCTTTTTTACTCAAGGATGTTCAAATTCCCGAGGTTAAACTATCACCGAAACTTGCAGCTAAGCAGTTTATAGGATCCGATGTGTCTTTCAATAGGGAAAGAAGACTAAGAAGAAAAGAGAGAAGAATGAAGAAACAGATTATTCGCGATGTTAATACGTTGAAACAGTATGATATCAAAAACGTGCCATTCCAAGTTGACCCGGTTTTGGGTGACCCTCGTAGCACTTTTATGCCTAGAGTATTGCAGAAAGTTGAAAATCTGGAGTATAAGTTGGCATATGGAATCGACCGTGTTGAATTAGAAAAGGTTTTATACGCACAAGAGAAGTTACTACTCGAAAAAGCAGCAGACAACGAGGAGCTCCGTCAAGATGTAGAGAAAAGTGGCAAAGAGAAAAAGAATGCTGTTTTAACTATTTTGAACTTGAGAAACACAAATTCCCAAGATAAAAAAAAAATGGCAATTCAATATGCTCGAGAAGAGGTGCAAAGATATGATGGCGATACTGCATCTCCTGAAGTTCAAGCAGCTATATTGACAGTAAAAATTCATTTCGGAATGGATCATGTCAAGGCCAACAAAAACGATCATGCTTCAAGGCAATTGGTTAGAGAGTTGGTGCAATATAGGCAAAAGCTTTTGAGATATTTGAAAGAAAAGAATCCAGAGAGATATTATTATGCCTTGGCCAAATTAGGATTAACAGATGATGTGGTTGTGAGAGAGTTTTCAATGGGAAAGCAATATTTGCAAGATTACAAAATTTGGGGTGACAAAGTCTTGGTGAAGGAAACCGCTAGTATGAAGAGGAAAAACATGAGACTCAAGAACCTCAAAGACAAGGTTAACGAATATCACCAATTGGCAAAGAAAAACTTTGAAATCTTGAACCGAGAGAAGCAAAAAACAACCACTAGATCATCAAAGTGAAAAAGTATTTATCATTACTTGTAAATAATAAATCTGCTTTTGTTTTAAAAATTCATGTAAACTTTTCTTTTAGGTCAATGATGCTGTCCATTTTCACTGGGTCTGATGTCACAAAACTAGCTTGCTCTTTAATCGGTATCAAGACATCCTGTATCTGCGAGTTGATTGCGCTTGCATTAGCGATAATCTTTCTCAACTTTTCCTCAAGCTCCTCGTTATCGGAATAGGTTTTTAAGTAAACTTTTTCCAACGCGAGCAATGTATCTTCCTTTTTATTCAAAATCATTGAGTCTATAATTTCTGACGAAGATAGCTGGTCTATATGAACTGGTAATGATTCGGCACTGCTCATTTTTCCCTGTTCTCTTTGGAAAGCATTTTGAATTACTTCATCTAAATCATTAAGCTTTGACGAAAGATCATTTTCTTCATAAATGTGGTCAAACTCAGCAAGAGTTTCTTCAAGTAGATACTTTTCTAGTTGATTCAGTCCTGTTTCTAGACTCTTTAACCCAACCTCTGACTCGGCAATTTCCTTGTAGCAAGATTTAATCTGGTCTGTAGTTAAGGAAGTTTTAAGAACCTGTTCCACAGCTTTTTTCCCAACTAATTGAAGCCTTTCAAACCGCACTTTATGGATATTCTTTTCATTGGTAGATGACATAGATGCTGAAACCTATTATATATCTCTCTCTGATTGTGTGTGTGCCTAAAACTAGTGGTTATTCTTCTCCTTCTAATAGTTATCTGTTTATATTCCCCTTCCCTCTATAGAAACATCAACAATTTCTTTGTGTTTGACTTATTTCTTAATCGGGTATATAGTGCGGCTCCTCCGTATTCAGCGGAAAACTTTGCTACCAGGTGTAACCACCGACACTATCGAGCAGAGCGAGATAGTGGAGCACACTAGCTGCCACCGACACTATCGACACTATCAAGCAGAGCGAGATAGTGGAGCAGCACTGAATATTTTTAATCCTTGAAACTATCTCGCTCTGCTCGATAGTGGAGCACACTAGCTGCCACCGACACTATTGACCGACGGGCTACTTCAAAAATAAATCTGTAGTGACTTTTATAATATAGATTCCTCTATACGAAGACTAGACGTGTGAAACAAGTCTAGACGAAAGAATGTAGATTAAAGAGTAGAGTAGCGAGAAGAGGAGAGAGTAGAGTAGAGCTCACTATCGAGCAGAGCGAGATAGTAGAGCAATACTCAGTAGCTTATTGCGACACTATCTCGCTTTCTGTGCTCTCTGGTGGACAGGTTATAATAGCTCGCTGCGTTCCCTTCACTGGAGATGATAGCTCGCTGCGCTCGCTTCGTTAGAGATAAACTCCAAACAGCCACCTATCTGAAGCCGATAGCATTTGTGTGGTCAGTACTGCTCCACTATCTCGCTTCGCTCGATAGTGTCGAGGCCGATAATGTCGAAGCCGATAGTGATGGTCAGTGCTCCACTATCTCGCTTCGCTCGATAGATAGTGTCGCCTGTCTCTGCTTTGTTTCTTTTTGTAAGAGAAGAAAAAAAAGAATGGCAAACTATAGAGAGATTGAAAAAGATTAACTTTTAAGGTAACTTTTATATTGACAGATATACTTATTTTATAGAGAGGTATACTTTTGTTACACACAGGTTCTTCTTCTTCTTTCTCCTCCTTGATATGTCCGATCCAAAGTTATTGATAGCTGAAGCTGAGAAGCTACTCAAACCGCAACTGGGTTTCTTCCTGTTCATATCTGGTTCTTCACAGTCGCTTCGAAAAGAAGATGCTACTGATTTGTATATTCAAGCTGCTAATAGTTATCGGTTAAGCAAGGATTTCAACCAAGCTGGAAACCAATTTTTAAAAGCAGCGGAAATCCAACAAAGTTTGAATAATCATAATGGCGCGGCTAACCACCTTGTTGAGGCATACAAGTGTTTCAAGACTTTATCGCCAACTGATGCAATTGATGCATTATCGCAAGCAATACACATTTTCTTGACTCAAAACGGTCAATTTAGAAGAGCGGCAAATTTCACTATGGACTTGGCTGAGTTGTATGAGAGTGTTGGTGATTTTGGGAATGCTATTAAGAGCTATGAGCAAGCAGGTGACTACTTCACTACGGATCATGCAGAAGCCCTTTCCAGTAAAGCGTTTTTGAAGTGCGCCGATTTGTCTGCTTTTAGTGGAGAGTACAAAAAAGCTATATCAATGTACGATGTCGTTATAAAAAACCTGTTGAATAGCTCATTGGCGAAATGGAGCTTGAAAGATTATTTTTTCAAAGTGCTCTTATGTGTTTTAAACATGAATGATCTCGTTGAAGTTGAGAAAAGAATGGAGAGGTACGCAGAAGAAGATCCCAACTGGTTGGGTTCTAGAGAATGCAAGCTAATCGAAGGTATTTTAGAAAGCATCAACAATGGCGATGTTGAGGATTTCTCGGATAAGGTGTTTGAGTTTGATAAATTTAGTAAACTTGATAAATTAAAGACTCAGTTATTGTTGAAAATTAAGACAACAGTTGTTGATAACGATGACGTTGATATATTATAGTTGTATAGACAATTGAAACACCACTTTCTCCTACTGCGCCTATACTCGCTCACTCATTGGCTCACTCATTGGCTCATTCATTGGCTCACTCATTGGCTCACTCAGGCTTACAAACTCATTCGCTCAAATACACGCATTTCTTTTCTCTACATCAAGAGCTTTATCGACTTAGACACTTGTTATCATTATATACATATATGTGTATTTTATATCAAGGTATTGTAAATATTATTGTTAATTAGATATTTCTTTTTTTGTAAAAGCAAACTGCAAGAGTCATAAATAGGAGTGTTACCTCTTCATCTTCATCTTCATCCTCCAAGAAAGACTAAAGAATATTAAATTACTTGGTCTTTTTAAAGTATTCACCGTATAATGGATCACGGATTTTTTCGTATCTCTCCCTGGTCCAACGTCTAAAGCTCTTACCCCATACGGTAAAGATAAGGTAACTACCGTTGATAATTAACGAAAGACCAAACATGACGTATGTACTACCCATCAAACCTTGAGCGGTAATCCATGGTGAAATACCAAAAGTGAAACACATACCAATCATGTTTCTAATGAACAACATAAGAACAAGACTCTCACTAGCCAAGTGCGAGTAACTCTCAACAGCGTAAACCAAACAAATCGAGCCAGAAGAACTCATTGCAAAACCCATAAAACCTTGTCCAATGACAACAGAGATAGCCCAATGAGCTCCATAGTGTGAACCCAAACCGTAAGCTAAGATACCAGCAGCATTAATAATTGTTGGAACAACCATAGTTTGCAATCTGTGTTCTGGTTCCAAGATACCATTATTACGCTTGGCCATTTTCACAGCAAACCAATCGACAAATTGACCTCCATAGAACATACCAACACAGTTACCTACAAACACCGCAACATTGGTTAAACCGACATTTTGGACACTAAAGTTATATGGTGCAGCTTCGTAGATAAGACCTTGGGTGTTAACAAGCAATGACAACCAAAACATTTGGAAACCGTAAATCAAACCACCCCAAACAACAGCAGGGAAAGTAATCAAGTAAAATGGTCTCAAGAAAATACACATCCAGGATCTAATATCGTTTTGTTCGGTGTGAACCCAGTTTCTCTTGTGTGCCCATGTGTATTCGACTTGTGATGAGTGGGTGGAGTCGTCATCTGTTTTAACCTCAATTTCAGCATTGTCTTTACCGTCTTTGGCTTCACTTGCAACAGCTTCACCACTAGTGATAGATTTAAGTTGTGTAAGAATACCCTCTTCCAAGGCTTCCTCTTCATTATCTGAACGTCTAAAAGTTGTATCTTCCATCCAAATTATTTGAATCACCAATAATGGAACGTAGATGATAATTTGGATGTAGTAACACCATTCCCAAGGTAAATTGTCAGCAATGTAACCACAAGCCACTGGACCCAAGAAACTACCGGCGTACAATGCAAAAATCAAAGAACTGAAAGCAGTAGATCTTTCATGCTGGAAATACAAATCGGTGGAGGTAATTTCCACAAGGGTATCGACGGGAGCAGCAGAAATACCGGCCAAAACTTTAAAAACCAATAAATAACCGATATTGGTGGAAAATGAACCAATAATGCATCCAACAATAATGATGATTGTACATACGTTGTAAACAAACTGTTTTCCCAATTTCAAACCAGTTGGTTGAACAAACAAAATACCGACACCCAAAAATAAGAAACCAAAAGCAACTGCAACACCCATCATTTGGAAATCACTGTTCCATTCATCAATCCAAGTGACAAATAATGGACCCATAAAGTTAATACTAACAGCCAACATAAAAGCCCAGAACCAGACTAAACCGAATTGCAAGTTTCTTTTACGTTTTGACCATCTCAATGGATCATTAACATTTGAACTTGGTTGCGGGTGCAAAATGATATCACCTGAATCAGCCTTTTTCACATTTAATGTACCTTCAAGATCCACAAGATGCACGGTACCAGGTGGAAAATCAAAATTGTTTTTAGTATTGGCTGTCGCTGACATTTTTTCTTTCCTTTTCTATTTTCTATTTGACTTTGTTGTGTAAAAGATAGAAAGAGAGAGACACTTGATGCTCGGATCGATATATAAAAAAAACTTGGTGAAGCAAAAGAGGAAACATGGGGGTATTTAAATATTTGAATTATAATGAGGAAGAAAGAGAGGACTCAGAAAGAAGAGCGGTGAGGTGTGAGGGAACGGGGGGGGG